AAGCTTCTAGGAATTCTCTGATATTTTCTGTGTTTCCTCTCTCCGTCCAAAATTTCTACATTTTCGAAATTGAATTCATGTCTGTAGTTGTGATCCACATGCATTGAAATGAGTGATGAAATGTCATGTGTGACGTTCAATAGCCAATCGGTGTTCATGTAGACGAAGGCGAAGAGGGCGACCACTTTGTCCAATGTAGTGTTGACTAGAATTATTACAGTTGATTTTGTAAATGATATTCCGTTTGTCTTATTTGGTTGTCGTATACTTTGCTCTGTATAATATTGTTTGCAGGGAATTTGTTAGTTTATGAACCGCACCAATTCCAAGTGGTGCTAATAATGTCGTCTAGAAAGACAATGAAAGCTTCACGATTAAACAATCCAGTTCAGAGAACATAATACAACCAACAAAAGTCGTCTATTGTATTCTGCAAATCTAGTTCGTCTTGCATCAATGAAACTTCCTGTATTTTCATTAATACTTGACAAGATAACCATAAATGTGTTGCCAAAATACAGTATTATTAAAATTTTACAAATATTTCAGATCAATGTGTCAAACTACTTAAATTCAGAAATCACTTAAGTTATAAGTCAGATTAGATGTTTTCATTGTAAAATAACACAATTTATCAGAATATTTGATCATTTTAAAGCAATCGGGAAGAAATTAAAGCGCTATATATATTTATAGCTAACAGTTAGACATTTCCTGCATTTTTATTATTCATTAGTCAAATTACTTATTCTACATTATGCTGTAACATGATAAGATAATGTAGAAAGTATGTAAGACTTTCTTAAGTTTATTTATAACTCTTCTAAAACAATGAGGGAATTATCGTCTAGTGTTACACCAATGAAAATGAACAATATTCTAATCATTCAATATATCAGTATGGGGAAACTTTATGCTATACATAGAAAGTAAAGAATTTACATGTACCAATATTATTGTAAATATTTATGAGTAACTTAATGCTTAAATTTCTCATAAAAATCGCTTACCCCATTTCTATTTGACAAGAGAGATTCACGTCTGGCAGCCACAAAAATTTTCCGTGCCATATTCAAATCTTCAACTGATGGAGTGTTACTTGTCGTCTTTTGCTAGTTTTAATATGAAACAGAAATTCTAGATGAGTTCTGGAAATATTCTACCAAATTCTAACTTCATTTGTTTATAAGCATAAATTTTACTTGAATTTTTTTTCCAGAAGACATTAGATGCCAGTGAAACTTACTGAGACTTTCAGATGTTCTTATAACTGATGAGTTCCAAAAAGCAAGAAATCGGGATTTTTGTGATTTTTCTTGAGTCATTCACTATCCACAATTATCTTCAACCTAGCCCTCCATATGGATTCAAATTTACGACCAAGACAGGCTGGCTGGCTTCAGGAAGAACAAATCATGTGCGGATCAAATTGCAAAGCTACGCCACTATGCATCATCATAGAACAGAGTATAGAATGGCAGTCAACTCTCTACCTCAACTTCATCGACTTTGAAAAGGACTTCGACAGCGTCGAATGAGAAGTACTTTGGCGGGTAGCTGCTTCAACACTATGGAGTGCCACTAGTCTTTATCAACCTCATTCAACAGCTATATGAAGAAGCCACATGGCAAGTGATCCATAATGGAAAGCTCAGCGACGCCTTTGAAGTGAAGACAAGAGTAAGACAAAGCTGCCTACTATCACCCATGATATTCCTGATTCTGGTTGACTGGATCACGCAACAAACTGTAAGGAGCAAGAAGACGGGCATCCACTGATTGGGCCAATAAAAAGAGCCCAGAAGATTTGGATTTCGCCAACGATGGTGATTTATGTCTAATGTCTTGTTGAACACACTCGAAGATCTACAGGCGAAAACTAACACACTGACAGAAGAGGCAGAGAAGACGGAACTTCAAGTGAATGCAAAGAAGATGAAGGTGATGAAGATATACAGCCAGCAACAACAACAAGCTTAAATCACCATCAACGGGAGAAACATAAATGAAGTAGTCTCTTCCACCTACCTAGGCAGCATCTTTTCAACTACATGTGGCACAGAAGAAGACGTCAAAGCTAGCCAGGATTGAAAAAGCAAGACAGGCGTTCATCAACCTGTAACCAGTGTGGAGATCTTCTGAACAAGATCCGGATTTTTAACACCAATTCAGTCAAGTCAGTGCCTCTATATGCTTCAGAGATCTGGCGCGTCATGAAAAGCAATCCCAACAAACTACAGACATTCATCAGCAGCTGCCGTTTAAGCTCACTCGATACTGAAGATAGATCAGGTGGCCAGAATAACAAGAGAAAGCAACGAGGAACTCTGGCTGGCTCGCTGGCAACAAACCAACCAAGAACTATCACCCAACAAATATGCAGCGGAAGAATGTGGAGATGGATTGGGCATACACTGAGAAGGCTGATTGGGAACATCACGAGCTAGGCCAGGCCGTCGAGTGGAATCCAAAGGGGAAACGACTGGTTGGGCTTCCGAGGCGAGGGTGACATGGAGGAGATAATGTGAGGAAGAAATGAAAGCTTGTGGCAGTCGTGGAATGAGGTTCAAAAGACTGTAGAGAAGTGAATGCAATGAAGGCGTGCTACTGAAGCCGTATGTTCCACTAAGAACCCAATGGAAAAAATAAAATAAATAAATAACCCTCCATAAGTCCTTGGTTACAAAATAAATAGAGGCAAGCATAGCTTATATCCTGGATATTCTCCCTGTTTTCACATATAGACTGATATTAGATAACTAAATTGTCTTGTGATCAGTAAAATATGAACTATCGTGTAAAAATTAATTTTTCAGAGGTTTATTATGATACAAAATAGAGATTACAGCTTACAAAATTCAGCGAATATTCTATTACCTTAAAATCACCTACAAAAAAAAGGCTCGTTGACTTTTTATTGAGGAAACAACACACAGTAAATAATAAACAAGGAATTGCCCAAATAAAAGTAATTTTTATCTCAATTGGTGAGATTATATTTAATCAGAACATATATCAAGAAGATAGATAAAGTAATTGATGAAAGTACATTAAGGGAAGAAAAGCATGCTCATCAACATAGACAGATTTCAGTACTTATTTTGAAAAAAAATTCAACAAATGATATTCTGAAGATTTCTAGATTTCCACACACTCTGAAACTACTAATATGTTTAATAAAATAAGAATTCAGCTAGATGGTTCAATTATTTTAACATTTTAACATACATGTTCATTAGGAGTATTTTTCAATTTATAAAACTTCTTAATATTTTAGGATAACCATTATTTTTCTTTATGGTTAATACGATACTCTAGAAAAGCTTCATTATTTTTCATCTTTTGAAGATCGCGTTTCCTCTGCATGACTAATTTTAATATTTTTTTCTTAAGAACGCAAGTTAAGATTTTAAAGATATTTTTCAGAAATGGACTGTAACTATATGCCATGTAGCTGACCAAAGATTGTCTTGCGTCATTTGCAGTGGAATTGGCTATTTTTTTTTTATACAACGCAGTTTCTTTAACACTACTTTACTAGCTATTTTTCTTTTGTACAATTTCAGTGTAGCTTAAAAGACGTCGATATGAATGTTTAGCATTTGCATTCCCATAGAAGGAAATTATTTTCACACTGATCTCTGATTGTTAGTTAGATAAATTAAGTTATCAGGAAGAAAATTTGGATTAAAAGTATCAACATCTAAAAGACTGAGCTATGAAAAATCTTGGCAATAATATTTTACTTCATACAGAATTAACATTAGCATCGTAAGAGATATGCATCACAAGACATAAATATTTAGCGCCGTAATAAAATAAGACAGGAGAATGAAACCAACCTTATAAACAAAATAGCCTATATAAAAAAATATCTTTTGAACATACCTGAGCTAAATTAGCGGAAAGATAATTTCCCGGGTTTAAAAATCCTAACATATTGCCAGCAATTTGAGCAATTTTTCAGATTCTGGATTATAATCCGCTTTTGTGGAATCATTATGTGCATCTGACAAATGATTGACGTTTGCAATATTTCTAAGTAAAAATATACCAGAAAAAAAGTCAAATTTAGTAATTTCAGTATGATGTGCAGGCCACTAAAAATACTGTTTAAAAATAAAGATGTATTTCTACTATAGGCACCTTAGTGATAAATTTATTATTTATTTATACTGGTTGATGATTGAAGGTGAAATGAAAATTCGAACCGCGGCTGGATCTCGTAGCTCAGTTGGCAGACCATCAAACAGGAAACTCAGTCGTCGTTGGTTCGAATCCGGCCGTGGTCCAAATTTTCATTTCATCTTCAATCATCACTAGTATAAACGCTAGTCTGTCAAACTACAGCTATCTCAGATAGTCAAACGATATTACTTATTTATTACTTGATCTCTTTCGCTTAACAAAATATTGTGACTGAGAATGCTATACTTTTGGTGTACACATTACGATCATTACTTTACGTTCACAAATCATATGTCACCACCATGCTACATCACTTCTTAGTGGCGTACTAAATCCATAACAAGCATTTGTATGCTTCTTTTATGTTGCAGATACCATAGCCTTATGAAAAGAAATCTTGGTTAAAGTGTACATTTCGGAACATCAGTAGCAATGGTTCTGACTTGTTCCTATATATATATATATATATATATATATATATATATATATATATATATATATATATATATATATATATATATATATATATATACCGTGCTTTATAAAGTGGTGACTGTATTCTTAGGTATATATGCGGATAAAAAAAATAGACATATGAGTAGGATAAAACTCATTCTGAAGATGCTAAGTTTATATGGAAGCAGTTGCAGACAGCTATCATGTCAAATGTTAATTTAGCATATGACAATGAATAAAAAATTGGAAGGAATTGCTTAACTACTAAATGAATTAACTCAAAAAAAAATTAAATCATATGTAATGATAATGATAATAACAGTAATAATAATTTGTAACTAATATTATTTCATTACTGTAGAAAACTATTAACTTTGAGCAAATGATCTATCTTTTCTGGTGTAAATACGTAACCAGAACAAGATAAATTTGAATTCATGTTACAGGATATATTTGAATGTTTATCATTCAATAGTATTGTAGCATCATTAATGTGATTATGATGATTACCATTGATAGTATGATATAACAAATGTTTATCTATACACCTTTGATTCTTTTTCTCTGGAACAAATTTATTAAACTTAGGTTTTAAAATGAACTGTCGAGGTTCTTCTTCTTGATGTATATGATAAGTGTTAATATTATGCATATATTTAACCTGTTTGACTAAATACTGGTTATTCACCATTGATGAACAGACAGTATTTATATTTTTCTGAACTTGCTGAAGATAATCTTCTGGTTCATTTATAACAGTTGTTTTATTACTTTTAGTATGATATTTATTATTGACAGGAATATTCATTGACTTATGTAAGTGTTTAAATTCCTTTTCTTGCGATGATGATAACAATAGCATGCTAAAGTTAAAAAAAAGTAAATAAAGAAACATGCAAATGATATTACAAAATTGCATGCAGTAAGTAGCGTGTAAAGACTATGTTATTAATCAGTATCTTAAAAACATGCCATTCACTGGAACAGTTATATATCCTGTTGTTGAAGTGAGATACTCATTATTTACTAATGAAATGGGCGTTGATGATAAGAATGGATATAAGTGGGCGGTAAAAATCAAAGGGAACGATACTATTTGTTGATATTCATTCAATGTGCAGCCACCTCCTCCTGAAGGATATCGACTTGTTTTCTGTAGTTATTTACCTCTGGTGACTTTACCGCAGCTACTGCGGTACCTATTAGCTGTCTAAAATGACCTTGGCCAGCTCACTATATCTATCGGTTGGGCTGCGTTGATTAGTTGTAGCTGCTGGCGATGGCATTCGGGACACTTTCGGTGAGCTATGCAGCCAGCAATTGCTCATGGGAGTCATCATCTAAAGTGCTAAGCGCTCGTCAAAGTAGTTTAGTCAACTTCATAGCCAATACTAGTGGGTCTTCGCCTATTCCAAGTTTCGTGCTCGAATCTGCTGCATCGCCAGCTCTCTGTCCGCTGGGCTGTCAAACACCGCCTCCAGTCATTCAACCATTCTCTTCCAAGTCTCCTTCCTACCTACACTTTCCACCCCATCATATGCCGCTTTCTCTGTGCCCTCAGCAGCTTACCGAGTACCATGACTTTTGCTCCTGGATCTCGGATACCCGCCAACTACACTACCGACTCGAAGTCCCTGAGGAGGACCTAGACGTCCCCATCCTCAAACACTGCAGGTCACGGAATCTTCACCATGTCCAGAAGCAGCGACACCAACTGTAGAAAACGACAAGACGGAGACGAAAGAAGGAATCTTTATTATTAACATGTGGTACAGTAGTCATCAAATATAGTACATTTTGCACTAAGACAGTCATCTGCATAGTGTACTTCATTTCCTCTTCTGCTTCTATCTTGACTTGTTTTTAGTACGTCCGCACTGTAACTCACGTTTCTCTGGGTAGAATCGCTACTCATTGTTGGTAATTCCCTGTGATTTCTGCCGTCCTCTAGACATATACTACGTATATCCATTCTTATTAGCAGAACCCACTGCACTGAGTGAATCATTGCTCAATTTTTCTACTTATAGTAACTTGTATTGCATCAGACAAGTAAAATGAACCAGACAGTAGCTATCATACAACGCTAAAAAAGCAGGTATAAATACAGATATGCAAGAGAATTTACTCATTGACATGCAGATTGCACATTTCAAAATCAAATTAATCTATGTCAAATGTAATAATATCTATGTACTTGATAATAACTAATACGAACAAGCCACAAAATCAGGTACTTGATGTAACAAATATAGGCATTGGAATTAAAACTGTTACTAGTCGATATACGTTGGCGTCATAATGTTCGACACTGTTAACGGATCTACAACTTATTTTCAAAGGTTTTATGTGAGAGTTGTCGACACGCTGATATAAAACATTTGAGAAAGTTGTACAATGAAGCCCTTAAAATTCGAAAATAACGCCTTTTTTAGTTCTTGTATCGTTACGCAGTTCAATGAGAAAAAAACTGAACAAAATGTTTAGAATTTTACCTAATGTGTAACAAAAATTGAATCACGACCACTATGAGACGATTAATTGTAACACTCTTGGTTGTATTGTATTCTCTGAGCTCAGAGAACACAATACAACCAAGATCATCCACCTGAACTGCAAATATTCTCCACTATTTCAATTGTAATATTCGCTAACTAAAACCGCCAAGATTTTACCATTTCAGAATCAGTTGCTTAAAGGTTATTATAACCTGAAGTATAAGTATATGAAAATCATATACGTCTAACAAGACTGAAGTCAATCGTAACTTTTCATTTTACAATAGAAACAATTTTTTACAACCGGTTAGATTCTAATTTTGGGAGGGTGCTGGCTCAGTAAACAACGGCACTGTTTTGAAGGTGAACATTTAAACTGCTTCTAAACCGCAAGTTTTGTCATAATTTTACAATCCATGGGTAGTGTATATTAACATCCAGTTTGATCTTAGGAAATAAAAAGGTTGGAATTCCTGTCTAATGTGCTGATTGGTAGGCTTTATTCTTCATAGTGGGTGATTGACTGTCGAAGTTCCAAACTAAATACACGTAGCATTTCTGGAAGGTTTGTCTACAACTTCTACAGAATGTATATGCATATAATTCTCTCACGATTAAGACGAAAATACACAAAAGCTTATCCTTGAGGTCATTGGTGAAACCAGTGAAACTGAGAGGATGGAGAATATTTGCTGCGCAGGAGGAGGATTTTGATGTTGTGTTCTCTGAGCTGGATTATTTAATCGTGAAGCATTCATTGTCATTCCAGACGACATCATCAACAAAAATCTTTATAAAGTAGGGAGTTGTAGGGTTCCCTCCACAAGTAGCTTAGTAGCTAGTCCTGATGATCCTATATGTTATTGGTTGTTTCTAGTAAGTCTTGTCACAGTCTCTGTATTTATTTTGATTGGTTGTCGTGAATTTAGACGTTGTTGGTACTTCTTATTGGTTAGAGGAAATGCAAAGAATACTGGAGAATTTTTAGAAGCTTGGCAGTCAAGTCAGTTAGTGATCAACAGACATTGAGATTGGCCAATCTATTTGTGGAGGAAACCCTACAGCTCAATACTTTATGAAGTTTTTTGCTGATGACGTTGTCTGGAATGACAATGAATGCTTCATGACTAAACCATCCACCTTACAACACACGACACCATCAAAAATTAGTGAGACTACTAGTCCGAAGTAAGTACAGAAAAAAAAAATTATTTGTAAAGTAGAAAGGCTAACTGCATTATGTTATGCAATTTAGAAAATTTATTTTTTGTGGCTGAGAAAGAGCTTCAACAAGAAGTGTAGTTAAAGAAGAACTGGGTGATGCATTTGACACAGGAAATAGACTATTTATATTATAGTTTATATTGTGGTTATAATGGGTGTTATAACTCCTTATGGCCACTAATAGCAAACTTCTTTACCCTATTCATTGTCAGTGTGAATTTAAAAATACAACTTTTGGACACGTTGTAAGAATGCAACAAAGAATTATATTTCAAGTTTCTGTTCCTGAAGTCAATTTTTAGGTAGAATCAAGTAATAACTTAATGCTGCATGATCATATGACAAAACTGTGAATAGCAAATCCTCATTATGGAGTCTTAGATGGTATACACCTTTCACTACGAGAAACTCAACAAGTTATGATATATTTGTTACAGATTCAAGTGAGATCCCCTTTCCTGATAAAAAGACATTTAAATAAAGAATACGTGTATATATTTAGCGGTAGATTAAAGTTTTTCTCTTCTCCTTTTCAGTGCAGACTCAATTAAATATAGTTTCCACTAACTAACACCAGGAAAGCTCATGATACCTATTTGTTTTCCCCTCAACACTGATAAAATGTTTAACAAGAGATGTTTCCAAATATTTGTAGTAGGAACTGTTCTTGGATATCATTATTATAGCGTGTTTATCAATTGTATGTTTGGCACGTTGGTCTATTTATGTCCAGTACTACGTCATACTAAATATAATTGGAATATCAAAACGATCAACAACTGCTATCAGTACTTCTGATTCAACCAACTTTCTAGAAAATATGGGCAGTTTAGTATATCGCAAAGACAGTTTGGTTTATTGCATGCTGAAATAAGATATTTAATAGAATCCAACTGAATCTTATGCAACACGTTAGTAATTTTCCTGCTTATACTATGTCTTTCCAACACCTCCCATAAAAGTGATGATTTTATGTCGATCAATTATATTTGATCAAGAAACAAAAGGATTTTAACAACTTGAGATGAAAATCAAATAATAGGTATGCTCGAGTTAGCCAAATATACTTTTGGGTATCTTAGCCTTTTCAATTTATTAGTTCATTTCATTTTTGATATGTGTGTGGCCAAATAAGAGGTAATAAGAACAAGGACATGCTAACTTCAAAAATTTAATAGCGGTTTTTCATATGGCAGTACCAATTGTCTATAGCTAAATATATTAAAATCGAGGCATGTAACATTATTTAGTTCAAGCTGTTATTCATCGTAGACTGACATCATTCGGAGGAACAAAGGAAACCTGAGAGCACTGGACAGCTGTTTCGTTATAGTATGCGACTCCTCAGCAGTAGGCAAACACGATCCCCCCCCCCGCCAATGATCGAAACCGTCACCTTCAGGTTCCCTGACCAGCACGTTACCATTGAGCTAGCCATTAGGTCGATATCCAATGGTCCATGTTTCCAACTTCCCTTAGTCCACGATATAGCGCAATCGCCACCCAATGTTATCATTGAGTAACTGTCCTCACGACCATCAGGCTTTGCCCCCACTGGTCACGACTTCTCATCGGAACTTCAGGAACTCTTCTTGAAGCTAGTCACCCCCCACTGATGTAAGTCTACGATGAATAACAACTTGAAACATTTCCAAATCCCCACAATTCCCTCAAAATTCATTATTTTAGTGTTTGCAATTTCCGATGAACGAAAGAAACAAGGTTGTTTTTATTGACGTTTTGCCATCTGATTGCAGTGACTTTATCATGGCAAACTGTAATCTTAAATGTCCAAAATAATGAATATCATTTGTTGAATCCCTAATTTTTTTCCTAAAAATCAAATCTCAACTTTGTTTGGTTATGTATATGACATGCAGCAGTTCACTGATCTCTAAAGTAAGCAGTTTTCACATTGGTTTAACCACATGAAGTCAATATTAGTTGGATGGAAGCAATCGGCAGGAAACCATGCCCGATCTAGGGTTCGTGCCTGTTGACACTCGTCAGCAAGGTGTATCTGCAACCTCGATGGAACTGATGTCCCACCTGAGATTCAAACCCCGCGTCACCCAGTGCTGAAATTAGAGAAGTTACCACTGAGGTATTCTGGTCACGACTGAACTCCTGTAGGACTGGATTAGATACATGAATTAGTCACTGGAGGGTAACCAACCTAATGTTTTTTAGTCCTAAGTGCTGACTGAATTCTATTGACCATTTTGTAATGTGGCCACGATAGAGTTCGATCAGCACCTAGGACTAGACAATACGAAGTTGGTTACCCTCCAGTGACCAATGAATGTGTACATGAAACCAGTGTTTTATTGGTAAATAAAGATCGATTGAATCAGTAGCCTAGAATTACTAGTTTCAGTGGTTTAATTCAGTGCTTCAGGTCAGTTTACATTTTAGACACAATGTTTACGAATGGAAACACTTACAGTATTAGAAAAAAACCCATATAAGCACATGAGATTCATGACATACAAGAATAATTGGTGTAAATGTAAGTATAATAGAACATAGGCGTTCAACATTTTGGTCTTGTTCCCACCTTTACACATGAGTTCTCAGTTCTCTTCATTTAAAAAGAAGATACAAGATGGTCAGGGTTTGGGTGATAATTTTACCGTTGAAGTTTCACAAAGGACTTTTGTTTGATGCAAAAACACTATCCTTTTTTCTGACGCTGCATCTTGACTGATGACATTGTAAATTCTACTAGCAACAGCCATGTAAGCAACCAATTAACGGACCAAACTTGACAGGCACAAATTTTCTGTACAACATCGTTGTGCAGTGTTACAAGAATGCGCTATGATATGACCTATTTAAAGTCTCCCTTAAATGGTCAAAAACAATTAATTAATTATCGTTTTGACTATCTGAGATAGCCGTAGTTTGTCGGATTAGTATTGATGCTGGATGATGACTGAAGGTGAAATGGAAATTCGGACCATGACCGGATTCGAACCGGCGACCACTGAGTTCCTGGCCCGTTGCACTAAAACTGAGCTACGATTAAGCTAAGGAATTGTTAAAGTCTCAGTAGCTCATTGACCTCACTATTTGGAGACTTATTCATCGTATAATTGAATTATCCACAGTCTACTAAAATGTACAGTGGATCTAAATGCAAGTCAATTCCGTCAAATGAGTCACTAACACGCAAATAATACGGTATACGAAAAAATTATAGTTTAAGTTGACACAAATAAAATGTTCTGAATTCACTGATAAGCTTGTTTGCAAACAGCATGCAATAAACAGCTATGAGAAACAACAAAGTTATCATGAAACGTAATTCAACTCGTTAAATCACAACAATCGTTTGATCGTAATATATTAAACAAAGTTACCTAGCTTCAGCATCTCTTTTCTCTTTTTCCATAAGAGCAACAACAGCAGGATGAGCAGCTTTACCGGCTTGTGCATTCAAAACCATATCATTCCATATCCCCATGCCATTCTTAAAAGGACTTCCTGCTGCATCATACATCCCATTTATATGATTGAAATCTTGTTCTTGACGGCCTGTAGCACGTTTACTACTCCTACGTCTTGTCCATTCACTCAGAGTACGACCAAAAATTCCACCTGACGTATCCCGCTTCAAAATAATAAAAGAGGAAATGTCATTTGAAATATGAATTTAAGATATCTGAGAGGTGACTGTACACAAGCACTTATACTGAACTAAATAGTACTAAGTGGTTAACTTAAACATGAAATTTGTCATACATGTAAAACAATATGGAGTGTATATACACAGACACATGAATTTTAAAAACATCGGATAAAAATAACTGTTTGAAAAACAGAAGACATTTAAGTACTTTTGCTACATAGAAACTCGCGATAGGTCGAAGACGAGTGTGCTAAATATGTTGATAACGTAATAATATTCAAAGTTTGTTGTTTTCACTCCATTCCAATCATCATAGCATTTCAATAATTTTGAACAGATGAAGTTCCATTTCATCTAACAAACAGAACATTATGGTAATTTAGTTGGTTGTGGGTAGCAGAAGAATCCAGGACGAACGTTTCGTCCTATTTGAGACTCATCAGCTGAAGACATCTACACCCCAGTGAGTGTTGTTTCCTCTGAGACTAGAACTTCGTACCCATCGCTTCAAACGCAACGATGTTATCCACTACGCCACAGAGGAACGATAGCCACTTCTTGTACAACCGGTAGTAGTTATTACTACTTATTAATATACTTGTAATTCTCAATGGAGAATCCAAAGTATATCAATAAATAGTAATAAAACAGAACATTGTTTCAATAAACTAACCATATAACAAATATAGGATTCTTAAGTGGTTTTGAACCTGGAAGACATTCTCATGAAGTAAATGACAGCGACTGGGAGGTTCAAAAGTGAGTCAAAAAATGATATTCTTTCCCTAAACTATGCATATATTTTTCAATTCTTATTTCGCACAAAAATCACCAATTAAAAAGGCATATGAGTAAAAAAAATCATACAAGTGAATAGTTATGAAAGAATTAATATATACATACTTTATCAGCACCTCGTCGACGTTGAATTTCATCACCAGTAAGATCTGATGAACACCGTCTAGGAAACCCGACAATAGTAGGTTGATGGGGCATGGCACGATCACCAGCCTGTGAATATAAATTACTATGTTAATATCTCTGTTACACATATTGCGCTGACCAAATATATGGACAATTATCTTGCTAAATATGATAATCATATGCGAAAGAATGTTTGAGAAGCTGATTATGCGATGAAATCATATTTTAAATGTAGGCGTCTTCCTACTAAGTTACAAATCAGTATTTTACAATCTGATGATGAAACTTTTGAATAGATGATTGGTTATTTTTTCCAGTTTCACCAGTTTATTTTCATTTTTTACTACTAACTTATCAAACTATAAACACTTTATTGTTAATCTATATTCAACAACACGGAGCTTAAAACAGTCTGTCAGATGATTGTTTTGATAGTATGTTGGGTTGAGTTATCATGTGAAACAGCCATTGTCCTAGTGCATAGACGAACAGTTGTCTGCATGGCATGTTAGAGGATTTACCACCTACATCATTATTACTTCAACTTTTACTGTTCTTTGGAAGTTTATTACAGATTGCTGTCAAGATTAACTATCTCCTGTCTTAAGACATTACTGGTAATATCCTATTGACAAGGATGATAAATACAGTAGTCAGTTAAAACTCTTAAAACCAAATAAACTAAAAAAGTCTATCGGAGAAAAAAAGGGTAGAAAATAGACAAACCATTATTTGTGGGATATATCTTGTATCCTTTTGAATCATTTTACGCTTCTGCCATTCACGGAACCAGTTCTGAATGAGAAAAGTTGCGTAAAATTTTCCAACTGTAACAACATCACTACCTAAATACAAAAAAGAAGAATAGTGGTACTTTGTTGAAATAGTATGTTACTTTGTCTGTGTTTTGGTAAGGTTTGTTTCATATAGTGAGAATAATGTTTAACATAGTCACTTTTCCAGTGATCGAATGTTCCACCATACCCATATATCATTTAGATGGTCTACGGATAATCTTCGGGAATAAATTTTGACTAGCTGGAATTCGACTACACATCCAGATAAAGTGAAATCACTTAGTGACGAAACGGCTATCCAGTGCTTCCAGGTTTTCAGTTTGTGATGAATACCACCGTAAAAATAAAATCCCCATTAACTTCAAAATACATTTATACATAGCAATCACTAGTGACCTATGGGTTCAATCAGTCAAAAGTGAGGCTGATGCCATCTAACGATCTTGGTGGTTAGTCTAGCTATATCGTGAATTGACAGAACTAAGATATTGTGGAACAATGAACTTCGACCCAATGGAAGAATGGTTATGGTGTTCGTCGCGAAACTTGAAAGTCCTGAGTTTGATCCCTAACAAGATCATGATTTCGTACCGGTGAGGAATTTCACGCTAGGATGAAACGGCTGTTAAGTGCTGTTGGGTTTTAAATGGCTCTCCAAGTGATGTCTATCCATGATAAATAGTACCTTGAAAATAAAATCCCAGTTGACGTGAAAATACATATGCATCATCTCTATTTCTTTATATCAGTATGCGTTTTTTACAGGAGATATATTTTCAGGTATGGTTAATAGTGAGAATGGCTAAAGAGTAAAGCTGCACAGCCATCAATAGGAATACAAATGACAGGAAAAATATCTATTCAATCTGGAGTATTAGTTTAAAAGAAATCACTTACTAAATCTGATCCCTCCAAAAGTAAAATGATGAAAATCTGTTCCCTTGGTAAATGGTAGCTAGTAAGAAGGGATCCCGTTCGGGGGTTAATTTTTAAGCATACCGAAATCCGAAGTATGTCATCTTCAAAGGTACAATAGTCAGATGGTACATGGTGACAACAAAGCTACCTTGGTGTGTGTTTTTCTTCTGAGCCTTCCATATCTTGCTAATTTCCAAAAGCTTTCCCTGTCTAACTTTCTATATTAGGAAACTGAAAGTATCTGATATAACTCATCCTCTTCTCTTGTGTTTCATAAACTCCTCCTCTGTTTTTCCTTTTTATTGTTTCTTGGGCTGATGATAAAGACTATGCTATATTACGTAGAATTTCGGAGATTGTCAGCAAAAATAGAGGTGTACCTCTGAACTTTCTAATTAAAACCTATTGTGAACAAACATCTTAACTCATGCAAACATCTGACAGGAGTTATTTAATCAGACGACTAGTATCGTCTTCACTCAAAGCTCTCTACATTACAGTCATCAGGCAAGGTCAGGAGCAAATATATAAGACTTCATGGACATACTATAGGAGATAAAAACTCTACAATACCTTATTTAGCTCATCTTCTGTGTGATGAAAAAAGGATTACAAATAAACTAAATAATCAAATTCTGATATTGAAAGCGAACTAATTAATGAGTACACACCATGTTATTATTTATGTATAATGAATCTAATTGCTAGTGTAATTGTCTACCTAAGTTGACTCTAAATTTCCAAGAAAGTTGTTCATAGAAGAAATATTGTTGTCTTTTTATATGTAATTTATACTTATTTCATTTTGCTATGTATATATGTAAACTGTTTCTATTCACTTGGTTCTATATGATATGCTTAAAATTCTCTAGAGTATTCCTGAAATAGCTTTCAAGATAAAGTGATTATTATTATTACTATTATCATTATTATTATTATTATTAAAAAACTTTGAAAGGTTGTTACGTTTTAAAACAAAATGTTGAGAAAATTGAAATGTAAATATCTAAATGAAAACTTCATTGGCAAATAATCAGCTAGTATTCTTATTCTTACAACAACCAATCAGTGGATAACAAAGAAGATTTACGATTTTTATAAGGTTATCTAGATATTCAACTAGATAAAAGATACAATGACCTAAAAAATTTTCATGATTCATTCAAAAGAAAACAAAATAATATTAGTGAATTTGATAGTAAGTAGAAATTTGTAGAATTGTCATTCTTTGTTTATCACCTGATTCTAAAGTGTAAACCAATTTAAGATACAGAGGGTTTTGAATGCACTGCCAAAAGAAAACTTTGTCTCTTCATCTGTTTTTTTAAAATACTTACTTACTGATTATTTGTAATCAGGACAGATTCCATATGATAATGTGCACATTTATTAAAGGGAGATTATAACAGATTTTTTTTTTCGATATAATAAGATATCTGTTATATTTTTATATCGACATGAAACATTTGCCAAAAATGATTATGTATAGGTAAATGTAAAAAGATTTAGAAGGGAATATACTTTGGACAAGATTGAAATCTACTTGTAAAACAACAGAAATTAATTGTCCAATTAAAAATCATAGACTATTAATCAAAATCAAAGTAATCTTACCTTTAGGTGGAATAATTTGATCTAATAATTTTGGACTTGTACGCTTCCATATACGTTTGATAACAATGCGTAGTTCTTCATTCAATTGATCAAGTGATTTTTCTTTTTCTCCAGCATCTGTTTGTTTCGTTTTTTTTTTTTTAAAATACAGAAGAAAAAAAAATGTTTAAAAGTAAAATGAACATTTTGTGAACAAAGTTGAATGTAAATCTAAATGTCAAGATATAGAAATATCTAGTTGATTTTGATTAGTATTCAATAATATTCATAAAGATTTTGATAAATGAAAGTTAGGCAACAGCATATTAAAAGGTTAAGCTAATCAAAGGGAAGGAACAAGTATTTCTTCTGTGTAAAAAAGTAATTAGTTACATATATACACTGGAAGAGTGAAGTAGAAGTTAGCTTTGATATAATAAAATACTAAATAATTCCAAGGTTAAATTATGAAGGAAAATGTCACTGATTTTAAGTAAAATAGTATTGTCATAAGGTGTATGAAGTAAAGTAATCAGAAATCTTGTATTGTTTAATCCTAACAGTGTGAAAAGATTCAGTTGAAGCAGTAACCATCATGAAAGAAACACATTTTTTGAACCAAATGTACGTTTAATAGGAAAGCTAATTTATGTACAGTGCAAAGAGATGGAATGGATTGTTTGAAGTAGTATTATGGTGCTAAACATTGGTGACACCAGTATTGAAATCAAATTTACAGCTACTTTGTAATTATACTTGTAGTTTCTCGTTGTAATACAAGGCCGAATTGCTTCATTTCTGTTCGCAGACAGGCTCCCATGAGGATGCCTCAATACTGCCGGATATTCATGATGTTATATTGATCTTCGTAACCAGCAGAGGAATTCAAGACGCGCCCTTTGTCCTATTTGAAACTCGTCAGCTGAATGTACCTGCGTCTCACTGAGTCATGTTGTTCCCACCCAGGCTTCAAACACCAGAGAATTATCCACTAAGCCACTGAGGCAGAATAGTCACCTCTTGTGCAGCGGGTCCCAAAGAGTCCCGAATAGGACGAAACGCACATCCCGGATTCCTTTGCTATTTACCAACATCAGTATAACATCGTGAATATCCGGCAGTATCGAGGCATCTGCATAGAAGCGCATCTGCTAACAGAGGTCGGCCAATTCGGCCCTGTATAGAAACATTGCAACAACTGACACTCGTTGTACAAGAAGTGGCTATCGTGCCCCAGTGGCTTAGTGGATAACTCTTAGGCGTTTGAAGCGAAGGGTACTGCATTCGAGCCTCGACGGGAATAACATCACTCACTAAGGTACAGACATATCCAGCTTACGAGTCCCAAACAGGACGAAACGCGCGACCTGGATTCCTCTGATAGTCACCACATCAGTACAGCTACTGTTTTTACTATATTTTATGAACGAAATCTGCTCGAAGTTTATCTGATTGTGAGATTATCATTCAGAAGTAGATGACTTATCAGTTAGCACGAGAAACAATATGTTCCTAAATATTTCACATGACATATGGATGCTCTTTCTTCTTCTTTTTTCCATTTTCAATTCAAAAGCAGTTCACATCTTTATGACATTCTAGTTAAATTCTGCACGTATTTTACTCATAAGTAAGTAACATGCTATTAAAATAATATAGCAGGTGGTTGGCAGATAATGTAGCTTTCCTAGTAAAAATGACGACAAGACTGAAATGGTCTTCAGTGCTTAATATTTGTAATCAGATGACCAAATTGTTGACAAAATTATTTTCTTTAAGATCCTCTCCTGGCCAATTATCAATTTAAAATAATTTTGAGAATTCTTTGAGAATAAATTTGAACGATGTGTTATTTCTACACGCTTTGACCATATTGTGGTTTATTGTTAAACTAGTACTGTTCTCATCAGAAATAAGCAATCTATAATACGCATTTATAAAACCACCAATATAATTTGTCTTTTATATCTAATAAGCTACATTGGTTTAAAATATGTCATTGTTTTTATTTTGGAAATGTCTCAGTGAAGAAAAACAGTATATGAAAAGAAAGAATAAATGGTTACAAAATAATGAGTTAAGACTTTAGGGTACAGAACAAAGTGACTGTATCCGAAATACTTTTATACGACTGATTTCGTGTACAGTAAAGTTTGATTCTACTGATATCTACCAACTGCAAATCATTACCTAAAACAGATGTGCATATAACGAATGAGGAATCACAATACATTCAACCTCCTTATGTCATTTAAGTAAAAGTTTGAATTAGTCAGCTAGCCTGATGGTCGTGAGGACAGTTACTCAATGATAACATTGGGTGACGGTTGCGCTATATGGTGGACTAAGAGAATTTGGAAACACGGACCACTGGATTCCGACCCAGTGGCTAGCTTAGTGGTAACGTGCTGGTCAGGGGACCTGAAGGTCGAGGGTTCCATGCCTGGTGGGGTTGTGGGTGCGCACTCCTGAGGAGTCCTTTACTAGGACGAAACAGCTGTTCGGTGCTTTTAGGTTTCAATTGTCCCTCCAACTGATGTCAGTCTACGACAAATACTAACTTGAAAATGTTGTTATAGAAATATTACGAAAAAATGGTAAACTTGATGAACTTATAACCGAACATAAAGAATGAAATGGATTTTCATTTGGTTAATCGCATTAGACGGCTTTGCTATTAAGTTTATGTCTACTTATTAACAGATCTATGTGAGTTAATTTGAATACAATTTAATTTTTTTTTAAAATAAATAGAAAACGCTCTTACCTCCAGGGATTTTTATCTTCAAGTTTCTACGCACCAAAGCAAAAAGTGTTGCATTGAAAAAGACCGTCCCATCACTATTTAGTGGCATATTCATTCTGACCAGTTTCTATTCAATGAATAACATCATTATTAACAACTAAAGAGATTGTTATAGCAAATACCTTTGTCAATAACAACAATAAAGTCACTGGACGATCAGAAAGACAAATGTAATAAGATAACTATTTCAAAATGCTGTATCAGTTCAGGTTGTCAGAAATTAAAACAGCACAACGAATCTCGAAAAGTAGAAATATAACCACTTTGAAATAAAAAGGATGTCAATGTAATGAGAGTAAAACATAATCAGAAACTCAAGGACTTAGACTGTAGAAAAAGATAAATTAAATGCATCCATATCACTGTAAGTAACTTAAAACCGTACAATAAACAATTTCTAACCACTGATTGTTAACAGTCCAAGGATTTCAACAGATAGTTTTTATCTGCTTTCATAGCTGAAATCGAAAGTGAAATAATTGAAAGACTAGTGATATATGTAAGTTTAACAACCCTTAAATTTCTTAAGTCTGATTCCTGCTTTAACCTAAAATATGCATCAATGCAGCTGCTACCTGGTTGTATATCATATCTCAAAAAAATAGAGAATGATTTAAAAATCAACTGAATAACCTTTTGATAAAGTACCTGTTCGGTATAATAGTCAGCAAGAAACTACAAGCACGAATGAAGGATGAAAAAATATGCTTTTCAAGATTAAGATAATGATTTCAAGAGATATCACATAAAATCTTAAGTAACTCATCTGTAGTCTAGGGACACTTGTGCAGAACCTGAATCCTTCTATATGATAATAATGATCCTAGGTATGTGTAATGCTGAAACTATTGGACAGTACAGTTTAATATGACATCATTATTTTCCATCTCCAAAAACTTATCGTTAAAATTATTATTCAACAATCCATTGCTACTGTACAATTAATTTCTTGTTCAACAATGAATCAGTTATATATGACAACTGACCGCTAAATAGATTAACAGTTGTTCCGTTGAACACCTTAATAGTTATAACTACTTCCTAGCTTAATTCCGGTTAGTAATAATATTTTTATAACCATTATTTGACGGTGTTATTACCGTTACTATAAACTCATTTATTGCTTACACCATTTCATTGCAATTTTAAGAAACTATCGAACAACCTAAATGTTTTATAACTATGAAATCAGTTAACATGCCACAATGTATACAAGCTTTATATAAGACAAATGATAATTTTCAATTGATATGCTAAACCTGTATGTTGTAGAGAAACGTTTTTTTTCTTCTGAATGAATACAACTTTTAAACTGTTTTTAATTCTTGAATTATTAGCACAACACTAAATGAAATGTCAATTATACATTTGAATATCATACTTCTATTTCTTCTTCGACATAATCACTTAACAAAAGTATTCTTTAGAAAAGAATGTAAATTTTAAATCATTTTTCGATAGAAAATGCACACTGTTAACATAAGTAACGGAATGAAAAGCTAATGATAATTTTACCTCTAAAGTAATCGTAACAGTTAAACTCAAGAAAATAATATGACAATCTAACGAACTAAGTAGCAATATTATGATAAACTATGAAAACGCCACGTGCCAAGTGATTCATGATGGGAAGCTCAATGACGCCTTTGAAGTGAAGACAGGAGTAAGACAAGGCTGTCTACTACCATCAATAATCTTCCTGATTGTGGTCGACTCGACTGGATCATGAAACAAACAGTGGGGAGCAAAAAGAGGGGGATACGCTGGCTGGACCGGGGAAAATATCCTAGGAGATTTGGATTTCGCCGATGACTTGTGTCTAATATCTCACAAACTATAAGACTTATAGGCGAAATCCAACAAGTTGACAGAAGAGGCAGCGAAGACAGGACTTCAAATAAGCGTAGAGAAGACAGAGGTGATGAAGATATCTAACCAACACCAACAACAACAACAAGCACCAATCACTATCAATGGAAGAAACTTAAAGAAAGTAGCCTCTTTCACCAATCTAGGCAGCTTCGTTTCAAATACAGGCGTCACAGGCATAGATGAGGATGTCAAAACCAGGATCGGAAAAACGAGACAGGCGTCCATTAACCTGAAACCAGTACGGAGATCTTCTGCACTCCACTCAGCATAAAAACAAGATCCAGACTTTCATCACCAACGTCAAGTCAATGCCTCTATATGGTTCAGAGACTTGGCGGTGCGTTACGAAAAGCATTTCCAACAAACTGCAGACATTCATCAACAACTGCCTACACTGGCTCGTTACTCAAGTTCAGATGGCCAGAGAGAATAAGCAACAAGGAATTCGGCTGGCTGGCAACGAACCAACCAAGAATCCATCGCTCAACAAATATGCAGGAGAAAGTGGAGATGGATTGGGCGTACACTGAGTAGACCATTTGGGGACATCACGCGTCAGGCCAGGCCGCCGAGTGGAACCCAGATAGGAAACGGCGAGTTGAACATCTGAGGTGGGGGTGACATGGAGGAGATCGTTTGAAGAAGAAATGAGAGCTTGCGGGTGTCATGGAGCCACGTTCAAAAGATTGCAGAGATAGAGTACACTAAAGACGAGCTACTGAAGTCCTATGTTCCACTAGAAACCCAAGGGACAAATAATAATAATAATAATATCCAGACCATCAATGTGTAAGATAAAAATGTTCATTTAAGTTTTTTAAAAATCTCTTCGTCATTTTCACGAAAATGAATTGAATTCAGATAAGAAGTAAAATTATGCTTACATGACATGCTCGAGTATGAGGACACATACTACCGAAACCAAGTGGTGGGCTTATTTTTCCAAGCATAGTTACCACATCCAAATGTCGAACTCGTCCTCTGCATAAAATATAATGAATTAAACAAGACATGAACAAAAACTGATTTTCACTTAAAATCATAATTTTAGCTAAATACTTTTTAGCATAATACGAAACTGAAAGTAGACTGAAAATTTTAGTGATATATATGTTGTCAAACGTTACATTAAATATTAAAATTAGAAAAAGAAATAAAAGTTAATAATATTGTTTTCAATTAGCTCTTATCAGACTTAATGCTAATATACATAAATTTTTCTAATATATAAAACATTAAACCAATGATAGTTGATTATTTAGTCTGTGGTAATTAGGAAATGAATTTTTGAGGGAGTTGTAGAGATTTGGAAATATTTCAAGTTGTTATTCATTGTAGATTGACATCAGTGGGAGCAACAAAGGAAACTTGGGAGCACTGGACAGCTGTTTCGTCCTAGTATGGGACTTCTCAGGAGTGCGCACCCACGACTCCACCAGGGATGGAACCTGCGACCTTCAGGTCCCATGACCAGCACGTTACCACTGGGACACTAAGAAGTGAAGCATGTAAATAGTAGATATCCAGACAATAATAATAATAATAATAGTAGCAATAATTATATCTACCTCAATGATGAAAAGAACAGTGGGAACAGCATGGTACTGCAAATAGTCAAACAAACAATATCGATCAAAACTTACTTTACGTAATACTAAAGGTTGAAATGTGTAGATAATCAAAGTCTAAACAAATAAGTGAACATGTATGAAAGGGCGGGAAGAAAGGGGAAGAGGATGGGAATTGAATCTATATAAAGATATTTATCAAGTTTCCTCTGGTCAAGGGAGAGATATAGGCTGCTCAAACGATTTCTGCATACAAAGACTAGGTTTGTTTTCTCTAATTCCCATTGCCTCAGCTATATGCAAAATGATACACATTAAAGGCAAGTTGATGGAATTACCAGTAAGCCCAATATTAGCTGATATTTTTCTTTTAAACTTGAGAATAGACCACTGAAAGATGTCATCGACAACTCGCGTATGTATAAACGTTATATTGACGACACTTTTATCGTCCTTGACCAAAACGTCAACAAAAACGAATCGTCAATAAAATTCATTGGCGTGCATCCTTCTCTTACTTTCACTTGTAAAGAATAAGAAAAGATACTACATTTTTTAATGTTCCCTTGATTAGAAAAGAAGATGCGTCGCTTGGTATAAGGGTGTGCAGAACGATCAAATCTACGGGTCAGTACATATATCTCCTTAGCTTTGTGCTCATTCGATATAAAAGAAGTCTAATCCAATGTCTTGCAAACAGAACCAATAGGATCTGCTTCGGTGAACTGATACAAAAAGAGTTAGAACACATCCATAATATGCTGCTAGAAATGGGTTACCCCTATAGTTTTATCAAAAGACACATGAACAAAATAAGTCGGAAGTCTGATCAAATGGCTGTCCAAAAGAAACCGATATGCATGAAACTTTAATTCAAAGGAGATACACCTGGTGAATTTCTATTCCACAGGCTGTCTACAGCCATCAGAAGAACTTTCTATGCTGCTAACCTCTGCTTACCATTTTCTAGTTTGCCGAAAATTGTTCCCCAGACAAAAGACAAGCTACCTAGTTCTGCCATTTTGATGCGTACTTATCAACTTAGCTGCTCCTGTGGAGAAAGCTATATTGAGCGTACAACTAGGCAGCTTAACAAAAGTGTTGCTGAGCACCTACCGTCATGGCCAGGAAAGGGACAAGTGAAGTCAATATGAAGCTCAATCTTGACACATCTATCACATTCCACAAAATCTTCTGAACAGAATTCGCACCCGCATTTTGGATATAGCTGAGGCAATGGGAATTAGAGAAAACAAACCTAGTCTTTGTATGCAGAAATCGTTTGAGCAGCCTATATCTCTCCCTTGACCAGAGGAAACTTGATAAATATCCTTATATCGATTCAATTCCCATCCTCTTCCCCTTTCTTCCCGCCCTTTCACACATGTTCACTTATTTGTTTAGACTTTGATTATCTACACATTTCATCCTTTAGTATTTCGTAACTTTTATTTCTCTAACTTCGTCACTTTCCGCCAGGTTGATGGTATCGCTATGAGAAGTCCTTTAGGTCCCCTCCTAGCAGACATATTTATAACACATGTTGAGAACTTATCCTAGAACTTAGTAGACCAAGCCCATCTCTATCGAAGATATGTTGATGATATCCTGATCATTTATTAAAACTCAAATCAGTCTACTTCAATTCTAAACCGACTGAACGAAGTACGAAACAGAATATCCTTGACATGTGTAATACAGGAAGATGACTGCTCACCATTCCTGGATACATTAATTGGTCGGAGGCAGGATGGATCCATAAAACGATCTATCTGCAGAAAACCTACATGGACAGGGCAGTATCTGAATTACCATAGCTTTTGTCCAGATCAGTACAAGCAAACGTTAGTAAGGGGCTTATTCAGCAGAATTCAGAGAATATGCACCGAGGATGCTTCAGAAGATGAAAGAGGAACACTGACCGATATTCTGTTGGGAAATAACTATCCATCAACATTTATCAGGCAGAACAAAATTACCAGAGCGCCAAAACTAGAACTTCAGTCAGTTCCAATGAAGAATGTTTTCATCAGCCTTCCGTATAAAGATGACTCTCAGAGTGCGATCCTTAAGCAGAGAACTAACGCTGCCGTTAGTAGGAGTTACTATGCAGCCAGGATTCGAGTAATCGAAACCACGAAGCCCGTATATTCCCCAAAACCCCCAAAGCATGTGAACGACAATGCCACATCCCACTGTATCTACCAATTCAAATGTACGTGTGATGACACATACATGGGGAGGACTAATAGATCCATGGAAGTAAAGGCCTCGGAACATATTTCAGAGTGGCTTTAGAAGCAAATCAAATCACCTGAATCCATAAATGTTGGTAGCAGATGTCCAAGTTCTTCAATCGCCAACATATCGTGAGGCAGGTCACAAGATTGATATGGTTACTTCCTTTACACCTGTTTCAAACATGTTGGGGAGGTATCCTTAAATTTGTTGAAGCCTTAGCTATTAAAGTTGAAACCACCTTGTGTTCATAAACAATTTGTTGTCACATTAATCTCCTTGGTAAATTCAACTGAAAACCAAGTTCGATGTACTATTATTTTCGCTCTATCGATTTCATTATTATTCGGCCTTCGATTCAGCTTCCTACTGACCTCTTTTTATTTTCTCACCCCTTATCTTCATGAGTTTTTATATAAATACCTATGACAGTACGTGTGTGATCAGATAGTTCGATTATGATTATGAGCAATAATTTATGCTCGAAACGTAATCAAGTAAATAATACTGTATCACTCATCGTACGCTATATATCAAATAAACAAATCTAATAAGTTATTGCTATTATTATGATTGCCTGGATATCTACTATTTACATGCTTCATTTCCTAATTACCATAGACTAAGTAATCCACTATGATTGGTTCAATATACATGATTGTTTTTTTATAACATACCGCCGTTGATTTGACCTAATTGATAGGTCTCTGTTGGCATATGGGATCCTGTGCGAAGGCCTCGATATTGCCTGTGCTCTTATAATAGTAATGATAGATAGTGGCTAGCAGTGGAATCCAGGATGCTTATTTCGTCCTATTTGGGACTCGTCAGCTGGATACCCGTCGCACAAGAAGTGGCTATCGTTGCTCGGTGGTGTAATAGATAACGCTCTGGTATTTGAAGCGATCACTCCCAAGTCTGAATCTAGGTGGGAACAACATCACTCACCCGGGGAAGCAGGCACATCCATCTGACAACTCCCAACTAGGATGAAATGCGCATCCTGGATTCTACTGCTAGCCAATATCCATTATTACTATCATTGGTTTAATGTTTTATATATGAGAGAAATTTATGTATATTAGCGTAAAGCTTCATGAGAGCCAATTGGAAACAATATTATTCGCTTTAATGTCTACTTGTAATTTTGAAAATGGGAATATTTAACATTTTTAAATATTAAAATATTCATATAAATGATTTCAGTAGGAAATCGTTATAACATTTAAACACAACGTTAATATATCACACTATGAATAATTTTCACTTCGACAATGGATAGAAACTAATTTCATTTGGTATTCATTTACTAAGTCTGTACACTAATCATCTTTAAAAGAATATTTAGTTGATTATGAAATCTCTACAATATATATTTTAATTCTCATGAACTTGTAATGAGTCTTTTTTCTTAAGAACGTAGAGATTATGTAGAGAGTTATACATTAATTTAGTTTGTCAATGTTCACTTGAAAGCTACGGTGAGATTATTTGAATATGTGCTAGTAACAACTACGTGATTTAATATTGTTAAAAATCTCTTAGGAATGAATTTAAAATGAAATGGTTTTCATGCATCCAAATAATAAACATTTACAAAAGTCCTGAAAATGTGAATAAATTATAGCTAGTGTTTTACACATACTTATACTGAACTCAATGGATTCATATGAAATATTAATAAAAAGCAACAATCTAGACGAAGAATATTGTTCCCAATGAACTTTTATCGGGTTCTACAAGTTTACAGTGTAAAAATAAGCCAAACTAGATGTGAATACATTTTAAAGTGGAATGTGAGTTATAGAAATTGACAACCACGATATATTTACAAATGAAGAATGTAACAGTAAGCGAAAAAGCAATGAACAACAAAGACAAGGATGGCCTTTGGTTTACTTAAGGCCAATGGAGGAAAAACTTTGAAACAAGTTCCTTCTAAATATAAAGTTCTGGTGTGATCAGTCTTATTGTGATAGTCTTCGATATTTAAGCAGGTGTTGGCAAGCTTCATATGGTATTTGAAGCAGATAGTCCCTTTTATGAATTTCGATAGCGTAATTAGAAGACGAAGTTTATCTGAGCAATGTGATGTATTTGCGCAATACATTTCAAACAATCTGATCACTAAGTTAATGTTTAAACAGCTTTCAAAGTCTTATATAGAAACAGCCAGGGACGTATTCTGAGATTTGCTGAAGTCATAGCCATACACAAATTAAAACCACCTTTATGTTTACAAAAACAGTTTGTTATTACACTACGCCTACCTTGGTAAACTTTGTTTTCTTACCAAGATTAGGACCAATTATGTCACTTCCTGTTTGTCCTCATCTTTCTTAATTTTAATCCCCTATTGTGTTAATTGTTGTATTTATCCCTCCTCCCAGTCCTCGGTTTAATATATATTGACTTGACAAGTAAATGTGTGATCAGATTGTTCAAAATGTATTGCGCAAATACATCACATTGCTCAGATAAACTTCGTCTTCTAATTACGCTGTCGAAATTCATACGGTATTGTTTTTGGCATATGATCTATGACATGGAAAGGTTTACTAGAATCTATGTGCTGTTCTATATATACTAGGTGAGCTAGAAAGGGAATATTGACTGTTAGCCAGTTTTATAAATCAATAAGATATAATAAGATAATATAGAATAGATAAAAATAACATTCACTCTCATTTCACAAAATCTAGTAATTAATTAAAAGTGAATAGTGCTTCATATAGAAGAGCTAAAACATTATAAGTTTCAGAATGATAAGCAATAATATGTATTATAATAAATATCTTGTATTTTTGAGATGAATGGGGATTGTAATTTAGAAGTAGTATTCATCATGGACCGAAATCAGTTGCGGAATTATTCAAAACCTGAGAGAACTGGACAGCTATTTCGCCCTAGTGTGGGTCTCCTCAGCAGTACGCACCCACGACCCGGTTAGGGATCGAACTAGGATTAAGCGTACTGCTGAGGAGTGTCACACTAGGACGAATCAGCTATTCAGTGCTCTCAGGTTTTCAATGGTTCCCCAACTGATATCGGTTCATGATGAATACTACCTCTAAATATCTTATATGTTTATAAATTATAATTAACCTTTTGAGATTTAAATTGGTTTTTTATTAAAAAAATTAAAAAAATTTAAAATTAAAAAAGGTCTTTTTTCATAAATATTATTGAGAAAAAAATGAGTCGAAAATGTTAGTTGCTTATTAAATTTGTTTATTTGATATGTAGCGCAAAGTGATAATTTTATTTACTGTGTGACGTTTTGAGTATAACTTATCGTTCATAATCATATCAATGTAATCACACTGCTTTCAGCACCGAATTTTTATAGTCCTGTCACCCATTTCATATTCTTTGTTTTTATTGGCAATAAAGTATTCCATTTCTGTGGTATAGGTGTGGAGTCATTCCTACCATATGTGTTGGGTGTATAGATTCAATGAACAAAGATTCAGTAGTCAATCTCTCTCTCCACTTAATTATGTAATTATGTAAATGGATTGACACAATACCTATACCAGAAATATGCAAAATTTACTACCAATAGACACAAAGAATTCGGGGTGACAGGACTATTAAAATCAGATGTTGAAAGTAGTGTGTCTACATTGATATGATTATAAACAATAATTTCTTCTCGAAACACCGTCATCAAGTAAATAATACTGTATCACTGTGTTATAATAAACATGAATAAACAAACCTAATATGGAACTAAATTCTACCACAGTACCCAAAGTTTACACTTATATTAATATTAGTTCCTGCCTGGTCTAAGTAGCCAAGATCTTGTTTTTGAAAAAAAGTTATTATTATTTATTATTACTCCCTTGGGTTACTGGTGGAATCTAGGGCCTCAGTAGCATGTTGCCATTTCACTCTGTTCTCCATAGTCTTTTTTACCTGGCTTCATTTCTTCCTCACATGATCTCCCTCATGTCACCCTCGGACGCCCAACTCGTCGTTTCCCATCTGCATCCCACTCGAGGGCCTGGCGCATAGACTAAATTCTGAAATGACACAATAAACTGTTGTAGGGTGATTTTGCGTGAGTGGCAGTAAGCTTTGGATTTATGTTTCGTGATTGCAGCACACGTCATCGAAGTATATCTGCCATCTCGAAAGAACTGACATCATTTAAGATGTTCAGACCAACATTATTCATTGTCTCAGTCTGACCTATTCAGGCTGCAGCTGACCTTATTTAAGACTAGATTTGGTACCGTGATTGGCCATTAGAGAGTTGCTGATTTCGTGTTGTCTATTCCTAAAATTAGGCTGTCATCCATGTGCTAGTACTCACTGAGACAGAAGACTCATTATCACAGTATGCATTAATTAGTGTTAGATGCCTGGAGGAATTGGTGAGCCTACTACCTCGGTGACCTAATCGCAAATGATCAACAGGATCTGGTTGGCATTTGGGACTGAGAAACGCGAGTTACGTTACTCTTACTTGATAACTAGAAGTATAAATTTTCTTCAAGTGCAAATTCATCCAGAAATCAAAGTCATCGTTAATGAAATAACTGCTTTCAACAACTACACCTAACCATTGCTGCATTTTTCCAGCTTTGTTTGCATATAAAGAAAAATACAAAAGCATGGAAATATTTGGAATGACAAATAATTGTTTTACTCACTTTGCTTCTGGATCATAATCTGCCCATTTTGTAACAAATTCATCTAAATGATGTGGTCCTAGAATTGACCAGTCTCGTGTAAGGTAGTCAAAGTTATCCATAATCACAGCCACGAATAGGTTAATAACCTAGCATTAAAAAAGTATAAACTCAAAGTTAATCGTCGAAAGTTTTATTTCTTGGAATAGACTAAACTGTTAATTCAAAGCTGAAGTTTGTGGTGCTACCGTAGGAAAGTTAATAAGTCATAGAGCTGTGAAGTAACAACAGCTAGGAATGATTATGTTAAGGATGGATCGTGGCTAGCAGTGGAATCCAGGATGCTCATTTCATCCTATTTGGGACTCGTCAGCTGGATGTACCTGCTTCCCGGTGGGTGAGATTGTTCCCGCTGGGATTCGGACTCGGGAGTGATCGCTTCAAATGCCAGAGCGCTATCCACTACATCACCGAGCAACGATAGCCACTTCTTGTGTGACGGGTATTGATTGAACCGAATTGATCGGTCTCTATTAGCATTTAAATGTCTAGGCCATAGTCCTGTTAGGTTATATTACCCTGTCAAGTAACCGATTTAGACAAAACAGCCAAACTAGAAACATAGGTGAATTTAGCATACTGATTTGTTTTTATACTCAATTCGAAGACTTCAATGGATTTATGTGATAGATGAAAATGGTCAGACACTTTGAACAGACAAGTCTGGCATAGATACACATAATGCCGTACAAGAATAAATTATTAGGGACCTACACTGGAGTTTATTTTCAAACTTATTTGCTCATTATAAAAGTGCAATAAAAAACATTACACTAAACTTGGTGCCTAGGGAATCACTGATATTATGAAAGCATTTTCCACATATCTATCTGCCTAAGTAGTTGGTGAATTAAATGAAAGCTTATCATGCTATGTAGTCTAAATTACTGACTTATTAATATTTGATACAGGGTGATGAATAGAGGTGAAATAAAGATTTGGATCGGAGTAGAATTCGAACCAGAAGCCTCCGAGTTGCTGATCTTGGGCTCTATCAACTGATCTACGACAAGCAATTGGTGACCAGATCTAATTTCACTTCTCTCTCCAAAGATTTTGTTTGGCTGGAGAAAGAATCATTGATAAGTAAATTTCAGTTCATTGTAATCATATTGGTTACTCAACTAGTTTACAGAGAATTTGCAGTTTAATTTGAAACAATGAAAATGAATCACGCTTGTCTAGACCATATAAATTAGAGGATTTAAACAACAAAAACAGACAAAAATGTTGTCTTTTAAGAAAATCAAGTCAGATAAGACGTAAATATTTTACCTTAGCAATATCGTTCAGCTTTTAGCACAGTCATCAAAAAACACAATTGCCCGTACACACTTTAATTATTCAAGGCATATAGGCTCTTATAGAGAAAAATACAATATTGAACGAAGAGTTGGTTGAAACTGATTTTTATCCCTAATCCTAGGAAATATTTTATTTCATGTACAATTAGAGGATGTAGGTTATTCATCAGTTATTCAGAAAAAAATTTTGTTCACTGGTCAAAAAATTTATTATACATACCAAGAAAGCACTAATAGCATGGAAACTAATAAAGTAAGCGTAAGCCAACTTGGAACCACATCCATTGATTTCTGTTTCATCTGAATCTTTTGAACATTTTTGTCCTATAAAAATGTAAATAAAATAATTTTTAATTTTAATATTTCAGGTTGTTACTCATCGTGTACTGACATCAGTGGGAGGAACAAAGGGGAACCTGGGAGTACTGACAGCTGTTTCGTTGTAGTATGCGACTCCTCAGCAGTAGGCAAACGCGATCCCCCCCCCACCAATGATCGAAACCGTCACCTTCAGGTTCCATGACCAGCACGTTACCATTGAGCTAGCCACTGCCTCAGAATCCAATGGTCCATGTTTCCAACTTCTCTTACTTCACGATATAGCGCCACCGTCACCCAATGTTATCATTGAGTAACTGTCTCACGACTATCAGGCTTTGCCCCCACCGGTCATGACTTCTCACTGTAACTTCAGGAATACTCTCGAAATATCTCCAAATCCCCACAACTCCCTAAAATTTCAATTGAACTGATGCTCATTGCTGACTAGATTCGAGAGGTATTCCGAAGTTGCAGTGAGAAGCCGTGACCGGTGGGGCAAAGCCTGATGGTCGTGAGAACAGTTACTCAATGATAACATTGGGTGACGGTGGCACTGTATCGTGAACCAAGAGAAGTTGGAAACATGGACCATTGGATTCCGACCCAGTGGCTAGCTCAATGGTAACGTGCTGGTCATGGAACCTGAAGGTGACGGTTAGATCATTGGCGGGGGGGGGGGATTGCGTTTGCCTACTGCTGAGGAGTCCCATACTATAACGAAACAGTTGTCCAGTGCTCTCCGGTTTCCTTTGTTCCTCCAACGGACGTCTGTCTACGATGAGTAACAGTTTGAAATATTTCCAAATCCCCACAACTCCTTCAAGAATCAATTTTAATATTTTCTATTTATTTAAACTTTATAGATGATTTAAATCAGAATACACCCATTTTATGAAGGTATGAAACAATGTTTAACAAATAAACTTCATTACAAACAACTTTACATCACATGTAAGAAATTTATGATAGTATTTGGTGTGTATTATTATTGTAAAAAGAACAAACTCATTCTCTAAGTGCTTTGAGTAGAATTCCTCATTTTTCTAAGAAACAGTGTAGCTGTTCGCGTTATTCAAAGAAAGTTATTTAGTGCATTAATTATTTTGTTTATTGAATTTAAGAAGATGTACCTCAAATCAAATGGATGTTCCTCTATTCAGAGCTGCAGATATAATGTCCTAACTAGGAATATCAAACTTAATGCAATGGTATACAGTTTCTTTCCAATTGTTTCTTAGCACAAAACAAATTCCATACACTATATGATCGTAAAGACAAAGGAAGATATCGATTTTACCACTTCTGTGATTTATTTGTTAAATGTTACCTCAGCTTATAATAACTTGCACTAATAATTTAATGAATTAAGAGGCGTTATTGTTCATAAAACACCGAAAGAAGAGCATATGATTGTTATAGTCTAAAACGGTTGGAAATACATGCCATGGAAGGGCTGTTTTTCTATGAAAAAGACAGAAGAACTGAAATAATTCCAATAGCTTCTGAATGAATATGACTCAACACCAAATATACTTTGAAGGTGAAAATATATTTTGAGAAACTTGAAACCTAATCAGACTTATAGTTAATTCAACCATGTTACACATTACAAGAATATAATTTAAATAGATGAACACGTATGGATGCAAATAAATAGAAACAAATTATAAAAAAAATTTAATTCTATAAAAAATTGGATTGAATATGATAACTACTACTTTATATTAGTATGAATTAAAATGTACGGCTCACCTTCTCTACAAGCCATCATAATTTCTTGCCATGATTCTCCTGTAGCACATCTGAAAATAAAAGAAAAAAAATGGAATAACTAAAAATATTCAGTTCATAGATGCCACGAATGTCCTGGAAGAATTTGAACACCGATTAGGATTTATTCATTATATTAGTAAGTTAAAAATCGCCTATATCAATAGAATGACTGGTTCGTTAGTGAATTCACTTGTCGGTTACTTAAATTTATTATTATTTGTCCCTTCGGTTCTTAGTGCATTATAGGGCTTCAGAAGCACACTTCCACTACACTCAGTTCTCCACAGTCTTTTCAACCTGGCTCCATGAGTACCCAAAAGCTTTCATTTCTTCCTCACACCATCTCCCCGACATCACCCTCGTCTCGAACGTCCAACTTGTCGTTTCCCCTTTGGATTCCACTCGACGGCCTAGCCTGGCGCATGATATCCCCAGTCGGGCTCCTCAATGTATGTCCAATCCATCTCCACTTTCTTCTGCATATTTGTTGGGCGATGGGTTCTTAGTTGGTTCGTTTCCAGAGTTCCTTATTGCTCATTCTTATAATTCTGGCCATCTGACCTTCAGTATCCAGTGAGCGTATGTGGTAGCTGTTGATAAGTGACCGCAATTTGTTGGAAATGCTTTTTGTAACACGTCAAGTCTCTCTACCACCACACAGAAGAGCTGACGTGACTGAATTAGTGTTGAAAATCCAGATCTTGTTCTTTATGTAGAGTACAGTGCAGTGCAGTAGATCTCCACACTGGTTCCAGGTTAATGCAAGAAGACTTGTCTTCCTCTTCTGATCCTAACTTTGACATCCTCATCTGTGCCACTCGTAGCTGAAATGATGCTGCCTTAACGGTGATTGGTGCATGTTGTTGTTGGTTGGGTGTTTTCATCAACTCTATCTTCTCCGCGTTTACGTGGAGGAAGTCGCATCTTCGCTGCTCTGCCTCTTCTGTCAACTTGTTACTTTTTGCCTGTAGATCTTCCAGTTTGTGCAACAAGACATTAGACATGAATCGTCATCATTGGCGAAATCCAAGTCTTCTGGGCTCTTTTCATCGAATGCGGATGCCCGTCTTCTTGCTCCTCACTGTTTGCTGCACGATCCGGTCCACTACAATCAGGAATATAATGGGTGATAGTAGGCAGCCTTGTCTTACTCCTGCCTTCACTTCAAAGGCGTCACTTAGCTCTCCATTGTGAACCATTCGGCATATGGCGTCTTCATACAGCTGTTGAATGAGGTTGACAAAGATATATAGAACTCCGTAGTATTGAAGCAGCTACCTGACAAATTACTTCTCGTTCGACGCTGTCGAAGTCCTTTTCAAAGTCGATGAAGTTGAGGTAGAGAGTTGACTGCCATTCTATACTCTGTTCTATGATGATGCGTAGTGGCGTAGCGTTGCAATTTGATCCGCACATGATATATTCTTCCTGAAGACTTAAGAATAATCCTATACCAACTACTGGAGTGTAAGTCAACCAGATGTTAAGTCAAAATTATGCTCTTAAGATAAATTTTTTCCATCATATTTTCAGATTAGATTACCATGAATTTAGGTAGAATTATTTTTAGGAAGTTGCCTTATTCTTACTTGTATAAAATAAAACAAAACACTTTGTTCGTAGAAGAATGAAGATATTTGAATGAAAACAAGGAATGCTAAGTATAGTAATACACCTGATTGTAACATTAATAGTGTACAACTTGTCTGTTCATGATAGATGACAAGAAGATATTAAACAGAGTTTTGCTCAATATTTTTCAGGCCGCCAATAGGCATCCCAATAACTAGTCACCCTTATTAATACCATGAAATTTTCCTATTGAATTTATTCAGTTAAATTTAAGTAATGCTTGTTAGCTTCTGATTGAAAAACATTTTCCAGAATGTATGTTAATTACTTGAAATTTAATTCTATCGGTTTAAAAAAAATAAGGCTTTAGGAACATTATCAACTTTCAGATTGTTTCTTTTGTACTGATGGGATATTTTAAATAGACATTTTCACCAATCTTCAAATTGTAAAGTAAAAGAGACAACCAAACACTTATTTTGATACAATGTGACGTAAAAGAAGTATTGTCACTAGATGCCAAGAAAAACCTTGAAAATGTTTCATTGAACTGTAGTGTGGATAAACAGATTCAATCTTATAAGATAGTTTGGCAAAAGATTTAACGTTGCTATTCATCGTAGACTGACATCAGTTGGAGGAACAAAGGAAACCTGAGAGCACTGGACAGCTGTTTCGTTATAGTATGGGACTCCTCAGCAGTAGGCAATCACAATCCCCCCCCCGCCAATGATCGAAACCGTCACCTTCAGGTTCCATGACCAGCACGTTACCATTGAGCTAGCCACTGGGTCGGAATCCAATGGTCCATGTTTCCAACTTTTCTTAGTTCACGATATAGTGCCACCATCACCCAATGTTATCATTGAGTAACTGTTCTCACGACCATCAGGCTTTGCCCCTATCGGTCATGACTTCTCACTGCAACTTCAGGAATACCTCTCGAAATATTTCCAAATCCCCACAACTCCCTCAAAATCCAATCGATTTAAAATTTCATGTCAGTAACAGTATTGATAGAATATGGTGTCAATCATTGGTTAGCTGTTAGGTTTTGATTGTCAAAGAATAATTATACAAATTGACTGCAGTAATTTATTATCCAAGCAACATTATCTTTCAAAGATGTTTAGCTCATTGGGCAAGTTTAACAGTCTGTGTGGAACTTGTTTGTTTGGAATTCTGTTTATTAGATGTTGTTTTTATCACTGCTGCGTTCAAAATTCTGGAAACTTTTTTCAGTAAATCAGTTTTTGAAATATTTGATGAAAAAGGTCAAACAATGTGCACAGTGAGTTCATGATACAAACAAAATCAAGTACGACAGTACTATCATGAAAACTGATATAAGTGCCTAAGTTGCAAGTCAATAAAAATGGCAGATAAATAGAAAAATGTGACCAGAAGTAGAAAACCATATGACAGAAAGCAGTGTGGGGTAAAGCGTGTAAAGGAAAGAGGTAAGATGTTCAGGCTGAATATAATGTCTGCATACATCCTTGTCCCTGAAACCAATTATAAGGCATATCACCTAAGTTTCTCAATCATCGATTTTCCTCGTCATCTGAACTCTAACCTAAGAGTCAACAGTTTTCTGCATGGTCTACACCAACATTGAGACTTCATGAACTGATGTCACATTTCAGTTCGACCAATAGTAGTTGTTTTAGGTGGCCTGTTCACTATTTGGGCTACCAAAACGTTTCCATCGTATATATTACATCAAACTACTCTTTTTAATTGCTTTAATTATTCAGCTGTTAACTTATCGTTAAATGTACTCTCGTGCACACACAAAATGTCTCCTGCTTATCGCTGCACAAGTTAGTAACAAAACTGTAGAAAAATGTAACAGTAGACAGCATTCGTCTCTTCAATTCATAACAGTTCATTACATAAGTATTACAGGGATGGTTAACAGAAACTGCAAATAATAATAATCCCCCTCCCACCAAGCCTATGGATGCTTTTCTATTCGTCTCCTTATGCAACAACAAACCCTTAAACTAGACGATATCCTAAAAACAATTGAGTGTTGTGTATTATAGCTTATCATACTGCTATCATGAGCCTTATTAAACTGCGATGGTTATTTACTTTGAAAATACTTTTCCTATTGGTAAGTTTGTAAACACAGCACTGAAAATTTGATGCTGAATTAAAAACTATTGTCCAGAATAAAGTGGTTGTTATTGTGGTAAAATTTTTCAGCTTAACCCCAGTTTATGTAACATCAGACATTAGATGTGCGTCACGCAGGTACAGGTTATCTTAGTTGATGAACATGAACAACCTTATCAATTAACTTATACCCTTTACCTAGGATATTCATAGCTGGCATGTACACTACTGCCGTATTGGTTTCAAAACAGGTGCTCAGCGCCACGGAGGCAATGAATAGCGAACACCTATGACTTTCTAATGTCCACGAAATTGGATGAAACTGCCTCATATCCATTAGGCAAAGCAAACTGCTGAACACTATACTAGATCCCGATTAAGGAGTTGAATGACTCGTCAGTGCCATAAGTTGGTAAAAGCTAATCAATGTATGTTACGTCCGTCCTGAGATTTCGTCAGTTTCTTGTCCCTTAAGGCTAACTTAACTTCCGAAGTAAAAAAAAACTGTTACTGGACTCACTCACTTCACTGGTTATTATCATCCAAGGTATTCAAGTAAGCTTACCCCAAAATAACAAACAAAGTAAACGCTAAATTTATCTAGTCACCTAACATATGCATAATATAATAGATACTTATGAAGACAAATGAACTTCAATTATATGTGAGACTTCAATTAGGTGACGTACTGTGACATGCATTCAGTGTCGTCGTTGAGTAACTGTCGTCATAACCAACTTGGTTAGCCCCGACAATCAAGACTCCCCACTAAGACTTTAAGAATCATATCTCGACGCTAGTCACCAATGAGCACAAGATTAATTCAATTTTAAAGTTTTTAGGGGGATCTATTCATTGATTTCAGGTTGGTATTCATCATGGACTGGTATCAGATTGAAAAACATTAGAAATCTGGTAGTACTGAATAGGTGTTTTGTGGACTGACAGAATTAGAAAATGTAGACCATTTAATCGAACGGAACCTGAATATCCTGGCTTTTATCCTTGGGGGGTGGGTGGGGGGGGGTGGAGTGGGTGTCATGAGTACGCACTGCCCAGGAGTCCCATACAAGGGTGAAACAAATGTCCAGCACTTCCAGGTTTCTATTGTTTTTCCGATGGATATCAGTTTATGAATAAACAATTCTCCCATAAATTTAAGTAAATATTGAATAATATGAGTTACAGCTACACCAAGAAAAGTTGGACACAACTGATAAAAAATATCCAACCACATAGTGGACAGTTTTGCATAAAAATAATTTAGCTAATGGTTTACACTAACCGAAACAGTACCAGTAGAGCATAGAAAAAATTTTGAAAATTATTATTTCTATGCAGATTAGGCCATTCCTCTTCTTCCAATGGATTTTCCTCAATTGAAATTTGCCCAAATAATTGCATTCCGATCACAGCATAAATAAAAAATATCATTGCGATCAACAGAGCAACATATGGTAATGCCTTAAATCAATCAAAAAAAAATGAATAGGTATCATTGAGTTATTTCTTCTGAAAACTAAGAATTCATATATCTGTCAAGAATAATAGTAGATGTCTAAAGAAATTAGTATTTTGACAGATATACAACACTTTATTGTGATGTGATTTCAAATAAACACGCTGTTTCCGTAATGGAAAGCAGATTCATGCCAACAGAAAACATTTCAGTGAATATTTCATTTAATACGTTGTATTTTAAAAGAAAAATTTGTTCTTGAAGCGAAAAATTTCCGACGAGTAACTTTATCTGCAGAACTAGTATCTTGTTCAGGTCAAAAAGTCCGTTGAAAATTTAGAAAAATTACTATATATCATAGGAGATTTATTTACTTGAAATAAATAATGTACCGCTAAAATTTTATTTCCGATTTTCACTCTTTTTTTTCGATAACAACCATCTTTCAAACAGTTTTTATTTTTTCATAACTTCTTTGTGCAATGAAGTTTTTTTAGCGGTTAGATTGATTTTACGGGGAAGGATTGCTAGCCTTATACCCAACTTCTCTCTTTATCCGGGCTTAGGACCAGCTAGTAACTAGCCAAGTAGTTAACCAGGCAGAAGAAAGTGAAGATGGATTGGGCATATACTGAGAAGGCCGGCCGCGTACATCATGTGCCAAGCCAGGCCCCCGGGGGGAACCCGAAAGAGAAACGTCGAGTTGGGCGCCGGAGGGTGACATGGAGGAGATCATATGAGGAGGAAATAAAAACTTGTGGGTAGTCGTAGCGCCAAGTTCAAGAGACTGTGGAGAACAGAGTGAAATGGAGGAGTGCTACTGAAGCCCTATGTTCCACTAGGAACCCAAGGGAAAATAACAATTATATCTTTCAAACATAAAAAAACAAAGCGTTACCTTTCATGAAAGATAACACGTTGAATTCTCTATCGTATCAGAGTTAGGAATTCTATCCCTATAGAATAAATTTATAGATGATTTGTTTTTGGTGATCTCCAATTTTTCTGTCAAATTCACTTATTTGAGAAGTATTATTATGGCATAGATGGAAAAAGATTCTTGACTAATATATGTGTTTTTATATGAAACAATAAAGAATTAAACTTCAGGAGTTACGATAAATTATTAAAAGTGACAAATCACTAGGTTGGTAACTTGACATATCAAACATCTAAAAAACTAAATCGTTTCTGATACGTACGGTCTGTTAGTGAAAAACTGCATAGACAAATACATTAACCTTCAATCAGTTCATCTAATAAACGAAATGTAGTTAGATAGTTCAGTCATTATCCATATAATGAAAAAGCGTATTCGTCTGTATCATTAACACTGGTAAGAATGAGACTTATTTACGCCAATTGAAACCTCAACATACTATCGTGTTTACTTCACAATTGTATGCAGTTGGTGTATTTAGGAGATAAACTACTTGAAATTAGGTTAATTTAGTAAAAACATAATCGAAAGTTGTTTGGCTAGTGTTATAAAAGGACAGAAACAGTAGGAAACTGTCATTTAATTTTATTTGAAAAACAAGTGTTGGATATATAACTTGTAATGAAGTAGGTTTATGCTTGTTACCTGTATTGACTTGATGAAAGTCCACAGTAGCTGTCGTATAGATTCTTCTTTACTCAGTAACTTGATCAGTCGCATAACACGAAATAGTCGAAAGAAATTTACACTGAATTTCACTTGACTTATATCGGACTAAAGCAGAAGAAAGAGGAAGCAAGTACCACTGATTTTTAGATGAAAAAGTAGGGCAACCAAATCTTATCACTTAGGATATGGAACAAAACAGCAGTTGAAAAAGTAACCTTTTAATAACAACAATATAATTCCATGAAAAGCTTTATTTTAAAAGCTTCGTAGTTCGGTTTTATTTGTGCATATTTTTATTCTCAGCATTTGAGGCTGCCGGCGAAAATGTAGATAGTTTCAGCATCCTAATCTTTAACTAGCGCCTTTTGCATGCTGCTGGTACTTCAAAAGATGTTCCATGAAGTCTGGTTTAGATTACAAGTATAGCATTCGTGACTAAATGAAAAAATGATTAATAGAACTCATTGAGCACTCAGGAATAGATAATATATAATTAATTACTTTCCAGTGATCCGTCAGCTTATGTACTGTTGTCCTATAAGAGGTTAGCCGGGGTTCAAATAGCTTAGTGGTAAATTCTCTAACTACAGCTCTTGTTGACAGCTGTTTGAATCAGTTTCCCTGAGGTTTCAGATATGTCTTACTTACAGTCCTCAACAAGCGCGAAACCTAGGTGCAAGGCTTCCTTCCGATAGCTCTCAAATATCTAATAACAATTGCATTTCGTTTGCACATTATATTAATGATGTGATAAGGAGTATCCTATGGCTACAAAAGTAATCATAATTCTACGGACAGCTAAAATACCGATGCATCGTGACAAAGTAAGGTACATTATATCTTCAGTCACTGTTGTCGTGCAAAGTACAAAGTATGCTTCCGTAGTCACTTTAATACTTTAATCATGAAAGTGGCGTCTTCTTATGAAAAGTATAGTTAAACCATCGGTGTTCTGTTTCTGTCAAAACAGATTCGCATCACTGAAGGAGCGTGTACCCGAGATAATGTAATTGATTCAGGTAGACAATATACCATAGGGTACTTTCGATTAGAGCCTACAATATTTGAAGCAGAACATAAAAAGAAGAACCTTTTAATAAACTAATCTTGTTAGTTTAAGTTCGGTTACAATATTAGCGAACGGTTTCGATACTTACATGAAAAGCTTACTCTAAAAACAAGCTTTCAATTCATTTCCTTGAAGTAATTGGTCATCAACCATCAGAAAATATCAGATACTCAGTTTTAAGCAGTCACATATATTTAGTGGAGCTCAAACTTCAAGGTACTTACCTATACTTAGTTAATTTATTCATCCTTAGTCTACTTTCCTCTGACCTTAATATAATACTAATCAGTGCAAATATTAAGAAATTGCTGAATCCGTTCACTGGTAAAAACACTGTCCTCACCTAAACTTCTACCACCTTTCTTCATACTGACAATAATTAGATAATGAGCATACGATAAGCAGACACTTTTTGCCGCGTAAATATGTATCCAACAGTTCGCCTGTTCCGATGAAGCAAGGCGTATCGACAAAATTCAGCGTCTACTTTCTAAATACAGTGCTGAACACATACCATCTTAGTTTCAGAAAAGAGAAAAAATAACCTCTCGCATTTCGATTTTATGGCATTTGATCGATTCTAGGAGCTAGGTGAACCTATACCTTAGTTTAAATGTCATCTGAATAACATATGGAAGTCTCTTAAAACTTTACCAATTAAGTTTCTGCAAACTGTTTATTCATATTTAAAAACCTGAGCTCTGAATACAAACGAAGTTTGTTCAATCATTTGATTTACAATAAGCTAGACCTGTGTGAACCCACTTATTCAAACTTCATTTAGCTGCAACTAAATCTTTATTTATGCATTACATGATGCCTTCGGGGCCTCAAGAACTTTATCAGAAAACAGGATTTAGTTACAATACTTTTAGATCTATTGCTTTTGTGTCGCTTAGCGAATGTTATATAGATAATATAAGTTACTGTATAGCTTGAGAATGAAGCACTGGATAGATAAACTCTCTGCTAAGTGTCTCTTTCTGATGACTCAATAGGAATTTTCAAAGTATGTCTGTTTGGAACGAAGAACTTCTTCACATAGTAGTACCATAATGCTTTTTGTGTGCAAAACTGAATAAATCTGACAGTGTAGTGAGATGACGGTAACAGCTTTACGATTGAAAAAATTGAATAGATTGTTACTGAAGTTTCATGTCAATCGCTCTGCAGTGATAAAATAGATAAAAATCAACAGCGAAATAATATATAAACACTTAAGGAGTATAACTCCTACTTGATTAACAAGAATGTTAGATAAGTTAGCCCACCTGTGTAACAATTATGTCTATATAGCTTCCAAGAACTAAAACAAAATCAATAACATTCCAGATATCGCCAAAGTAATGCTGAAAATAGAAAAACAAATGTACAAATAATGCTATTCTTGTGCGCTTAAACTTATTATCTGAATAGTGATTATATCCTCAGTGCTTAAAAACTTAATCAAAACAGTTAATCGTAGAATGCTTACTATTAATCCTAGTTCGCTATAAAACTATATCACTATCTGAACTCCGTAAGACTGAGAAATGAAATTTATAGATTATTATTTAAGTTTTTTAGATACACGTTGTAAAGGAAATGAATAGCACATTTCAGTGTAAAAGCTGACGCAAGCATGATATAGGTAATGCTCATGATAAATATGAAATGATTTTCTAGTCCAAAATTAAGCAATGATTATCAAATGTTAATAACCGTTGTCAATCGTATTTTTTATGGGCTATCGAATGTGGTTTGGATCATGTCTCAGCACCAATCCACCATTGAATAAGAAATAAAAAATTTTTTCAAGATTTAGAATCTATTAAAAAAACATGAAATTCAACATGAATTCAATATTGTATATTGTTAGCAACTAACAGAACTTCAATAAGGTTTGCAGTAGAAGGGCTACTAACTAGTCAAAGTTGGTCTTTCATCAAGATGTATTTAGTAAAGTTCAAGACAATTTTCCTGTTTACGGTGAAACCATTAAAATACCGGCGTAAAAAAATATGATTTAGGTTACAATAATTTTATATCGATATTTAGGAAAGAATAGGTGAGTGAAACTATTTTTACAAAAGACAAGTAGTTTTTACTTTGACTAATTATTAAGAAGAGTAGTTATAGGTTAAGATAAAAGTATCTGAAATAAAATAATTCCAAGATTTCATTAATAGTCTGATTAAAGTCATTTCAGAAAATTGAACCAAAACCAAGATACAAAGGATGGAAATTAAGTCATTAAATCTGTCCAGTAATCCTGTTCAAGATATTATTGTTTAATGGAAGTTTTGTAGACTGTTTTAAAATATAACAATAGTATCCAGAACTAATAGGTACCAATCGAAATTTGTCAATTATTCAGCATTAATGTCAAATAAAGTAAATGATTGTCATTGAGGAAATAAATTTTTATTTGGTCATTTAGACTTAAAAGAAGAATACAAGAATGAGAGCTTGATTCAAGCTAATAAACTTGGAAATAAGAAATGAAAGTATATAAGAACAAATAGTATAATGCACTCGCTACTCTTTCAATGGAGGCCTTGTAATGTAAACCCAAATTTCAACTATGCATCCTATGAGATATTATTGTTTGATGTAAGTTACATTGAAATTAACGAACTACCATAGTTCAATGGAATATGACTAATAAACCGATTTCTATTCATCGACGTTTACTGAATTATGCGCAAAGATTTGTTGATGTTTGTTCGATCATGTGACGAAGAACGTGGTGGCAAAGATGTAATTATATATTCAATAGAAGTAGTTACTTGCTACACTTTTTCATTTCAGCGTTAGCTTGAGTTTAGTCAGTATTGTCGGTGATTTTACTACTCATTGCATTCTCAAATATAAGTCTTATGAAACTTCTACTGTGTTCTGAAAGAAATTCTAGTTCAGTAGTTGTTTTTTCAGGTATTTGGTTATTTGAGTCCGTGGAAATATTGTCAGCCAAAAGTCTTTCCAGCTCTTTATCACTCATAAAGAGTTGTTTATATAAATCTCTGTGTCTTTCCATGTACTAGATGTACAAGTAACTAAAATCGAAGAATACATATGGGTTATATCCCAATTTCTGCTTTCCTTTCGTAAAAATGGATCATCTAATCTTGTAGTGTAGGCTTTAAAAAGATGTGAGTTACTTTTCAGTTTAACTTCACAATTTTGAAAATAATCGTAGAGTCACATAAATAAAACAAATGAAATACCATAGCACAAGCTTTTTTCTATGTTACAAACAATGAAATAATATTTGAGATGAATGGGGATTTTTTTAATTTAGAAGTAGTACTCATCATGGATTGACATCAATTGGGGAACCATTGAAATTTGGGAGCACTAGATAGCTATTTCGCCGTAGTATGGGACTTCTCAGCAGTATGCACCCATGAGGAGTCCCATACTAGGACAAAACAGCTGTCCAGTACCCCCAGTCTTTCAATCGTTCCCCAACTGATGTCAGTCCATGATGAATACTACTTCTAAATGAAAGAATCATCATAATATATTTGACGAATCATAGTTATTCAGTATCGGGTGTGGGCTTAAACGTTTATAAACAAGCGATTAGAAACTTTATCAAATATGGGACTACTTAGAAACATACATTAAACTTTATCAACTGAACAGTGAAACATTCATCAAATGTCATCTTTCAGTTATATTTTTGGAGACTAGTTCTTTGAGATTACTTCATAAATATCAAAATATATTCAGTGTGTTCTATTTTATTTACTAACTCATAAAGCAAATATTCGCAATAAGTATGTTATTTTTATGCTATCTATAATGTTATAACAGGGGCTACTTTAGGAAGTATTCATATTGTCCAATCAAATAATAAAACATGCGCATACAGAAGAGTATGAAGATCAACTCCAGATAGCTTTCAGCATTTGTGTTCAGCTTTGGGTGATGTGATGAGAAGATGGATCAAATACATCATAGTTCCGGACTAGATAATCAGCAATAGAAAGATTAAGAAAGGAACAATTTCAGATGTATTTTTAAGATGATGTTTAGAATGTAAACTTCATCTCTGATGATTTGATATTTTATAGGATTTTTCAGTTAACACTTGTACTTTTAACATCGACATTTACAACTAGTAAAACTTTTCAAAGCGTGACCCTCTTCAAGTAGTAGGCTAATACTTTACTCTACTTAGATAAACGTATCTTGGTTTATTTCATTATGGTACTTCAGTGTTCTACAGTTTAGATATATGTGGTTAGAAAAAGATCGGAATCAGAAGGTGCTAACGGTGTGTCAAATTTGTCAAGATATTTTTCCGAAAGTAGTATACCTTCTACCTGATAGTAATGTCCAGAGAAACTCTGTGGAGAATACTATTATTCTTATTCTTTGTAAATCATCTAGACGTATCCAGTTATACAACATTATATTATGAAAATTAAAAATTATGATTTGTTAATTATCACATTTCAAATTGATAGTCATATAAACAGTGTAATTCAATTTAATTGAAACTTACACGAAAACTGAATGCAGATAAACGAAGTACAAATTCAACTGTGAATACAGCAGTGAAGAAATAATTGAACGAATCCAATATCCTCGCCTCATATTTATCTTGCTTATCGTACTACAATATAATATATGAAATAAAATTACTACAAATTTACCTTTTTTTAAATATTAACTTAATATTAAAATTGTGAGCTGTTAAAAACACTGAAGTTGTTTCCGTTATTTGACTAATATTTGAATAGGATTTTGGTTAAATGTAAATTAAATCTACATTGATTAGTCACTAAAAAAGGGAACTAATTTCGTGATTTCTAGTTCCGATCGGTGAGTACTCAAGATCGATCAGTGTATGTAATCCAGTCATACAGGAGGTCAAGTGCTGCCTGAATAAATCGATGGTTGTGTCTGAGAATCCAGCAATGAGTGACATGAGTTCGATTTTCATAGGGGATATCAGTACCCTTAAGGTGAAAGATATATCTTACTGACGAATGCAAACAAGAGCAAAATCCTAGGTCCAATGCTTCCTATAGATTTTCCCTAACTAACTTACTGTTATTATTTGTCCCTTGGGTTCCTAATGGAACATAGGGCTTCACTAGCACGTCTCCAGTGCACTGTCTTCTCTTTAATCTTTTGAACCTGACTCCACGACAACGCAGAAGCTCTCATTTCTTTCTCACATGATTTCTTCCATATCCTCGAACGCCCAACTCGTCGTTTCCCATTTGGATTCCACTCGATGACCTGGCCTGGCATGTGATGTCCCCAGTCAGCCCTCTCAGTGTATGCCCAATCCACTTCCTTCTGCATATTTGTTGAGTGATAAGTTCTTTCTTCGTTGGTTCGCTGCCCAGCCAGAATGCTTTGTCGCTTATTCTTGTTATCCTGGCCACCTGATCTATCTTCAGTATCGAGTGAGCATAAACGGCAGCTGTTGATGGATGTCCGTATTTTGTTGGAAACGCTTTTCGTGACGCGACAAGTTCCTGAACCATGTAGAAGCACCGACTTGACATTGGTGTTGAAAATCCGGATCTTGTTCTCGCTTTGTGCTGTGTGCAGTAGATCTCCACACTGGTTTTAGGTTAATGAAAGTCTGTCTTGCTTTTCCGATCCTGGCTGCTTTGACATCCTCGTCTGTGCCTGTGCTGCCTATAGTTGGAACGATGCTGCCTTGCCTAGATAGGTAGAAGAGACTACTTCCTTCAAGTATCTCCTATTGATGGTAATTGGAGCTTGTTTTTGGTGATGGCGTTGGTTGGGTATCATCACCACATCTGTCTTCTCTACGTTCACCTGAAGTCCTGTCTTCTCTGCCTCTTCTGTCAGTTTGTTAGTCTGTCTAACTAACCAACATAATCTGAATTTTCAATTCTTGATAGCTGTTGCTTTGACTGCAACACGAAATCAGCAGTCATTGTAATATTTTACATATAATTTTACAATCTGTCAATCGGAATAATTTTTATTTAGCCTTTTAGTGAATAGTTGTAGATTTATCATTAGGCAATTTTTTATTACAAACATGTTTTTGTCCTGATTTCACTGTCAGTGAAGTATTCTTGGGTATTTTAGATACATATTTTATAAAAAGAAAACATTTCAAAGTGACAAACCAGCCCTGATATTCAAATAATCAACCTAATTAGGATTCCTTTCTCCAATAGATAACGATGATCATAACAGCAATATACATATTTAGTGAATACATGCATGGACAGTTATACGTAGAAGAGATTACACAATATTTCTATGGTCATAAAAATAGTGGACGTAATATTTACACAGGTATTTATATTTGAAATGTTAACTGTTGTTTCTCGGTGGCTTAGTGGATAAGCCTTTGGCATTTGAGGCTATAAGTACTGGATTTCAGTCTCAGTGTGAACAAAATAACTCACTGAGATGTAAGTACACCGATCTGACAAATCGCAAACAGGATTAAATATGCGCCCTGCATCCCACTGTCAGCCACCAAACAGACTACAATATAACAGTCAGTAACTGAGTTACTAATGAAGACTGTACACCGATTCAGTCCTTTCAAGCTTTCAAAAGGTTTGATGTTCAAAAAAAGAGCTATCAGAGGAAATATGATGCGTTTCTTCAAGACTACTTTCTTTTCATGTGGTTTTCACGTTTATTCGAAGTCTTAACTACAACCTAGTCAACCACGAACATGAAGTTGGATCACATAGTAATAATAGTAAAGGAAACATGAGAAAGGATTTGTATTCATTGACATTACTTGCTTACTTTTAACATTAATGCTACTGTGTTTATAAAAATAAATATGAATATCAGTATTTCAAACTTTTTCGATACAACCACAGACCATATTTTAAACTGGAAATGTCCTTTTGGAATGTAACGTCGACGCGGTCTAGCTTTCAGTGCATATTCTATGCATTTACGCTAGAAAAACAGAAACAAATGTGATCAGTTACACTAGAAGAAAATTCTTATTAAGTAACATCGGAAGTCAGTTGAAAAAGCGTAATTATAGTCCACACCAAGAATTTACATTTTATAATTTACCACAATATATGGCAAAATTGATTTATTATACTATTTTTCCCTTGGGATTCTTATGGAACATGGGGCTTCAGTAGCACAACTTCTGTATATTTGTTGAGCGATAGGTTATTGGTTTGTTCGTTCCCAAAGTTCCTCGTTGCTTTCTCTTGTTATTCTGGCCACCTGATCTATCTTCAGTATCGAGTGAGCATAAACGGCAGCTGTTGACGAATGTCTGTAGTTGGTTGGAAGTGCTTTACGTGACGCGACAAGTTGCTGAACCATGTAGAAGCACCGACTTGACATTGGTGTTGAAAATCCGGATCTTTTTTCACAGTAGATCTCCACACTGATTTCAGATTATTGAAAGCCTGTCTTGCTTTCCCAATCATGGTCTGTGCCGCCTGTAGTTGAAACGTTGCTGCCTTGCCTAGGTAGGTGAAAGAGGTTTCTCCCATTGGTGGTGATTGGAACTTGTTGTTGTTGGTGGCGTTGGTTCGGTATCTTTATCATCTCCGTCTTCTCTACATTCACTTGAAGTACCATCTTGACTGCCCTGCCTCTTCTGTCAACTTGTTAGTTTTCGCCTATAGAGCTTCGAGTTTCTGCGACAAGACATTAGACATAATTCATCATCATCGGCGAAGTCCAAATCTTCTCCTGGGGTGTTTTCATCGGTCCAGCCAGCGGATGCCCATCCAGTCCACCACAATTAGGAAGATCATAGGTGATAGTAGATAGCCTTGTCCTACTTCTGTCTTCACTTCAAAGGTATCTCTGAGATTTCCATCGTGGATCACTTGGTATGTGGCGTCTTCATATAGCTGTTGAATGAGGTTGATAAAGGTTTGTGGAACTCCGTAGTGTTGAAGCGATTGCCAAATTACTTCACATTAACACTTATATGACTATAATAAGATAGTTTTCAGAATACAGTGTATGATATCAACACATATGCGACAGTACACTTTACAATCATTCTTTTTATGCAGATTAAAAAATCCAGTAAACAGCTGTACTGCTGAGAATTAGGTTGACCTTTAAAATTGTGTTAGATACCACACTAGTTTAAAGTTTTCTCAAACATCTATAGTTTCTTCATTTCCTTACTTCACATAATCACAAAACCAATGTCTACTAAGAAGAAAAATTATCTTAACAAAAGTTAAAGATAGTAAAATATACAAGGCCAGATTATATAAAATCAAGTGTTTGAAAAGACGTCAACTAAGAAATTGGTAAACCTCTATGTGAAAAACAAGAGTATTAAAATATACTGTAGAGAATTCGCTCAAAAGAAAAAAAAATAATTTATCTGTTCTATAGAAAAATTGATGATTATGATATGCCCTCAGAAACAACGTAACAGATCATCTTAAGATGTAATTAAACACGTCTAAGGAATCTAAACTGCAATGTTTGAAAGTTTTAAAAACCAGTATCATTTGTGAAATCTTCAAACGATTATGACAAATAGGGAAGTTAAGAGTCAGTATAAATATATTGAACAGTTCTAAGAAATACTATATAGTGGACTGTAGACAATTTTTACCTCATATTTCAGGTTAATTTATAAGTGACCATAATGTATCTACTAATATATCAATCAATTTTGACAATCATATCACAAAGCATAAAAGTACGTGAACATATTGAGTACAAGACAGTTCAAGACAATAGAAAAATCTTAGGAGTTACGACTTCCCAGTCAATCAACAAGCCTCCTTGAATAAATTCAACTTATCCAAATGATTAGGTTAAGAATGAACAACGACAGAACCAGAAGCCTATTAAATGAAAGTTGTTTCAGTATACATTCAAAATTCCATCATACATTTACTTGAATAAAAGCAGTAGCCTTCAGGATTTTCCATAAGTATCCCTATATCACACCCATCTTTAGTTATTCTACTGGCCACAACCAAGTAAATTATCATAATTATTATTCAGGCAATATCGAGGCACTCGCATAAGAGCCTATATGCCAACAGAGATCGAACAATTTGATTCAATAAAACAACGGAGAATTACAAGCATGAAAATAAATAGTAATAACTAAAACCCGTTGTACAAGAAGTGGCTATAGTGCCTCTGTGGCCTAGTGGGTAACGCTGTGGCATTTGAAGCAATGGATACGATGTTTTTGTCTCAGTGGGAACAACCCTCACTGGGGTGCAGGTACATCCAGCTGACCAGTGAGTCTCAAGTGGGACGAAACGTGCGTCTTGGATTTCTCTGCTAGCCACAACCAAGTAAGTTATTATAAGTTAGACTGTCTACAGTTTTGCTTTTTAAGCAAGCTTCTTCGACTGAATATGCAGAATCTACTCGTTTTTAGCGATAAAATTTTACTGATTCTAGAATATATAATGTAAACAGTTAAGAATAATGTAAATGACTTGATACAATTTCTTACTTGATTTTTATTCAGTTCACAGTTTTTATATTCAGCTTCACCTTCTTTTTGAAATGTCACAATGACAAAACCAACGAATATATTAATCATAAAGAATGGAATAACAATAATAAATGTTATGTAGAAAAATGCAACAATTGGCCGATAATTTGTAATTGGCCCATGGTCTTCCGCATTCGAATCAATTGACCTATATAATAAACTGAAAATAGACAAAGAATATATACTTCTTTCTTGTTATAATAACTTATCTAGATATTCACATAATTGGCTTATATCGATAGGTTTAATTTAAAGATCCTGGCAGCCACTGTAGTTGTTTATTCGTGCATATATATATATATATATAAATATATATATATATATAATATCCGTTGTGAAAACTCAGTAGTAACCCTTCTGGCAGCTAACGGAAAGAATGAAAAAGAGACCCCAGTAATAAAGAATAAGGTATGTGTAGATGTAAATGAAAAGCACAGCTTTAGATATATATTATAATCAGAAGCCTTGAAGACTAAACAAAAAGTAAATAACCTGCAACTATTCGAGTAAAACTTAATCACTACTGTTTTTTAGTATCAAGAGGGAGTACCTGGGGTCGTTGGTGCTATTGGTATCATTGTTAAAGTTACTCCTGTGCATTCCAGTTGATCATCAGTGTATAACCGATACAGCTGTCAAGTTCACTGTAAATTGATGTTAGATTTCAGGATTTAATCAGTGGGATGTCCAGGACCAAGATTTTGCGCCTGTTGGAGGAAACTAGTGCTTCCTTGATTATTCTAACTAGTATCAGTCAGGGTTGAAATGAAAGACTTCCTAACTAAGCTACTCAAGGCTTGAACTGTGTAAAGCGGAAAATGCTGTTCACTTATACTAATCAAGACCACTTTCGTACCTGTTATAATACATCAACCTGTCTTGTTGACAAATTTCGTCGAAAATACACTTGTGCTCTATATTTATTCGTAAAGTTTTGATTAAAAACTTAGTAGAATATACACTTGAAGAAAAAAATCGGTATTCCTTTTTACAAATTTCCATCCTACTCATTGAATCAAAACCTCACTGTCAAGTTAAAACTATGATGAAAGTCAAGCACTGACTGCTGTAGATTTCAGCTCTTAATGCTTAAATATTTCATAGTGAGAGAAATAGCAAAATCGCAGGTGGTAGGATGAATAATGTTTGAATTTACAGTGTCGAATTTATCCTGTTGTAGGCTGTACCTCAAGTTAGTAATTGTATGTATTTTTCGTGAATACGTAGCCCACCTTTCCTCATGTATATATCTCCAACTTCTGTTGTACACAGGCGACGCATTGATGAATTTGTTAGTAAACTAAATGAAACCCCATAAATCATGGAAAGGCAGTTGTCAAACTAAATTTAGTGTTTGTAGTCTATTGGATGTCAAAAAGACAAATTCATTCGTGAAAACATCCAACGCATTTTGAAATAAAGACAGACAACATCAACATAGGACCCGGCAATTCTGCGTAACGGTCTAGGTTTCCACACTTCATATCATCACATCAAGGGAAGGAAGCAATCAAAAGTGGAAGAAATTTGTGATAAGATAATAGGAAGGTGCAATAAAATACTGAATTCAGTGTGACAAAATAGATGAGAATAAATTTTGGATACATCTGCACCAGTGACCGTAATTCTGAGCCACATTACTTAGAGTCTTACACTACCACCTTCCGTTTATTTATTATGAAATAAAAATTACATTCAAATAAAAGCTATTTTATACCTAATATTACTCATTTCGCTAACTAGCAATGACGAACTAAAGGATGTTCGGTGGACAATAGTTGATCAGTTAGTGCTCAAATTGCTCTACTTTATAAACGAAAAATCCATATCTCTGAAACGAATGCATATGGCACGCAGCTCAAGCTCACTTCTTTTACTGAAGGTATAAATTAAAGTATATATGCCAACGTAGTATGTTTAAAAAAGGCTCTTACGATGTATGAGAGAATTGCCGAAGTATACGGAGTCTGTAATGAATTCCATCAAATGGATTTTGATTGTCACACTAACAGACCACGCATAACCAAAGAAAAATCTATTGCCTGATATGAGCTAACTGCTTGAAATCAGCTTTCGGATAGAGAAAACTAGTGTAGCACATACTAATTTGGGTAGACTATGGGATAGTTTTGGTATTATTTAAGTCCAGTTTGCACGATTAGAAGGTATATTCACGGAAAAAGTCGGCAAAAGTTTCAGTTATTTGAAGCGATAACGTTTGCACTGTTTCTCAGTATGAATAGGCTCATCAATAATGCTAAACCTCTAGAGATTCCATTTTATCACCTCGAAAACTTTCTTTTTTGAGCTAATTCTATTCGTCATTCGAAAGTTATAACAACCGTTACTGGGAAACAGAAGTAACCTTAATAAATCATTTCTGTGACTCAAACGCTTCTTCATAATATAAAATACTAAAAGATGTCAGTATTACCTTTTCATTAGAAGAACAGTCGATCTAGGTGCGCTCTGCTGAGAAGCCCCACCCTAGAACGAAACAGCTGTCCAGTTCTCCTGGGTTTCCAGTGTTTCTCCAACTAATGTTAGTGCAAGATGAATACTAAACTGGAACCGTCGTTTTATGTAGAGTAAATATGAACTGTGTTGTAATATAGTACTCTACTTGTTGGGATATTTCGTTGTTTTGTTGTTTAATAATTGTACTTTCCAATCAGGAGTTAGTTTATAGAAACAAGCACTGAATTTCCTAAATGTTAGATACTGTGACGATAAAACATCGTTTGCTGAAATAGCAAGCATATCTATGTTAATAATGTAATTCATAGCATCTTTATTCTAGATAGCAATAAGTCTCGTGTCAAGTTAACTAGTTTCTCTAATCACACAACCACTCAGTTTTTGTAGTTTATGCTGAGCATGTACAGTGAATTGTTGACATTCTGTAGTATGTATTCATAAAAACTTTTCTGTATTATGTAAGATACCGAATACGTTATGTTTGAGCATAATACTTATATTTCAAATTAAACGAATGTATACAGCTGTGAATTCAATATAATATATTATTCAATCAGAAACACGGTGAACTAGTTTCGTGTTTACTAACTTAGAGAAACTTTAAATACATTGCACTGTATAGGCAACCCAAATTAGATTTCACACTTACGTTGGCCATCCTTCAAATGTGGAAACTGCAAATAGCGTAAGCAAGGCATTTGGAACGTTGTCAAAATTGAAATCAGCATTTTTCCATTCTCTTTCACTGAGAACAGGATTGTCCAAACTCATATCTTTATATTCAATAAACTGACCTCTAAAATATTAGGATAAAAAAGGATTTATACATATATATGTATAATCAACAGATTTTCGTACTTGTGACAAATTAAAGTAATTGCACTCTATATTTTCTCTTCTCTTCTTCTTCAAAATATAACTGAAAGAAGACACATAAGCAAATGAACATAGATCGTGTCACAGAAGTGAAATATTTCAGGTTGTCACAGTTCACAGCCGCATGTAAAGAAAAAGTCAGTCGAAAAAGTGATATCAGGGTAAAAGAAAGTGTATGAGAGTTCAGAAAATAAGTAGATGAGGGAAATTCAAAGCATCCAAGTTTTGGAAGGTAAAAAATAGTGCATACTTATTCTTCATTATGGTCGACTTTGAGATATATCATCATGATTCTTCCAGCATTGATAGCTATCATTTCGATGACAACAGCCAGCTAGCCAATATCTCCGTACACCGCTCAGACAAGTAAACAAAGACTTCATGAACTAATGCTACGTCCTGGTGTAATCACGCTGGGCCTTCCTCCATCCTCATCCTACTTCAGCTAATACTGTAAATCGAGATACTTGGTGACACAGCATGCGCAAAACACGTTCAAGTCACCTTAGTCTGTAAAGGTTCACAACTTTATCGACTGACTTGTTTACTTTGCATCGTATTCCATACCTTCCATACCATATAGACACGGTTCACATTACTACTCCAATAAATATGAGCAATATGGAGAAGACAAATGCGATTTTAAAAAACCTGTAGCATTTTCAAATGTCATATCAGAAAGTTGTGCAAAAAAAAGAAAAAAACTAATCTTAACAAGTAGTATTTTGTTTCATTTTAATATGCTATGTCGAGTCAAGGAAACCATTTGAACATCAAGCATAAAAGAGACATGTGTGATAACGTTTAGTAGCACTATGCAATGCAACAATTATCTAGCTCTTCCCTTAGTCAAACAGTTGTTGATTATTCGATCGGTGACTGAACAGTAAGTGGTCAATTACTATCATTTGTCAATAGTTGACTGTTTCATTACCGTCCTCCAAAATGACCTTCCCAATATTAATCAAAAGAATCGCAGGAAAACTCCTAGTTACGTTACTTAACATTATGCCTTAACATATAATTAGTCAGAGATCTTTATTCTATACGTGATATTCTTTGAAGGTAGACAAAACACTTTAATGCCTACGCAACCACTAATTGAAGAAAAGTGTCACTTCAAATCGATATAAACTTACTTGCATTCTTCTTCCACATGTTTCGATATATCTGTACATGCGTAGAATTTACCCTTGAATAACTGTACACCGATAACAGCAAACATGAATTCCAGTAAGAAAGTAACAAGAACTATATTGCCAATACTTTTGATGGCAATAACCATACATTGGACAACATGCTGAAAAGAAAAATGCACTATATGAGTTAGCAGTAAGTTACTTTTTAATAATCAGTCTTTTAAGATGACACCTGTTGTACAGATTAGTCACTTAAGTATTATGTAAGATTTATTGTCTGTAAATATTCGCCTACACAAGTGATCTTAGTACACATTGAGGTTTTGTAGTGCACCTCAAACTGTGAGTGAAGAGCAGTGATATTAGAAATAAATTACATGAAGTGTTAACAGAACTCAACTTAGTACATTTATTCACGCTTATCCTGTATAGCTATTCATATCATAAACGAATTAAATGAACTTATCCTAATATTCAAAACCTAATAGACGCTCATTTCGACGTTTATACAAGCTGATTACACAGACTGAATTGTTTAGTACATTTGTCCACTAAAACCAAGTGAACAAGAAAGTATCTTTGATTAACTTTCAGAGAACGGATGTGTCAAATGTAAAAATTATACGCATTTGAAAGGAATATGACTTACCTTCAACCCTTTGGCTCGATTGATAGCTCTTAGCGGTCGAAGCACCCGAAGAACTCTAAGAATTTTTACAGCTGAGATTGTCTGATTTCTACAAACAAAAAAATATGCTTGTTAAGTTTCTTACGCTTTGTATTCAAAAAAGTAGCACTGATATTCATTTACAATAAGTGGATTGCAGTACGGCACCTGAAAATTAAACTTATCCGTTCTATACAGTTCAACTTTATGTTTTCGTCAGTAAACCTTCAAGCGACTATTAAAATATAACAAATTAGTGACACAGTAACGAGCAAAGCTAGATTTTAGAACAGGAAGGAGTGATTCTGCTTCCTTATGGTCGCCTAGATTTATCAATGAAAAATTAAAAAAAAATTAATGATAGAAAAATGATATAATAATAACGGAAACAGCAGTAGTGTATCTAGACACACAGTAAAAGCTTGAAAAAGAAACCCGATTTGTAACTCGAATAAAAGTAAAACTATTAGACTATGCTGCAAATTCACCAATAATTGTACATAATACGCAAAAAATAAGATGTTAATCAACACGGTTAATACTTACTGTAGAACGAATGAAACTAACGCAACGCACACAACGATTAGGTCTAACAAGTTAAAGACACTACGGCAAAACGCCCCTTCATGAAGAACAAATCCGTAGGAGATCATCTGAAAGCGTAAAGAACAAAAACTTGATTTGATTATTAATTAAATAGAAATCAACTATTTTGAACTAAACGAACAGCAGAAAGGAAAGTTTTATCCTGAAGAATTTTCCGTAAAGTATCTAGATACGAAAGGATTTGGTCACGCTTAACAAGCTTATAACTGAGAAGAAACTAAATGTTGCGGTCTATAAACTTGAAACTAGGGCCTTTGTTGTACTTCTTGAAATGGCATAAAAATGTTCACTTTACAGATCTTCCAGACAGGGAAAATTTTCCATTAAAGTGCCTAAACCAAATTCCGAAGCCAAATAAAAGAAAGCGACATATTACTTCCAACATTTTAATGGGTTTGTAGATAAAAGGGTATGACATTCATTATTCAGCTTAAGTTTTAAAAGCCAGTTAAGATGCTTCGTCCCATTCACGTGAATAAGTGTTTTTTTATTGAGATATTGAGGTACTTGGTTCGAGTGTCAGTGAGAACAATATCAGTCACTGGGGTGTATGTACATCCAGCTGACGAGTCCCAAATAGGACAAAACACGCGTTCTGGATTCCAGTGGTAGTCATCAATATGAATGTAACGTCATAAATATCTAGCATTACCAAGGCATCTACATAGAAAGTCATCTAACAACAGAGGTTGAACACTTCGGCTCTTTTTAGCAACGGGAAATGACAAGTATTAAAGCAGCAACTGATACCCATCTCACAAGAAGTGGCTATTGTGCTCCAGTGGCTTAGTGGATAACGCTTTGGAATTATAAGCAACGGATGTTGGGTTGGAGTCTCAATTGGAACAACACTTGCAGATACATCCAGGTGACAAATCTCAGATAGGAAGAAATGCGCGTCCTGGACTCGACTACTTGTTACGGAGATGAATATAAGAAACACTCATTTGTTACAAGAGCTTTATAAAAGAGAAATGGAGGACATACTAATATATTCTATTTATTGATCATATTGACTTTATGACTTTTTTTTAAGCTGTAATTTCGCAGTATTGATATTATTCGAAGATGGGAGGACTTCTCCAAGAGGCAAGGTCCCTCAAAATAATAACTATTCTTTCTCTATGAGTGTTTACATCAGCATGTTTTACTGGACAATGAAAGCTCCAAGATTAAAAAACTCAGCTCAGAGAGCACAATACAATAAAGAGTATTGATGTGTACCTGACATTTGACTTATCACCTCATCTACTGTACAGATATTAAGTCATTGATTCATTAATAGTACATCACTTCGGATTATCAGGTGGAATGCTCTACATGAGATTTGTTAGTTATTGTGCACTATAATCCAACAGCTATGTAAATAACACTGAGCACAGTGCTAAATTTATTTGCAAACAAAGCTATCTCAGTAATATAAAAGTCATCGCTTTGTAGGTTAAAACATTTTCCTGTTGAATCAATCGCTCACGAGTCACTTCTTGTACAGGGATAACTTGTTATTAAAAATTTTGATTTCATGCTTCTCATTTCGTCTAAATGACATGATCCCATCAAAATTGGAAATATTTCTTTGTCAAAAGAAGAGGCTGACCGTAATGTATTGCATTAAAACACTATCCAGTAATGAAATATATAACAAGAATTTTGAAAAAAAAGCGACTTGGATAGAAATTTGATATTTAGCCTATGACTTAGCAGCTGATGAGCTAATGCTTTAAAAAATGGTGATATGTCAAACAACCTTTAAAAATAATATAGCTCAGTTAGGCAAATATAACAAGGTGACCAAGAAAAATCTATATGACTGAAGGTTTTAAGCATTAGTAGAGATACACAAATTATAGTTTGGCTATCATTTTTCTATCTTTGCAAACATAAATCCGATGAACACCCAACATAAACCAGAGTATTTTATACAGGATTCATTTGTCTCAAGATGGTGTCACTAACGTATGAACAGTGTAGATATTGCCCATTAATATCTAGATAGCTTTTTCAAGTTTATAATCAGAATTCAAGCAGTCAGTTGCCACGATGAAAATGCACAACTAACAATAAATGGTACCAAAAATCGGTAAAAGACTAGTGATTCCAAATGAAGCCAAATCGTTTACTCAAACTGAATGGCAAACTGCTACTCGTAAATACTCAGGTATATAATGATTCCGGAAATGCTCTTTTAACTTTTGTATATAGTTGTACCTTCAATCATAGTTCATAAGCGATACCGAAAACAGTCACTTAATAATGCTGATGTTAGGGGGATTGAAGCTGGTTAAAAGTTACATACAACAAGGCTGTCATTAATATGTTGTTAACTCGGCTACTCTAACCTACCTGCGAAAAATAGAAATAGTTGACTTTTTGTAGCCAATCAGGTAGGGAAAAAAGTTGCTGAAGCGCTGAGACTGCATACAATATTCCAGATAAAAGCTGTGCACTGTCGAAAGTTTCTCACTGTTCATATCAAATGCCATTTAATCCAGTTCTACAATTGTCATCTGGACTACAATAACTAATTGCTTTCTCAAGAAGGTATATTAGTTGTTCACTGGCCCTGGTTACGATCTAATTTCTAAACAGTGAATCAGGATTTCATTCTGAATACTACAGTTACATATTTTTCGGAAAGTACTAAGATAAATGTTCACTAGCACCTATATATGTAACGCAGCAATTCACAAATATCTTCCAGCCGTGTACTACAGAGTCGTTTGGGTCACACTTCAACTTTAGTTGGCACGAAACTGTTTTCTTCTTTGAAAAGATACGTCAATAATGCTCAACAATGTTAAAGATAGATGCTGAACCCAGCAAAAAACAGTGAGGTGTCCGAATGCCAGTTTATCACTCATTATTGGCCGCTATGACTGTTCTCATTCGGAGTATGATTTATTCTTTTTTCAAAATTAATATTTTCACTGAAGTAAATTTTGCTGTAAAAAACAGCATAATTATTCACTACAGCCATTGGGGGTAATATGCCTTAATATGCAGAACGTTTTGACGCTCATCTGGAGGTCGGTAGCCTGTTCTCGAATGACTCTATTAATCTAATTAACTGGAATTTTTATTTTCTCAATTCTTACCTCCCGGTGGACTAAAGAACATAACTGTCTATGATAAGCACACTAACGATAAAATGAAGCTGTAATATCTAATAGGAATCCTGTATGCCAATGTGATTTCACGATAGCTGCCACATTCAGTAAAAAAAACAATGAGTGAGATAACTGGAAGTTTATAAGCAACTTACCTTTAGTGTGATTTCAACAGTGAATACACTGGTAAAAAAGTAATCAAACATATTCAAAATCTGTAAGAAAATTTTGAAAAAATGAAAAAGTGACTTATCATGTAATTGTTGATTTTCTACCGTTTGCGAAAGCAATTAAATCATAATAAAAGAAAGGCTAAATTTTACAATACTCAGAACATCCAGTGTATGTAAGTTCGTAGTTCAGTGAGTGACTGACTTACTAAAGGTTATCGGATGTTATCGCATTTAAACCCATCCTGTAATTAAAAGCTACCAATCCAGTTTTAAGCAGCTTCTCTCAGGCTTCTCAAATTCTTCTGTCAAATAAATGTCTGAATATAAGGAAAGCCAGTTAAACAAAGTTTTGTATAAGATTAGATTCGCAGGATGGGACCATTAAAAAGTGTCTAGCCAACCGAATGTTTATAGCTTAATTTGTTGTGAATTGGTTTACAATTTTAATGTTTCAAATGGACCTTTAAATTAAACTTATTAGATATGATGAATAATTACGTAACAAATAAATAAAATTAACTGTTGGCTTTCATCCCAAACTTATATTGTAATAAAAAGGCGCTGATTCTTAAGTGAAACCAAATGAATAATTCATCAATATCTTCAGTTTCCTTCAGCTTTGTAGTCCGTAAAATTAATCTGAACTCAGGATATGACATGTCTGGTCTCATGAAGGGAACTTTGTTCTATACCACATACCAAAGCTTTCAGTATATACATTTGAATCAACCTATATGGCTGACTTTCAGGACTCTAGCGTCCCACAACATTGGCATGATGTGTTCGTGAAACACACAAACAGGACCAAAAAGTTGTTTTTCATTTTATCTTACCTGTTGGAGGTAGTGACTATTTGGTTTACACCACAGCTGTCTAAGACTTAAATACCTGGTTCTCACAAACTTGAAAGTGTAGGTATAGCACTACTTTATACGGTTGACAGAGTACTAGTTGACTAAATCACACTTCACACACATGCGCTATTTCACTGATTAGTTGGGTAAGAATTAGAAAGAATCGTGTTACATACTGATTAACTTTAGCAGTCTTTTTTGCATATCTAGCGGCTGGAGCTCGAAGGGTGTAAGAGATGGGTTCTCCAGAAAGTGATATAGCCACCTGTTAAAAGCCATACTTTAAGATATGGTCACTGTAGAAGGCTTCAAGGCAAAAAGGAACTTTTTTAGCTCAGAGAGAAAGGCAGTTAAGCAACATTTTGGGATTGCCAGACCAGAGAATCTAGAGTGTTTATCGCTTGCCACAACTGCACCTGGATAATCACTCAACCTAAATAGAATCAGCTAAAAGCAAAAGGCTGACACCGTTTGATAGGTGATTTCACCATAAGTTACTGTTAGAGATCTCAGAAGGATTTCCACTAATTCACCAGTATACTTTAAGGGAGTGGCCACCCTTTTGTTTAAGTGTATTTATATTTGTATATCCATGAATTCAGGAGAACTATTGACAGGGGACCTCTACAAGACAAGATGGATTATACAAATCCTAAGGCTACATTTACGAAAGCCTGAGAAGGAGAGTAGCCGGACAAAAGAGTATTGGTTATCCTGAAGAATCCCGTAACCACATACAGTTTACAGTAAAACTAGTGGTAAAGACTCCTACTGCCTGTCAGTGAGAACCAGAAGAGAGAAGCTGATTTCTATTGTTCCCCTAGAAATAATAAGTGTATACTGAGGGATTCCCGGAGGCTTTAAACAAAATGTGGCATTGAAACATTCTAATTGTAGCTTCGTAACAAGTTCACAAAACGACCGTGATCAGTGATGCTTACCCAAGGCTTGACGGATGGAACGGATATAGACAATAGAAAATCGAAGACTGATTTGCGGTCGTATAATGGAAATCGAAATGATAGGCTTGTGATCCATTGACTAAATCAACTGCGCAAACCATGAACAGAACACTCTGAGGAACACTTCAAGTGGTCTACAGGAGTGTGTCCTGATAAACTTGTCAAGGAGGTGTTTAAGGAGGCCAACCAAGTTGTATTTGTCAGACTGATTGCTCATGTGATCCATGACTTTGTTTACTCGTCCTCTGTTTTATCTTTAGTGTAGGTGACTGGTTTATTTGATGTAACACACAGTGACAGTATTACTTACTTGGTGTTATTTCGAGCTTAAATTATTGTTCATAATCGCACGATAACAAAATGGAGTCGGTCCTTATTTCCAGAAGTAAGCTTTCAAATAAGGTATTTTATATGTTAGGCGGAAACAAACGTTTTTCACAACGACTGTTATAGAAGTTTCAGGATTCAATATCATTTCCTTTGCTCATTAAAGATTACTACTGTAGAGGGAATTTAATACATCAGATAAAATGTTGCTTTTCAAGTCTAGAGTAAATAAAACAAATGTTCCTCGAAAACGCTTGCAACACTACGAAGATATACACATTGGTAAAATCGAAAGTATTTTTACCTCACTTCATATAAATCTTTGAAGCATGTGCAGTATAATTTCTCATTTTAAAGAAGGTTCAGAAATGAAACGGATATTTTTAAAGACAGCTCTTCTGTTTCCAATATGTGAAAATAAAGAGAACAAGAGACTGGAAAGTAGGACTGGGAATAAGTTTGAAAAGAAATGGGATATTTACAAAGTAATCAAAGCATATAAATAAAACAGTATAAAGCTTTTATCTAATTTTTTTAAACAAAAAGTGCTGAATGTCTGATCATTTTAAGCACTGAATACAGTACAAGAGTAATAATAAGTAATTTGCAACACTTAAATTCTGACATAATTGTAGAGTTTTCAAGCTGACACTTTTTAAGAGAATGTACAAATTAGGGCAATGAAACAATTAAGAGAAGAATATTCCAATGCATAGACAGATATGGTATAATGGAAGTTGTAAATGTAACAGAGGTGAGCAAGTCACACAACCAACTTACTAACACTGGTTGTAAACCATATCACTCGGAATTTCTAGCCAATAATTTGGAATATCTTCACCAGCGACGGCAGAGCCACCAGTGAACATATGCCCCCCGAAAAATCTCAAAGTTCTGAATCCCATAAAGTTGGTGAAATCCGAGATGAAATTCCGCCAGAAGCACTGAAAACGGAGGCATAGACAACAGCGGACAGGCCCACACCACAGCTGTAGAAGCTTTGGAAGGAAGGAAGGAAATGTACCTGCTGATCTATTGGAAGAAGGGATACCTTCCAAAGAAGGGTGACCTGAGTCTGTACAAGAACTGATGCAGAATCATGCTTCTGTACACCTCAAGCAAAATATCAAACCGCATCATTCTGGAGAGACTAAAAAATGCTCTGGATTCAAAATGACGAACGGAACAGGTTGGCTGACTTCAGGAAGAACAAATCATGTGCGGATCAAATTGCAACGCTACACTACGCATCATCATAGAACAGAATATAGAATGGTAGTCAACTCTCTACTTCTGCTTCATCTATTCTGAAAAGTAATTTGGCAGCTGTTGCTTTAACACTACTGAGTTCCACAAATCTTTGTCAACCTCATTCAACAACTTTATGAAGACGCCATATGCCAAGTAATCCACAATGGAAAGCCCAGTGACGCCTTTGAAGTAAAGACAGGAGTAAGACAACCCTGCCGCCTACTACCACCCATGATCTTCCTGATTGTGGTCGACTGGGTCCTGCAACAGATAAATGTGAAGAGCTGTGGGAAGATGGGCATCCGCTGGCTGGATCGATGAAAACACCCCAGGAGAAGATTTGGACTTCGCCGATGATGATGAATTGTGTCTAATGTCTTGTCGCAGAAACCCGAAGCTCTATAGACGAAAACTAACAAACTGACAGAAGAGGTAGAGAAGACAGGACTTCAGGTGAACGTAGAGAAGACAGAGGTGGTGATGATACCCAACCAACGCCACCACCAAAAACAAGCTCCAACCACCATCAATGGGAGATACTTGAAGGAAGTAGTCTCTTTCACCTATCTAGAGAGCATCGTTCTAACTATAGGCAGCACAGGCACAGACGAGGATGTCAAAGCAGCTAGGATCGGAAAAGCAAGACAGGCTTTCACCAATCTGAAATCAATGTAGAGATCTACTGCACTCAGTATAAATCGCGAACAAGATCCGGATTTTCAACACCAGTGTCAAGTCAGTGCTGCTAGATGGTTCAGAAACTTGACGCATCATGAAAAGCATTTCGAACATACTAAAGCATTCATCAACAGCTGCGTTTATGCTCACTCGATACTGAAGATCGATCAGGTGGCCAGAATAACAAGAGAAAGCAACGCGGAACTCTAGGAACCAATAACCTATCGCCCAACAAGTATGCAGAGGAAAGTGGAGATGGATTGGATTGGGCATACTCTGAGAAGGAACGCCGACTGGAGATATCACGCGCCAGGCCAGGCCGTCGAGTGGAACCTAGATGGGAAACGACAAGTTGGGCGTCCGAGGGGATGGTTATATGGAGGAGATCATGTGAGGAAGAGTGAAAGCTTGTGGGTAGTCGTCGAGCGAGGTTGAAAAGACTGCAGAGAACAGTGTGAAATGGAGGCGTGCTTCTAAAGCCCTATATTCTACTAGGAACTCAAGGGAAAAATAATAATTATAATTTTGAATATTTTACTACCTGAAATCAGAAAACCTGTATTACATCAAACGACTTACAAAGCAATCACCATTTTTATACTTCACTAAGAAATGCCAACGGTATTAGGAGTTCAACTGACTTTCAGTTACTAGCAGTACGGAATCACTTTGGAAATTGAATATTAGGAACGTGAAGATACAACTAAAAACATTACTATGAGGCTTAATTTATGCAAATAACTCATTGTTCTTGTGTGTTGTTGGAGGTAACTTTCGAGTTGGTGAGTGGCGAAACCCTGGTCGAGCTGACTTGACAGAAGAAGGAAGTTATATGAGATGCATTCAGAAACGTTATTTACCAGCTTAAAAGGAATTTATGAATTTGTTATTGCTTTACAGTGTTTTTTAGCTTCTGTAGAGTTTCAGAGGATACTATTTTATATACTTAAAAAGCATGTTTACGGAGGAGAACAGCTTCTGATATGACAACCTGAAAACGTTTACGTATTCTTTTTGCGAACACTATGCGTACATGGTGACTGAGTCAATACAACAATCTTAGTTGATAATGGTTGAAACCTCACGAAATAAATAGAAGAACAATTCTATAGTTAAATTATTACATTGCAACTAATAACTATTTACTGTCATTGCTTGCATTATACCGTCGTTGTCTGGGCCGAATTGATTGGTTTCTATTAGCATATGGGCTCCTGTGCGGATGCCTCGATATTACCTGTGTTCTAGTTATAATAAAGATGAATAGTGGCTAGCAGTGGAATCCAGGAAAGGAAGTCATCATTTTAGTATGCATGATAATTTTATAATTTGTTGTAATATCAATTAACATTATTTTACCCGGTTTCTTGGAGAGTTTGCATGTAATGGATCTTCTGCAGCAAGAAGAATACTGCTCACTAAAATGCAGACAAGCACGATATTTCCAAAGTGTGAGAAGCAGACCACATTGTGACAAAATATTCGAAACCTACGAAAAGATACAAATGAGTAATGAGTCATTTTAAGATTAATTTTAAATTATACGGTTCATGTTGATATTTTTCATAATTGACAAGTTTTTCAATTATCCAAATCTGGTGTCAACAAGGTGTTCATTAAAAATCACTCAGAAAAGATCATGACGTATGATGTCTGCGAACTAAAAAAATATCCTACTGAATAAAATGATTGATGACAAGTCACTTAGTCTAATCTTGTTAGTTACGTCTGTAGATCAGAATGGATTTTCTCAAACCACTTATGTTATCCCAGAATCTACTTTGTGTAATCTAAACATGAATGAGTAATAATGAGAACAAGTCAGTTTGAATTATTCGTTACAGAAGGTACTGAAGATACCCAGTGTCTAAAGCATGCTCACCATTCACTCTTTTATTCAAACTACTTTGAAGGTTTTCTTAATCTTTATTGATTGATGTTTTCTAATCGCTAAGATTTGATTATGGACGTTTTATCGCTCAGCCTAGTGATTTCATCAATGCTAGACTTACACAGAAGTTAAGTATATCCTAATTAATTGAAATCTCCCAAAATAATTTGTTAAATCTGTAGATCAGTAAATACTAAGGGAAGACTTTTTCACACGTTGATCTTGACGTCACGTTTAGTTAAACTGCGGTAGAGAAGAATGATTCATGACAAAGTGTTACATACATTATGTTTTATTGCTGGTTAATTTGACCAGTTTTTAACTAGCTGAAGGATGATTGTTTTTTAGTATTACCATGATAAAGAAACAGTTTGGTATCACTCAGCTGCATGATACTCAGACAAAACTTTGGAGGAGTAAAGTGAAGTTAGGCTGGATTCCGCAACTTATAAAGTAGACCAACAGTTTTATAATCCGGTGGAGACTAGATGAAATCCTGCTACGACTCATGTTTTTATTTCACCTTCATTCATCACCCTATATCGATAATTGCTTTCCTTGTAAGTAGAACATAGATTAAATCTGTTCACGTGTTAACTAACTCCAGTTTACAATTGACACTCGATTTCTAAAAGAATCTTCTACATTTTATGGGTTTCTATGTTTTTCACATATTCCAGGTTATGATTTTGGTTGAGAGCAAAAATTATTCATACTCCTATTGCTAACTTATGCTTAAAATTATTCCATTGATTTAGCTTAGTATTACCGACAATCTTAACAGCTGATCAGATATGCTGTATACTTTATTCTTCTTTGAAAAAGAAATCAGAAAATAGAAACCAGTTAGATTATATACCATTCAGATGCTGAATTAATGAATTCGTGCAGAGATGTTATCAAACAAAACAGTTTATCTGTTGTTGTAATATCACTGTACGGGTTGATATACCGCTGAAAAACACTTTCTGCTGGTATTCAGCGAATAATCCTCTGCTCCAATATCATATTAATAAACTTTGCATGGCTCATATAATATCAAGCTTTTGATGAAAACAGATGAAAGAAATACAGAAGGGAAATAAAAATGCCTAATGAAATATAATCAAGAATTATGATCTTTGAAATGCCTCTACATTTTCTTCAGTTTTACCTCCTGAAAAGAAAATGATTTTGCATTTGTAGACGTTTACATGTAACAGAATGCAGAACCTATTTTGAACATTCCACAGAGCTAACAAATTCAGTGAATCTCAATCAGCATCTAAGTATCCGCCGCATAAAATTTGTTCGTTATGAAGTGTGTTTCTAGCTGAAATGGCTGACTTTTGGAAAGCTATTGCATTCAATTTCACCCTTGAATATTTCGTTTTCATGTAAAGCTTATACTTCAATCACCCACACTTAATAAACTTAAGATTATAACCTTTTTGTTAACAGGGTCTGTAATATTTGTTTCATAAATGTAACAAAATGAAAAAGATGTTTAGAATATTACATATTCTGTCTAGTTGAAACACCAGAGGGAAGAGTATATTTCTTTTTTTCTTCTTTCCTTCTTAACATATTGGGTTGGGGAGTAGAAAAATGTGCTGCAAATCATTTCAACTATTATTTAAATCGTTGTATAATACAAATGCTATATTTAAACTATCGATAAGAATGCATTCAAATAGTAAGAATTGTGGCATCTTCGAGGAAAATTCGATGGACGGAATCAACGTAGAACCTCATATACTTCACAGTAGCATAAAAAACAAGTGGATAAAAAAAAGTGATATCGAAGTAGACATAGTTGTGTGCGGGAATGAAAACTTCAAGATAATGGTTAGCACGAGCATTCAGGCTTTAAAAGACGTCAAGGAATGAATACAGACAATCGACCGGCAAACTTCTTAAACAAAGGAACATGTATTAGAGGAAGAAGAAGAAGGATATAAGAAATACGAATGATCTTTTAAAAGAGAACACTTACTAATTTCATCCATAAAGAGATCTTTAATCGTGCATAATAGTGTCGTTTTCATTACTCAAACAAAAAAGATACGTGAAAGACAGGACAAACGTAGAAAGTAAGCCTAACAAAGCATGTTTTATATTGAGAATAGAGGAGGGAAGACTGACTGAAAAACTTACTTGTTGGTATCAGCAAATATAAAGAAAGCAGAGTGAGGTGGCATTGTTCGACTGTCTTGAGGTGACATATCTTTCTGATCGTCACCATTTTTATCATCCAAATCACCTTCCTCCTCGGCATCTTCCTCCTCAGCAAACATTTCTTCATAAGTTTGATCTTCAGTATCTAAAATGTAACCAAACGTTAAAATGGAAGGACCGTTATTTTCAAATTAAAGAGAAATGAAATAAGTTGAGTCTTTCTAACTCTAAACGTTTGCTTGATAAATAAGCCCATCATGGTTATCTAATAGGGTCTTCCGTTTACACAATCCAATTTTGTTAATATCTTGTGCATTTCTTCCAGAATTTTTTATGTTATCAGTTTTACTACGAACATCTTATGACGAATACAGTTAACGTTGAATTTTATGCTCATGATTGAAGAAATTTCACCTGGTAATTTTCGAATATTCCTTATTTCAACTCCTATCGCTCAAAAAATATGCACTGGACGGAAGAGAGATGGACTGGGCATACACTGAAAAAGCCGACTGGGAACATCACGCGTCAGGCCCTCGAGTGGAATCCACATGGAAAGCGACGAGTTGGGCGTCCCATAATTCAAGTCCATAGGTGTCTATAAATATTCCTACAGGGAAATATATTTTGAACTACTAATTAGTATTTTAGATATTGCTGATCAAAACGACAGCTTATTATACTGCTTCCCATAACTGTTTTAATTTGTTTAGTAATCAATATTTTACTTTGATTTTATAACTTTCGTACTGTTAACTTTGTGCAGTATACATGTGAGAAATTTTATAGGTTAGTATAAGATATATTCATTTGAAAAATTATCAACCATTAATCTGTGATTTTCTGATAGTTTTTAATATAAATTTGATCAGTCTTTCTGTTAGCTGACTGAAATATCTTCTAAATGAATGAGAATTTAGCAGATAATTGTTAAGGAGGCTTTATAAGTGTGATTTTCTAGTCTTATACTTTATCAGCTGTTAGTCAACAACAGATAAGATCAGTGGTATGAGAAGTTTATTCAGGAGAACAAAAGTAAACTGCAACATATCTACATTACTAAGAAACAAAGGAAACTAATTATTTTTAAAATCCTCAGAGGAGTAGCTAACCACGCTCAGAAGAGTTTGAAGTTTGGGATTGTAAATATAATCGTGCAGCACTGTCTAAGGTTATCCATAATAAACGGATAGTGATCATTAGCAAATTATGTGTGCCAAGAAAAGCAAAGATGTAAAAGGAATTTATTTTTGAGATGAATAGGGATTTTTAATTTAGAAGTAGTATTCATCATGGACTGACATCAGTTGGGGAACCATTGAAAATCCGGGATCACTGGACAGCTGTGGGTGCGTACTGGTGAGAGTCCCATACTAGAACGAAACAGCTGTCCAGTGCCCCCAGATTTTCAATGGTTTCCCAACTGATGTCAGTCCATGATGAATACCATTTCTAAAGTAAAAGGAGTTATTCGAAATTTGAAGTTTTAACATTTGCTTTATCCAAACCTTCAGACAACCCATAACACAGTATGAGCTTATAAATATCATATGGCTTTCTAGTCAATTATTAATTCAATATGCTATCAGGTAAGGGCACATTTTTCGGCAATACCAATTCATAATTATTTAGAAATTCCTGTACCTAGTAGCCAATAATACTATTAATGTAAGTCATCCAATTTCTATAAAGTTGAAATTTTTTAGTAAGTTCGTAATTAAAGAGGATAAACTTTGGTTGCAGACAATCTTCATAGAAGCATACATATTGTCAACGGATTGAAAGCTATATTGCTTTGGAAGCATATGCAGTTGGAAGAAGAGCGACGACGCTTAACTGATGCACAAATCAACAGTTCAAACACTATCTCAGACTTCACGCACAAATTCGACTGACACCATTTTCAGTGGCATCTATTATGAATTCAACGCTGGCATCCCTTTATAAAGTCGTGGCGAATACGATATTAACTTATTTTGAGAATGGAACCAAAATGTAATGATGATTCATGCGCGGTGATGTTTTCTAATAAAACTTAACACAATTGAAGGTTTTCTTGGCTGCAATTTTATTTTGCAATGGCAGACAAAAATTCCAACTTCTACAGAGCTATTTAATGGCCTTTATAAACTTTCGAAGGGTTCGTTCTTATCTAATACTCCTTATAAAAATATATAACTAATTCAACACGCGGAAAAAGACCTCAGTACACATGCCTATAAATTAAGCATTGAGTGTGAACATTTCAAGTTATCAAGTTATTAAAATAAATAATTTAAAATGGACTATTATTGTGCATTGTCTGAACTTTAAATCTAACAGTGGAATTACAATTACATTACCAAACACGGAGGAACAATCTACTGGCAACAGATTTTCACACATCGTTCAAGAATACCAGAGATTTCAGAGTTTGATATTTGACGGAGTTTTGCTGAAGCAATCATCATTCAACTTCTCACTGTCACTTGGATATATCCCTCAAAACATACTGTAGTAAAACTTTTCAACGTTACAAAGTCATCAGCTGCTTAATGCCAGTGTGACAAACTGTAGCTGGTTAAAGTGTACATGTATTGGTAACCAGTAAGTCAGCATTGTAAACGGTGAATCCCAATTTCTGATCGAAGTCTGTCTTATGCACATATCAATAAAAATCTTGAGCATTGTGTGGTGGATTAATGTAAATTTTATTTACAGGCTTACATACAGTGATAAGTTTTTATTTTGGTAATATTTCGAGCACAATTACTGCCCATGATCACACCCACAGTCTAGATCTTTAATCTCACATTTATCGATAGATATCATACGTGTAAGCTTTCTTTATTATTCTTTAGTCTGTTTGTTCTATACAATGTTCTATTTGGTTGACAGTTATGTTAAGTTAATTTTGCTGTGTGTTGAGGGTGAAATATATACATATCGATTCTGTTATTATTACTTCTTTTCATTTGTTCTTCTTGGATTTAAGTGTGGTAGTCATATTCCAATCCATATTATTTTCCATCCCATACATGAACTAATCTTAATGAACTTTTCTCTAGCTTTTTGTGTTTTGTCCCTGTGTGGACTGGCCCTTATTTTTTTTGGTATTCATTTAGTCTGGATTTCAACGATCTAGATGTCTTAGTGTTATCGTTTGCATTATACCGTCATTCATTGGACCGAATTGATAGGTCTCTATTGGCATATGGGCTTCTGTGTGGATGGCTCAATATTACCTGTGTTCTAATTATAGTAAAGATGGATAGTAATTAGCAGGTACATCGAGACATCCACGCAGGAGCCTATATGCCAACAGAGACTGATCAATTCGACCCAATCAACGACAGTGCAATAAAAAACAATAACACTAAAACTATACCCGTCGCCCAAGAAGTGGCTCAGTGGTGTAGTGGATAGCGCTCTGGCGTTCAAAGCGATCGCTGCCGAGTTCGAATCTCAATGGGAACAACATCACTCTCCGGGAGGCAGTCACGTCCAGCTGACGAGTCCTAAGTAGGACGAAATGCGCATCCTGGATTCCACTGCTAGTCACTATCCATCTTCATTATAACCTAGACGTCTGTCATACACAGCTTACAGAGCAGTCTACACACAGTATTTCGTACGGTATATTATTGTTATCTACTTTTTTAACTGGGTCTTTTAGTTTAATTTATTTGTTATGCGATCCATTGGTTCACATGCTGTGGAAATATCAGATGTCTTCCGGTTATCTCTGACTTGGCTTTTCGTATGGCAGTACTACCATTTGCTTGTAATTTTTCTTATTCTTTTCTGTTGCTGACTTTCCGCTCCTTGATGTTACCTTTGACAAACTGTTCCATATGATGATACCTTAGCAACACCTTGAATAAAACATTCATCCATTTTCGTTAGCCATAATTTATCTGTCAAGTTTGCCGCATACCCCCTTATTCTAGTAAAATGTACCTGTGGTGCATTAATTTGTAGTGTTTTACGCTTCGATACAAGCAGCAAAAATGCTTCGTCTGTGTTAGATGAAGACATAAAGAAGTTCGGTGCTGGAAACTAACACCTAGTCTAGATATCATGTTCGACAGAAAGCAGTAGAAATTGCGTTCAGTATCTAACAGTGTTTTATAACGAGTAATTCGACCTGTGAATTTTCATAAGCTCAGTATAGAGTGAGCGAAGAGGATATTAATCAGTTGCAGTTAGACGCCACATCCTGTGTCAACATAAAATTTCCAAGCTAATGTTAAGCGGAATCCACTTTTCACGATATACTTTTAATTTAAACAACCAGGAATATATCGTGCAATAAGCCAAGTTTCCCTAGTCAACTTATCTATGAAATGGAAATAACCGGTAAAAGTTGTGATATTACTGTACATTTGAGATAAATCTACTTGAAATGCAAATGATGCCAGCGATAGAAATTATTGATCATTCATATATCGTCATCTTTTGTAATCAATGAAACTACAAATCTTTGGTCTTGTTTACAAATTTTTTCGATTAAAAATCAGCAGAGAGTTACCAATTTATCAAAATAATAATATCTATGCTTTAATTTTGCTCTAGATTTCCGATAATGATAGTTCGAATCCATTTCAATAGATGTTAGCCTACCACATTCCTAGAGAAGTAGTGATTAAAGATTCTATAAAGAAATTTCATGGTTACCATTGTTTGAAATACTTGAATCTTGTGAATAACTCACCCGTCTTATCATACTGGTTTATTTTCACACTGAAAACAATAAAAGTTTATAGAAAAAAAGTTGTTTAAGCATGATAAATAATAATTAAAAATGAAACAAACGGAAAGTAAAAGTACCATGTGTAAATTTGAAATTTTTAGATTACTTTATGATGACAAAACATGCTATAAGAGATGAAGTTGTCATCTCAACAAAATTTGGTCCCGAAAAATTCTAATACACTATTTTTATTGTGTGTTTACAGCTACGGATAACTTTCTTCTCCTAGTCTAAGCACATTGAATATTAAATAAATTTGAGGTTATTCGAAAAATAAATAAAATTTTATAAGAGTCTCTTAGATACTGAACAGAAATGAACAGATTATCATTGAAATTGACCAACTGCTTTTTATCCAACCTCTAATGAGTTAATGTCATTCAGATACTAGGTTAGACGGAGAAAGGTTATGATCCTTTAGTGTATAAATAATATCTTATTGTTTCTGACCATGCAGGAAAACCAGGAAGTTAGACATCAGTGTAAACAATGCTAATCATATGAGTAAGTTAAACGTATATATATATATATATATATATATATATATATATATATATATATATATAAGGAGTACCTCCGCTGAATGGTCAAAGATGCAGTCTTTTTAGCCATAAGGATGTGAAGGAACTTACATATCGAATGTATTTTAAAGATAATTAGGGGTGATACTGGGTGATTAGTGAAGGTGAAGTAAAAATCTGGTTAGTATACAAGTCTCGCAGTTCACTTCGCAAGACACCAAGCCGGAAGCCGCAGCGGTCACTGGTTTGAGTTGTACAACTGCCCAGATTTCCATTTCATCCTTAATTATCACCCAGTATCAATACAATTCCTCCAAACTACGACTATCTTGGATAGTTATACTGATAGTTGGGGTTATAAGTAAAGACAGACAGAAATCATTCAATATCCGTAATTTATTAGGCTGAAAACTAATATTTTGATATGTTCTTTTACATTTGATGATGAGCCTTTTTGTACTGGCTGAAATATTCAGGTATCTTAAACTTCCTTCAGTCTGGAATTGTCGGTCAGGTATTACGAAACCAAGAAAGCTGATAAAGTAGTACTATAAATCCTCTCTTAAGAGATAGGCAATTACATCACAACGTTACGCATGCAATCAGGTTATCTCTTATCGATCAGCCAGTCAAATAAGCCCTTTTATCTTTAACCTCAAGCCAGTTTCTTTCAATCCTGTATTTCAATATCTTACGAATATATAGTCTTCAATTGGCTGAAAATCAATAGTGAATCACCTAAACTGATCTATAAATAAGCACTTAATATGGTGGATATTTGATAGGGATGTTTATTTGAAAAACATATTCCATATTTAAGCTGTCAGTAATTGCAGACTTAATTATAAATCTCGAAAGATCAAGTATTAGTTCATATTACTTTGTAGAACAAATAAATAAAAATTTGAAGGAGAAATTTAAATCGAAAAACATTCTACTTTCTGAGTTCATATTACACTCAGACTGAATTTAAGAATCACACAAATGAGTACGGTATTCAGTGAGCTAATACTTCCAGCTAAATGACTATTACTGTTTATTATTAGGTATGAATCTTGTAAAAAATGTTACGCTACTTTTTACCTGTTTCTTAAATGAAAACGAACATCTTACTAATATTACAGGAGAGAATTTTTTATAGTCATATAAATCTTGAATTGATGTAACAAAACTGATTCAAGTTGGTGTTATTTTTGGATACTTCTCTAACAGAAAAGAGTGATGTACAACTTCACTAGGATTCATAGTGGAACATATTACTAAAGCAAGCTTTCCCCTATACACGGGGGGATTTATTCACCCATCTGACTTGACAATCGGCTATTCAAAAATTGTGTAGGAGCTAAATATTTACTGACAGCTTCAAAGATAAGGATGCATTTCTTTTTAATATCATGCGGATAAAATATTAAGCAAATATTCTATAAGTTATATTTGGTATATAAACATTATCCACAGAGACATACGTAGAATTTATTTCATTTTGTTGTTCTTCTCCAGGCTGTTTATTCTGTTCTACCATTCCTGTATGTTCTGATGATTCAGTCTGTTTCTTTTGTGCATCGCCATTACCATCATCATCCTCATCTTCATCCTCGTTTAAATTATCCACAGCAATAGCCAAAAATACATTCAGTAGTATATCTAACGGTATATACTACATAGGAAAATATAACTCTAATGCTTGAATAGAAGTATCTTCATCAAAACTTTATTGTAATCAATTCTCTCTATCTTTAAATTTTATTCGGTTATCTAAACCATTTAAATTATTACTTGAGTTACCAGAGATCCTCATTTTTGAACCCTCAAACTCTTTTTAAAGTAAATTAATTGCAGCTCCTTTTACAATTCAATCTTAGCATAAAAATATGATCTAGGTTGAATAAGGGAATTTATTCCCACTTATGTGTATTTAGTTATATTGTGTCAGTTTTCGATACCAGCACCGCATAAAGAACAAGATCCGGATTTTTAACACTAATGTCAGTCAAGTCAGTCAGTGCTTCCATGTGAAGCTTGAGGGACTTGGTGCGTTACGAAAAGCATTTCCAACAAACTACAGACATTCGACAACAGCTGCCGCCTACGCTCACTCGATAGTGAAGACAGATCAGTTGAGCAGAATAATAAAAATAAGCAACAAGAAACTCTGGCCTGGCAACAAACAAATGAACCAAGAACCTATCACCCGACAAATATGCAGAAGAAAGTGGAGATGGATTGGGCATGCACTGAAAAAGAAGACCGTTTGGAGACATCACACGTCAGGTCAGGTCATCAAGTGGAACCCAAATAGGAAAAGACGAGTCGGACGTCCGAGGCAAGAGTGACATTGAGGAGATGTTGTGAGAAAGAAATGAAAGCTTTTGGTCAGTCGTCGAGCGAGGTTCAAAAGGCTGCAGAGAAAAGAGTGAAATGGTGACGTGCTAGTGAAGCCCTATATTCCGCTGGGAACCAAAAGGGCAAATAATAATAATGATAATAAAATACCGCAATACTTACTTACAGGATAAAATTGACCTTTGAACATTTCAAGAGCTGACAGTGACGAGTGCATCATAATGACATACACATAATATAAGACTGACTGATTTGCATCAAGAAAATAAGAACATATGCATTCATTGAAGGTATTTAATCCATATAACCATTTCCTTATTGCTGTAAGCCTTCACGTTCAAGAAGTGGAATTTATATTCACCCAAGAAATTCTTTATTATTATTATTTGTCGCTTGGGTTCCTAGTGGAACATAGGGCTTCAGTAGCACGTCTCCAATGCGCTCTGTTCTCTGAAGTCTTTTGAACCTGGTTCCACGACAGCCCACAACCTCTCATTTCCTCCTCGCATGATCTCCTCCATGTCACCCTCAACTGGAACGCCTAACTCATCGCTTCCTATATGGGTTCCACTCGACGACCTGGCCTGACGCGTGATGTCCCCAGTCGGCTTTTTCAGTGCATGCCCAATCCACCTCTCTTCTGTCCAGTGCATATTTGTTGAGCGATAGGTTCTTGGTTGGTTCGTTTCCAGAGCTCCTTGTTGCTTATTCTTTCTGGCAATCCATCTGATCTTCAGTAGCGAGCCAGCGTAAGCAGTTGTTGATGAGTGCCTATAATTTATTGGAAATCCCTTTCGTAACACGCCAAGTCTCTGAACCATACAGAAGCACTGACTTGACGTTGGTGTTGAAAATCCGGATCTTGTTCTACATGCTGAGTGCAGAAGATCTCCATACAAGTTTCAGGCTTATGTACGCCTGTCTTGCTGTCTTTCCAATTCTGACTTTGACATCCTCGTCTGTCCCGCCTGTAGTTGAAACAGTGCTGCCTAGATAGGTGAAGGAGGTTACTTCCTTTAAGTTCCTCCCGTTGATGGGGATTGGAGTTTGTTGTTGGAGTTGGAGTTGTTGGTGCGGTATCTTCATCACTCCTGTCTTCTCTATATTCACCTGAAGTCCCGTCTTCGCTGCCCTGCCTCACCTCTTCTGCCAACTTGTTAGTTTTTGCCTGTAGATCTCTAAGTTTGTGCCACAAGACATTAGACACAAGTCATCGGCGAAATCCAAATCTTCTAGGATATTTATCGGTCCAGCGTATCCCCCTCTTTTCACTCCCTACTGTTTGCTGCATGATCCAGTCCACCACAATCAGGAATATCATGAGGGATAGTAGGCAACCTTGTTTCACTCCTGTCTTCACTTCAAAAGCATCACTCAGCTGAGCTCCCCATTGTGAATCATTTGGCATGTGTTGTCTTCATATAGTTGTTTAATGAGGAGGATAAAGGTTTGTGGTATTCTGTAGTGTTGAAGCAACTGCCTGACAAATTACTTCTCGGTCGACGCTTTTGAAGGCCTTTTCAAGGTCGATGAAGTTGAGGTAGAGAGTCGACTGCCATTCTATGCTCTGTTCTATGATGATGCAAAGTGTAGCGTTGCAATTTGGTCCGCACATGATTTATACTTCTTGAATCCAGTCAGCTTGTTCTGGTCGTACTGCATCCTTCAGTCTCGCCAGGATAATGCGGTTTAATATTTTCCTTGAGGTAGACTGGAGCATGATTCCGTACGAGATCGTGCAAACACTTAAGTTGCTCTTCTTCAGGAGTTTGACAAGGTAACCCTTCTTCCAACTGCCAAGTACCTTCCCTTCCTTCCACACCTTCTGCAATAGTGGTGTGAGAATGTCCGCTGTTGTCTCTGACTCTGTTCCCAGTGCTCCTGGCGAGATCCCATCTGGTCCTGCTGCTTTCCCGCATTTCAGTAGCTTTATGGAGTTCAGGACTTCCACTTTTGTTGGAGGATTTATGTTCACTTGTAGTTCTGAGGCTGGGCTGCAAGAGGTATTTCTGGACGAAGTGCAGGTGTTGATGGTGTTCGGTTCAAGAGCTTTTCGAAGTGGTCAGTCCATTGTTTCCATTGGTTCTCTTCCTTCGTGATTAAATTTCTCTCATCATCTTCTATTAGTTTCATCTGCATTGATCTCCTCCCAAATAGTAACCTAGTTATTTGATACAATGTTGTCAGGTCTCTCCTACCTGCAGCCTGTTTTGCGTCACTTGAGAGTGTCGTAGAAGTGTCGTTCGTCTTTGCCCGCACTCTTCACTTCTTTGTCCAGTGTTTTATACATTGCACACAGTTTCTCTTCTCGTTGTTCATCCTTGCACTGGTTTACCTTCTGTTTAACTATCCTCCTTTACCTGCTGTATCAGCTGCCTTGTGTCCATCGATCCATTCTTCATCTTTCGTCTTCCTTCCTAATACGGTTGTGCAGGTTTCTTTCCACATCTCTTTCAAAGACTTCCAGCATTATTTCACACAGGTTTCTTCAGGGATGTTCCTCGATATCTCTCATTTTGTCTTGATGGCTGACGTGAAGATTTCCTTTGTAGTTTCGTCATTCAGTTTCTGTTCCGAGTGTTGTACTTGAACTGTGGTCTATCACCAGTTTCCTTGAAGGCTTCTAACTTGATTTGGAAGGTTCCTTGCACTAGATAGTGATCTGAACCTACATCTGCTCCTCTTGACCTTGTGTCAAGTAGACTGCATCTCCACTTTCTTAAGATTGAGATGAAGTCGATCTGATTTTTGGTGTGGTGTGTCCTGGTGTCTGGTGAAATCCATGTCGCTGCCTTGTGAATGTCCTTGTGCATGTACCCACTACCTCCAATCACCAAATCGTTGAATGCACAGAATTCTGCAAACAATTCTCCATTCTCGTTCATTAACTCACCGAGCGCTTCTCGACCCATGGTTAGTTCTTTTCCTGTGTTGTCTGCTCCCTGTTTGGCATTCCTGTCACCCCACCCATTAGAATTTTGATATCACCAACTGAGGTCTTGTCCAGTGTTGATTGCAGTTGTCTGTACAATTCCTCCTCCTCCTCCTCTTCATCTGCATTATTAGTGGGTGCGTAACGTAGCACTGTATGACTGTGACTTTCCTTCCTTTTGAGTTGAATGTTGCTGTGATGATTCTCATCCTGGAGGAGATTGGTTCCCACTACATGAAAGCCTTCGATGGTGTTGGGGACATCATGATAGCCACTCGAAATCTAAGTGTGCTCGTGGTTGTCGTCTGGGTGATAATATCGGGGTAGATTATTGACTCTCCAGTTGACAGTTTGGAGAGTCCACTTCCATTCCATCTGCTTTTGCAGATTCCCAGCCTAGCACTTCTATTCTATACCTTCTCATCTCTTTTGCAATCTAGGCATCCTTAGTAGGTTCACACATGGTGCGGACATTCCATGTCACCATTTTTACTTTCACTTTCATCGAGAGAAAGAAGACACATCAGCCAATTGGCTTTCAGAAGTCTTTCACCAACCGGCGTCATTTCGTCTCTCCAGTTCCAGTGAGGAATAATTTTGTTTTAATTTTTTATATTTTGTTTGTACTTTGAAGTTTCTTTAGCGGTTGGATTTGTTTTACGGGGTAGGTTTGCTAGCCCCGTGCCCAACCTTCCCTCTTTACCCGGGCTTAGGAGCGGCTAGCAACTAGTGAACTAGTTAACCAGACGAAATATATATGTGACAAATACCAAAGTGCCATGGTGTGTTGTGTGAACACACTGAAACATGTCAAGTATTATCTCATAATGCACTGACCATAAACATTTATTCCCCTCGTTACCTTGGTTTTTCAAGATGCTTTTCCGTATTCATATGGTCGCTACAGTTATCAATTTCATCACCTCTTTAACTGAATTTCTCATAAAATCTAATTGTAGTAGAGACAATTATCTATAACACAGTAATGTCTGCAACAAATGTTTAACTTCTTGCATAAAATCCTTTATTTATATTAGAAATCCATTTAATTGGTGTCAGAAAAACACACATCGTTTCAAGAAAGTAAGCAATGATAATAAAATAGATTACCATGTCAGTGAAACGTTTATCTAACACTTTAAAAGGATACAGTTCCCACATATAAAAAGAAATATGAAGTATATAACCACAACCCCATACCAAGGGCTATTTTCATATGCCCTCATTCCATGGTACATGACTTCATTCCAATCTTCACCGGTAAGTATCTGATTTACAAAATAAGAAATATGAAGGAAAATAAACTTACTCTCTTGGTGTATAGGGTTTCATAGTACTTCATGATCAAATTAAGTTTCGGTGTATATATTCATCTTTTAAATGGTGTTTAATAACCGTAACAACATGATCCTCATAAATTCAGCACACACATACATAGGTAAAGATCAACCTTATTTATTTCAGTCATTCGTCCAAACAACAGAGAGTGACAGTACTTTCGTAGTTTAAATTTCTTTTAAAAAACTTCACTCAGGACATTTGAGAAGAAATTAGATTGAGTCGTACAAGTACAAAATCGTGACTCTAAAATACGGATCCAAAAATCACAGTTATTGATATCTACAAAAGTTCAATATTTTATCTGAAATAAACATCTTGTAGGTGGGTAATCAACTGATGCTGAGTGATGATTGGAGGTGAAATAAAAATTTGAACCGTGGCAGGATTCGAACCAGCGACCACTGGGATTCCAGTAGAGGATCTGGTACAGCATGGTTCCAGAAACCCTATGGTCGCTGGTTTAAATCCGACCACAGTCCAAATTTTCATTTCACCTTCAATCACCACCCATTATCAGTACTGGTATGCCAAACCACGGATATCCCAGATAGTCAAAATGATAATTAATTAATTAAATCAGTTTTTATTTGATGTATAAAGATAAAATAAATGCTTCATAAAAGCATATATGATTGTTGACAAAAATAATCGTAGATAACATTTTCCGAAAAATGGTTACAACTACCAGTTATTAAATTCAAAATATATTTTAACACTATTACGGTACCAGTATGCGAGAAATTGTACTTAGCTACAGTTAGTGTGATTACTAGAGCTGCCTTCAAGCTGATTAAAGCTGTTCAGCAGATATGAGATGAGTTAGGATGCTACAATGACACATTATAGTCTATATCGACTATATTTGGATTCAATATCATGGTCAAACTTTTATGTTGTATCGTAAAAGCTTCCTTTCCACATAATATATACGACAGTGTTATATCCAAAAATAAGGGATGGAAATTCTATTGAAATTCACACAAGAAGAATACAACTAAATAGAGGTATACTTGCATAAGGCAATTAGACAATATTAGTCTATGAATAAAAAAAATCCAATGTAAAACTCATGTGCTGTTTGTCAACAAAAATATCTCATTTGATGCAACTTCTTGTGCTTCTTCATTTCATTACTTCGATTATTATGAGATATCATAGGCAACACTTCAAAACTTTCAGGTGGCTAGATTATTGCTCATGAAGTGCTTATCACTCCATCTATGATCAGAAAATATGATGCTATATCCAACGTTTATTATAAAAACTAATGAATTAGGTTAACAAGAAATTCAACATTATACAAACCTGAAATACAGTCAGCATAGCTTGTAGAATTCCATCAAAATTTGCACGAGGTTTTTCATGTGCTATAAAATTAAATCGTCCACCGAATAGTTGCATGCCAAGTAAAGAACAAATGAGGATGAATATGGATAGAAGAAGTAGGAGACTTGCAACTGATCGTACAGATTTCAGTAATTTGCCTACTAAACTTCGAAGACTTTCCCAATATCTAAAAATTTAAAATATTTCATTTCAATATCGATGAAACAGTCCACTGAAATTAAACGTTTAGGTGATAAAAACAGGCTAACCGTTTAAATCATTGATAAAAGTTCAAAAGGATTCTTGAACACTCTCATACATTTTGTCAACATTAGTCAGTCAATTTCAACAATCACCTATTTTAAAGTTATTTACAAAGTGAAAAGAAACCTGGCAAAAATCAATGTGTATTCTCTTCCTTTGTATTGGTGAAGCTGTTACAATTCACATAGAAAAACCGGAGCATTGTTCCTTCCATGGTATTAATCTTTGGCATTTCAAAATATCCTCCCACTATTTTAACTTGTTCCTTCCATTCACATGCACATTACAAAACATTCCTTGTATCTACCCTCAATCCATAACAATTCATTTATTAAATATTTTGTCATGTTACTCAACTCGTTACTCAAATTTGATCATTTTTCTTTTGTTTCTATGATATCTTATGCAATACTCACTAATCTAAGCTACCCTATAGCTTTATATTGTGGTTTTTGATTACTTTTCAATATTTATAAACATTTCGGTTAGGATTAGGATGAAAATGATATGAAATATCGATTTCGACTTTTTATATGTATCACTTTGTATGTTATCATGCCTAACCAACTATACACTTTCACAGAAATTTGTATATAAATGAGAATGTTTAGTTTAATGAATAAAATCACCGAAAAGAATAACTCCATGGTGAACAATAGGCAACAGAAATTGTAATATAATCAGTAAAAATTTGTCAACTTTTAATACAGTTAAGTTGTATGAAAATAAGATGAATATTGTAAGTAAATTAAGGCAATATGCAACCATGTAAGTTATAACTTGGTCTAGTTTCACTTTCATTTGAGTTCATTTACTATGCAAAGCGTCCATTTCACTTGAGTTAGTCAAAAATCTTGGGATTCTTGATAGATCTAAATACCACTTTCTTAGTTTCAGGTGTATATGTGTGTATTCATAGTTTTAAAGATTTATGATTGACAAAATGTCTAAAACGTATTTGATCATAAGCAAGCTTTCTTGAGAATAAGCAAAATTCCTACTATGGAATGACTGGAAATAGATCGTTGTGAAGCAGAGTAATACAATTTTATATGATTCCTTGACTAAGTATTGATACCTCTCACTTGACAATGCTAGGAATAAAACTTTCATTAGCGTAAACTTGAAAGTTATAAAATATTTTGCGATCTCAAGTCAACGGTAGCGAACATGATACACAATGTGAACTTGATACTCCTTGATAGAGTGCGGAAATAAATTATCTCGTGAGACTTTGAATACACATCTATTTGACTACATAGTTATAATTAAAAAACAATAATATTGGTATTGCATACCAGAGTTAATAATAGTGTCGAATAGATCGCAAAAAATATGCACTATCATAACTGGGTACTGGTACGTCAACAATGAAGATATGGTCCCATTCAAAAATCTACTTCTAAGGTTGCTGTATGTTTGTGATGCAACATATTTTTAGCTATACTATGTTTTTACGTTGATATTCACCATGGATTGACATAAGCTGGAAGAATATTAGAGATCAGGGAGCACTGGACAGGTGTTTCATCCTAGAATGGGACTCCTCATCAGTGCGCATCCATGAACCCTACAGGGATCTAGTGCTCATTGGTGACTAGCTTCAGGAAGTCATTCTCGAAGTTTCAATAAAAAGTCGTGACGGATGAGGCAAATCTGGTGACCATGAGGAAAAATACTCAACGTTGACATTGAGTGATGGTCGCGCAGTGTTGTGAACTGACAGAAGTTGGATTCCAATACAGTGATTCAATGGTGAATTTCTGGCAATGGAACCTGAAGGTCCTGAGTTCGATCCCTGGTGGGGCGGAGTCTTGGGTGCGCACAAATGAGGGGTCCCATACTACAACGGACTAGCCACTCGGTGCTGCCAGGTTTCAAACGTTCCTCCAACCAATGTTATTCCATGATGAATACCAACTGAAAACCAATAAATCCACACAAAACTTCCAAGTTGTTCAATGTTTGTCCATCGATTTTTTTAAGGACCACAGTTTAGTCATTTTATAAGTTTTCATCGTTAAAGTCCTCCATATTTAGAATAAATTTTAGTAACTACTGTATTTCCAGTTGAGTTATAGCTAAGTAGTCTATACATCTAACTGCCACCAATTACGTGGCAAATGGAAATACACTTGGTTTACTTGGAACTAGTATCATAAGGTGTGATGACCCAAGTGGTATACACTTCTTAGCAAAACATTTGCTTAATTCTCATGCTGTATTGCATTTATTTATTCATAATATTACAAGTGAAAAAAAAATTGTCTAAAAAAAACTTACTGAGTTAGTTTGAATATCCTTAGTAGTCTCGCACACCGTAACACTGAAACACCCATTGGATTGAGTAATCCAGATTTAACAAAAACTAATTCCAATATCGAAAATATGACAACAAAGAAGTCGAACCTATTGAATAGTTTTGAAAAGTAGTCAGAGAAGCCTGATGCCGCCATTTTAATAACCATTTCCAATGTAAAAAGTGTTACGAATACGACATTAGCGAAATCTGAATGTTGAAATTTAAAAAAAGTAGTTGTACAGACTTTAAAATATCAACGTTTGAATGAAATATTATTTTAAACAAATAAAATACACTACAGTCAGGATGAAGTTACATCTACCTGTGACATGGAATTTTAGAATCGGCGAACTTATCTACCCAGCAGTTAGTCATACAACAAATATAATAGGATGTTGCTTACTTCTTGATTAAAAGTTCAGGTCACGCTCAAAACATGAATGGGCACACCGATAACTGCTTATTAGGCCTTCTTATCCATTTAAGTTACTGAAAGGATCGATAATTCTCCTAGTATTTTACACGTAACTAACAAAATTATGCAAAACATCGGATATTCATTAGGTGATCAGTTTTTAAATTCACAGTCAAGTTATGTATATTTTTCTGTAATATGACTGATCCATAATCATCAAAGGCGTATTCATGACTCTTTCAATACTTTTACAGATTTAATTTGCCAATGATAACTCGAGAACACAGAACTGCTGTTTGGAATTTTCTAAAATCTGTTCTTACAGAAATAATCTTATTTTTGTACAGATTATAGCTGATAGAATTTATATGCTTATCTGACACCTCTTGAAGAAACTAGTTCCCTTGTTCCTTAACAATAGCTTACAATGAACCGGAAAGACATTGAAATCCATTATTAGTGAGCAAAGAATTCATGAATTCCACAAGTTACATAGAAGCTATTTTCAAATTCTTATCATGAAACAATTTGTCCACTGTGACAAATTAAAATCCTAATTTTCAATAGAAGCTAAGAATATATATGTAATTACTCTGATATGTTGACACCTTGCTTTCTAATGAAGTTGTCACTTATGAATAAAAAATTTTCATATTTTCACCAAATAACAATGAAATCAGTGGAAAAGTTGTATTAAAATTTTAGGTACCAAATAAATGATACCGTTCTTATATTTATAAAAAGCATTTTAAGTAACTTATATCCATTATCTTGTAAATGTTTGATTAGAAAAGCCATACAAAATTCTATTTTGAAAGAATATACTTTTGCTGGAACATAAAAATCAAATGCCTAATATTTTGTGACATAAACATTTACTACTAACTAATGTATTTTCATTGATTTATTAGCATCAGATTCATGAATCATGTTCATACAGTTAGATGAAAGCTAAATCTCAGCCAAAACTTGTCGAAAATACTTAATCCAATAGAATGAACAGGAACCTAGTCAACGACTTAGCGATATGTATGACAAGCAGATAAATAATTCCTAATTGTTAATATCTAGTCCACGGGTTTTTCTGATGTTCTGAAAGGATTTAGCCACCTATTCTGCTGAAGAAACTCTGATATAAACAGAGAAATATTCAGAATTATCTTGGTTTTATTTTCTATATTGTTTAAGAATACATGGTTGCTAAGTTCTTCTCTTTTTCCTTTCTATTGTTATCCAAGTGTGTACAAGGCTGTTTCCTCATTTCGAGTTCCAGTAGCCAAGCAGCTAATTTAAATTACACAAACGCTAGGATACAGTCTAAATAGTCCTAATGTTTAACAATGTTTCAACTTTATTGACTCGATAACTAATTAGAAATTGAAAATTGAGGGTGGATAGTGTTAAATATCAGTTTGTTTTGCATCGATAGCCGATTGACATAAAATTTGCACTTACTGCATCGTCAGTAACGATTTTGGTGTTGATTCCCAAAAGGATTGTTTCATTGAAATACTTCTATGTTTCCCTTTTTGCTATTAATTTTGATTCAGCAAAGTGTACAGAAAGGAGGATGAAACGATGACAGAGTCACCATATGGTCACATGTTAGGAGACCGTTTGAGGATTAACTTAGAAAGTTCTGTGTTGCGTCTATCAAATAATCAGTTTGACTTATTATAGTAAATGTATGATTGAAACATTAGTAGGGTGTAGTAAAGGTATTGAACTTATAGCTATAATTCGAAAATTTTATGCATCCACAAGCTAGCTATTTTTGTAATAACTTATGTTTTCGACTGAGACAATCAAATAAATAATCCAAGATTGATTTTTAGTAAGGTCAAATGGGAAAGGAAATACAGAAATCCATAGAATGAATCCTAATCTAATAGAGTCAAGTGAATGTAATTTTCTTTATGTAAAATTAGAAAGATCTTCACATATGACAAAATTCATAATAACATGGAAATTTGTAGTGGAGTGATTGTTTTTCAAGGACCAATGAGACAATCTTCAGCTGAAAGCATGTTAAATCATTCATCAGAAAACTGAAGAAGACTTAATCTAATAATGTTGCTACGAAATGCAGTTTCGCAGTAAATACGAAAACGTCATCTAAACTCCTGAGAAACTCTTTCTACTAGACTCTAAGTTACTTATTCTTAACACCAATTAATCTGCATGCATATGAAAAAAAGGCTTCTTTTTGAGGATGCCTGAATGCATGTTTTCAAGTTTACATGCCCCTATACAGATAAACATCAGGTATAAAACTTGTGTGTTCTACTGGTCATAAAAGTATTCTCAGAAAATATCTCGTCTAATTACCTTGAACAAAACGGTAGGTCACTGTACAACATGGTACTTAAATATCCAAAAAATCCTGAACTCATCCCCAAAAGAATCTTTTTTTAATAATTAGCTACGAAATAAACCGAAGTTCACTTTCCTGATATATCTACTGCAGATGTACTGACGATTTATAATGAAAACCAGAACTTCTTCTATGAATATAGTGTTTCTAACTTATTTTTCTGTAATTTAAATATGCTTTCTACTTTGTTGATGTCATCATAAGCTCCTTAATGCAAACTTTTTAAGATTTCTTGATAGAATAATCAAATATTGTACTTTGATCTTAGTAAAAGATTAAATATTTTTGAAATAATCGCTTTCCCTGTCAATTTCAACGCTTCAAAATAACCTTGTTAATGTAATGATAATCTATTTTTATTTCATTACCTACCCCATACTATTGCTAATAACCAGACTTCACCCTATGAACTACTGAGTCAGTATTAGAAGTACCAGCTTCTTCACTAAAAAGAAATAGTAATATGTTTGATTACACTAACTTGCAATGGTATTTAAAAAATGAGAAAACCACAAATATCAAGTCATCAGTTTGGTTACATTTAGATACAAGTATTTTACCTGTTTCGACTAGTTTTTCTACTGAACCTAAATTCATAATTGATTTGAAGAAAACCAGCAAAAAAAGTACATGAAAATAATCGGACAGATTATTTAAACAGCATAATAATACTAATAATGTTATATTTGAGAGTTTACTAACCTTGAAATTCATCTAACCAATCTGGCTGATTATGATGTTCAGTAGTTAAGACAACTGTGTTGAGAAAAACCAATATAATAATTAGTGCAAAACACTGACGACTGTTAATAAATGCTATTACAGCTCGCCGAGTTCGTTTACGGAATTTTCTTAGACGACTGAATAAAAAGATGTATAAAAAAGGTAAACAACCAAAAATAATTTATCAGTATTTGAAAAAGCATAAAAATGATGATTAATACACTACTACTACTACTACTACTAGTGTAGGAAAAGATAAAACTGAGACGCAGGAAGGATATCTTGTACAGGGGTCATCAAATATTGTACACCTTTCAAAACGCTTTTCATTTCCTCTTCTACTTCTATCTTGATTCACTTTCAATGCGCCTTCATTGCATCTTCAGTTTGCCTGGGCAAAATTTCTACTTATTGTTGATAATTGCCTATGATTTCTTGTATTCATTTTGACCAGCAGTGCCCATTATACTACTAGTAGTACTACTGAAATTAATGAATTTATTAAATCCAACTTTTTTTCACATTCATTGGTTGTTTTAGATGAATATTTTCGAACTGATTTATACTTTGCTCAAAATAGTTTCTATGGTTTGAAGTTTTACACTGAGTAAAGATAAGCAAATAAGAAAAATGAAAAATTCAGAAGACTTTATCAACTAAACAGGTAGATGTATATTATTTCACTGATCAGAATATATAGTGAAAGAGCTCCGAATACGCCAAAAAAAGTTTTTACATATAAACGTTTTATATTTAAATCCATGACTGAACACAGAATGATGTTTTATTACAATTCTATAAATTCTTGAATAAACGTTAAAATACCAAGATTATTAACTAATTAATGATCAAAATTATTTTCCCAAGATGACTTCAATGATTTTAAAAAGGAATTATTATACAGATTTTGAAAAATAATCATTTAGCCTTTCAGTAGTCTTTATCATTTTATTTTTTAAACTAAAATATTCTTCTCATTCCACGTTCAGTCACCTTAGTAAATATATGATGCTTCTAATCTAATACAACACCTACATCAAACAATAAAATAACTGTAATAAGTCTGACATCCCATACAATCCATGAGTAAACAGACAAATAAATTAATATAGAACCTTTGTTCATTAAAATTATTAGAAGCACGCAACGAATACATAGACAGAATATGAATGACAATATGACCAACGAAACTGTAACCGAAGAGAATGAACAGCTAAATGAAGGTTACAGAGGAAACTTTAAGGCTTCAAAGACAACTAAAAATGTATTCATCTGTGCCATTCTGATCAACTTTGAGCCAAATCACTAAAGCTTCAAATATTCACCTCAATATTAATGATGGATAGTTTGCTAGTAATAGAGACAAGGTTGTATGTTTCATCCTGTTTTGGACATGTTAGTTGGGTGTACTTGCCTCCCAGTGAGCGGTGTTGTTTTTACTAGTACTCAAACTCGGAATCGATCGCTTCAAACATCCGGGTACTATTCACCAGACAGACGAGTCACTATAGCTTCTTCTTGTATGATGGGTATAGTTTTATTGTTGTTGTCTGTAGTAAATAATCCAAACACAAGCAATATCGAGGCAATTCGGTCCACTCATCAACGAGATAATACAATCAAGAACATTGAACCTAGTTGTCTAGAGAACCCTCATGGATGGATTGACTGGTTAATGCAGAATTCTGATAGCGCTTACTTACTTTTTGTCATCAACACTCTTTAGAATTTTTTAAGGCTTTTTCTAGTGATTTGTTTTTGCAGTAAAATCAAAGTTTTCATTATGGTTCCCTTTTATGTGTAACACACAGTGGAATAGTTTTTTGTACCAATGGTTTTCGAGAAAAAATGTATTGTTTAAAGTCATATCATCGTAACCCCACAGCTTTCTAGTCCATTGTTTTCAGTTTCACTATGTGTCATTTTTTGATTTAATTGGTAGTAAAATTTTGAGCGTACGCAGGATTACTGTCCGGTGTCAATTTGATAAACAAATATTTAGAAATGATACTCTTTTCACTTACTCAAGTTTTTTTCAAAATTTTCACTCTATCCCACCCTACCGCGTGATTGTGAGAGTATGCGTAGCTATGGTTGAGTTATTTTCTCGATTTTTTTTATCTTGCCACAGTCTACCATTCTATGTTAGACTGGGTTTCTTTGTTCTGATAATATATATGGGCCGAACCTGTCAACCCGCGTAAATTGATGCAATTCAAAGAATCAAAAACAGTAAAACTATAAAAAGTAGATGTTGTGATCACCTTGATATGACCATGAGTGATAAATTCTGCTATAAATGTCATCAGTAGGTCATGCTGTTTCATTGTGTGGTGCATATAATAAAAAGAACTATAGTGGGATAATACTCAACCAAAGTGATCGAGTTGTACTCGCATATTAATTTAGAGTTTCCTTTCTTGGGTACTTGTATTTTCTGAAATCTAATCTCATTAGGCCCTACGGAATGTATATCAAGGTATGATTCCCTTCACCCATACGGTCTTGTCAGTTTGGCAGGAGAATAAGAATCTTTTGGGAAACAACTATTTTGCATGACTATAGTTATATGCTACACAAATAGCACCTTTAACTACCCTTGAAAGGCTGATATAAAAATAAGAATTCATACTGAAGTAAAAGGAAGATTCCATTCATCGAAACAATAGTTTGATTTACAGAATGACTAGGAAAGATTGGCACTAAAGATAGCTATTACTCATATTCACTTTGTAAACAGTAATTTCCCCCAAAATAAAAGAAATCATCACTACATACCGTAGAGTGCTATGACAATGTGTTTTCACTACTTCTTCAACATGCATCTCTGGTTCATCTTCAACAATTCCATCAGCACCACCTAAAATAATCAAAAAAGCAAAATTTATCAAACTATGTGTTAGTGTAGTCACTAGATGACTAGAAATATCAATAACTAGTTCCTTATTACACCATATAACAAGTTCAAAGTAATTCAGTTCTAAGGATATAAACAAAATTTGTCTAAGTACTAAAATAGGGGGTGCAAATAACTTTAGAAAATGGTATAAGCGTTTCCCTTTCACGTTTATTAGTTAAATGTGTCCAACTAAATAATAATCAACAGAGTTATTTGTTTTTCTAAAACTTAACAATACACAAAATGAATACGAAAACCTAATTCTTAAAGGAAAGGAAAATAGAAAACTATCATATGTTTAACATATATTCAAAACAAAACGTCACTTTTTGAGTTTAACTTTAGATGTACATCGGAAAGAAATAAAACTTTAAAAAATTAACTTTTTTCTAAATCCCATGAAGATGGTGAAAAACAAGACAAAATTTATGAGTAAAGAAGAAAAGTTAACTTTTACCGAGATTAAACTGACCTAGCTAGCAGTAGAATCTAGAACGCGCATTTCGTCCCGTTTGCGACACGTCAGTTGGACTTACGTGTCTTCCAATAAACGATGTTGTTCTCACTAAAACTCAAACCTGAGACAGGTTACTCCAAATATCAAAACGATATCTACTAGACCACGAAGTCACTATGGCCAATTTTTTGTCCGAAAAGTACGTAGAAGCATCAAACTAACCTCTCCTGTAATATGGGTAATAACTTTCCAGGGGTTCCCATACCTTTTAAACCTATTAGTTAGTTAAAAAATGTGAGCTCCCACTTTTCAAGATATTGATCTGAATGATCTGATTCATGACACGAATGTTAAAATTTGACTACACTGGTATCAAGTAATACTTTTTCGTGTTGACTTCCTTCATTCATTTATGATGGCAATTATATCTATTTGACGCACAATGTTAATGTCACTTGCAAGGGTTGAGTTTGATTTAGCGATCATTCTCTATCTTCCTTACACTTTCAAATAAATAACAGGCTGATAAATCATTTATAAAGAAATTGACAAAATTGACCTACTGTGAAGAACATAAACCTCTCACGACTAAATCATAACATGCAAAATATTATTAATTACAGAGCAATTGAGATGAAGTTATCACTAGTACTTTATAAATATTTGTCTCACTAATGAGTAGAAGTTTAACAAACAATAAGTAATCTTTTCACTCATTAGCAATAATATGATATTTGTTACCATATTTCTGATTTGTGTTGTACAAGAATATATGAAAGAGAGCTAATGTATAGTTTGCAGTGAATTATAGAAATGGACGTTTGAATATGTGATATTACAAAAAGCAGGTAAACATGTGAAATAAAATTCTTATGCGTATAAAAACTGCACTCACAAATATAGAGATAACTAACAGGTTATTTTTACACTAACCTGATTCTAAATCTTCACTTCCTTTATCATCTCCTTCAGAATCACTTAATTCTTCTAAAAAGAAAATAGAAAAGAAAGGAAATACTTTTAGACTTTTTCACTACAGTTTATCTTTGATAAAGAGCACAACATTTTCATATTTGATGAAAAAAGACCATGTTAAAATCAACTGTAACAGAAGTTATAGTTTTTGGCTAAAATAAACAAAAAGATAACATATTAGTAAAAACAACAGCAGTGCAGACATCAAGGTCAAAGCATCAGGTATAATTAATGCAAGTCATTATTTTACGGGCAATATGAATACAGTGATACAGATGTACATTTAGACAATACTAGTTATGTTAGGAAAGTAAACTGAAGAATATACAGGTAAATGTACAACATCAAATGAATTTTTTTTTGAATTTCTAAACTGACTTATACATTGATGATATTGCTGCCTGATTGACAAAGAAAGTCATAATACAAAATTAATACCAAAACAATTTGTAAAAAGTATTCATAATAAAAACAGCAATCTGTAAAGAAGTTTCAAATCAATTTCAAACTAAATTATGATTGAAATTTGACGGAGTTGTGGGGATTTGGAATATTTCAAGTTGTGATTCATCGTAGACTGACATTAGCTGGAGGAACAAAGGAGACCTGGGAGCACCGGATAGCTACTTCGTCCTAGTATGGGACTTCTCATCAGTGCGCACCCACGACCCCACCTGCCAATGATCAAACCCACGACTTTCAGGTTCCGTGGCCAGCGGGTTACCATTGAGCCACTGTGTTGCAATCCAATGGTCCATATTTCCAACTTCATCCCATACTAGGACGAAACAGCTGTACAGTGCTCCCAGGTTTCCTTTGTTCGTCCAACTGATGCCAGTCTATGATGAATAACAACTTTAAATTATGATTGCCTAAGAATACTACATGATTTCTATGACAAGTATGTGAATATTTGAATGGTAAAAGTAAATAAGTAGGACATTTCTTCTACGTGGCAGTTTCCAGTTGCTGACCGAAGGTTTTGAGTTTGAAAAGAAATAAATACTTTCTTCACGAAACCGTAACTGATACTGGGTGACTGAAGTCGGATTCGAATCAGTGACTATCAAGTTTCCGGTTCGATTCTCTACCAACTTATCTATTAGGTCAGACTCCTGATCAGATTTTATCTGACTTCACTCACCAAAGATTTTGTTCGACTACTATATGACTCCGTGACGCGTTACCATCACTTGATCGTACTCACACTACCTGACTAGTCTCATTCCAATCCAACTCTAAATGAATTAGAGAGGGGAAGCAACATATTGATTATCATTTTGACTGTATGAGGTAGCCATGGTTTGATAGACTAGTATTTATACTGGGTGATGAATGAAAACATAACCATTATTATGTCGTCAAATGTAAGCTGCCGCAATTCAAAAAAGCAGTTAGACAGTAAAACATGAAGACTCTTAGATGATGGAACAGAGAAAATCGCTTGAGTGCATTAAAAGTGATCATCTTCCGTAACTGATTCCTTTTGTCAGATTAAATATGGTTGATCTGTTTAATTCAACAGACACTCAAGTAGTACTTCAATGCTACATTGGTGTGAACAGTTTATGCTAAATAAATTCTTACGACTACCTTTGTAGTTCAACTTCATTGTTAAGTACATGTTCAGATAACCCTAATTTCCAGAAAGTGGTAAACTAAAAAACGGAGGATTATCATTTAATTTCAGTGATCCTATGTTAACAACGGAGAAGCACAATTATAAGATGGTTTGACTATCTTTGAATTCATGAACATTTTAAGAACTAATAATCTAGCATTAGTATATAACGATTCCTCTTTAAATATATTCAGAGAAAATCATATCAGATTTGTTTCACTGAAACAGCTGGAAAGTTTTGTGATGTAGAAATTGTTTACAAATTTTTAAATTACTGCGATTTTTGAATACCTCTTTAGACTTTTTTGCCCATCTAAAGAAGAGCAAGGATCTTATGACAGTTAGAGAACTTAGTGGATTTATTCGGTTTCCACCACACTAGCCAAACTGAATACTCAAACTAACAATCTGTCGAATATCCTAGAATGAAAGTTGTATAACAGGGGGAAACAAATGTATTCAATATGGTGGGAAAGGTCACATTAAATAATCATACCCATGAAAAATCTATGTAATGTGGACAGAAACAGTCTATTATAAATATTTTTAAGGTAGTATTCATCACCCAGTGACCTCATTTGGAGAAGCGTCGGAAACCTAGGATCAGAGCAAAACAGTCTCGTCCCATCATGAGACACTTCAGCAATCAAAATGATGTCGGTTCGTGATGAGTACTACCTTAAAATTTCCATTAACCTCAAGCCACATTATTGTACAAAACTCTTTAGTGATACGCTTTGAGATGGACATCTCAAAGTTATAATGCATAACCATGACCTTTGGGGTCAACCAGTCGTAGGTGAGGCGGATGTCAACTGAAGATGTTGGTGGGTAATCGCACCATATCGCGAATCGGCAAAAATTGGAAACAATGGACCACTGAACTCCTACCCAGTGGCCCAGTAAATGACGCGTTCACTGTGAAACCTGAAGGTCCTGAATTTGATCTCCGGCGGGGCTGTGAATGCGTACTGCGGAGAAGTGCTATACTAGGACAGAACAGCTATTCAGTGCTCCCAGGTTTCTATAACCGATATCAGTTCGTGACAAATACTACCATGAAAATTATATCTCTATAAACCTCGAACTAGACTATTGTGAATATATTTGTTACGAATATTTATAAGGTAATACATAAGATTTGTGTGAAAGAAGGGCAAAGAATTTCTGTTAGCTAAGAAAATAAGGTGAACAGAACTCAGATAATTTGTTCAGACCTGTGAAATCGGGTAACAACAAACGTGTACGAATCGATAATGACACATAACGTGATTATCATCAAAGAAACATTTTCATTATGGTGAGCGTAGAATGATAATTGTTTTTTAAGAATAAGTTTGGTTTACCTCGTTTAATGGCTAGCACTACAGTGAAACGCAACAATTTCAAATCCACCGATTTGTTAATTATTCTAAACGGATTCTGGATATCACCTTCAGGTTCACTATCAATAAGATGACGAACGATAGCACTATTGAAGACTTTTCCACCTATCAGTCACAAATTCCTTGGAATATGCTCATATATCCTGTCATAAGGACTGCTTTCTGCTCGTCCAATGTATTTACTTTGACATGTACATGTGAAGTGGTATATGTATTTGGAAGTAACATGATGAGGCAATTTGCCAACCTTCGATTGTCCCAGTGAGTATTTCTTTCAGTAAATTGCCAGTAACCCAGCATCTGGATAGGTCTTTTTAAGGGATTATTTGCTCTATCTTTAACTACTCCAGAAACGCAATCACCTTTGAAAACAAGATTCAAGAAAACAGGCTTTTTCCCGACTCCAGTTTTAATTGATATATTCTCGTAGTTATTGATGAACTTCTGAGGATATCCACTTTCACAGAGGCAATTATCAACAATAGTCGTTTTCTATTCTAGTGTTTGTCTAGAACAAAGATATCTTATGAGTTTGAAGTGTTCAGATTAGCCGTCCCTTATAACTAGTGGGATGAAAACAGTCTAAGTTAAGATACATTCCACTCAAATAATCTTTACGATGGACAAATCTTAGCATTATACTATCTACAGTTCGTTGAGTTCCAAGGTCAAGAAAGTGTATTTCCCATTTTGTTCATATTTCATTGTAAATTCCATGTTCTGATGTCCTTTGTTGAATGAGATAAACAAATATGAGGCATGCTGCAGGTTATTGCAAACAACGAATGCATCATCGACATGCCTACTGTAGGAAGTTGTCTCGACGACTGGCTACTTAATACTTGTAAATTCAACGTTCTCCATAAGGATATTGGCTGGTGTGGGACCCAGGAAACTGCCTGTAGCAACGTAACCAGATTGGAGATACATAAATTTGTTGAAGCTGTACATTTTAAGTGTACATGAGTTAAAGGTATTTAACTCCTTCTATAGACAGAGGCAGAAGATCAGAATGCTGACATCCAATGTCCACAGCATCTTTTAGAGGTATCACTGTAAATAATGAAGGAACGTCAAAAGACACTATTAATCTATCAATAACGTTTAAACCTTCCAGTTTCCGAGCAAATATAAAGTTATCTTTCAGGCTGTGGATTTCCAAGTTCATAGGAAAAGGTTCTGACACTCTACTGACCAGCAAGCGAGTTTCCGGAAGGCAGAGTTTAGCATAAAAATATGGGACATTAAGTTTGTGAATCTTTGGTAATCCACATAAATACGGTAGGTGAGATCCTTGGGGTTTTTGGTCATTACAGATGGGATTATCAATCAAATTCTTTTCCAAAAGTTCACACAACTTCTCTGCATTCTTTTTCCTGAAGCTCGAGGCACATCTTTTTTATAACTGTCAATTATAAGTCTTGATGTAACATCTACAGCTGATTGAACTTCACGTACATATTTATATTTGTCTATAATGGATGAAGAATTACGATTATCTAATTCCTCATTAAATTTCTCAGTGGTGTTTTGCGACTATTGGATAAGACTTTAGATAGTAGAATTTATGAAAAGATATATTCGTTAGCAATACCACCTAGAGTGGATTTAAAGAAATCTTCTTTCTCATAATTCATAGGTTTTAATTATGTTAGCTGGTGATGTAAATTCTATATTAGATTTGTTTATTTGATTTATAACACAGTGATACAGTATTATTTACTTGATGAAGACGTTTCGAGCATAAATTATCACTGCTCATAATCTTATCAATGTAATCACACTACTTTCGACATTTGACGTTTATAGCTATGTCACTTTATATGAAATGTCTATATTGGTAACAAAATTTCCCATATCTGTGGTATACGTGTTGCGTCATTTATATTACATATGTTGAGTGTTGATTCGATGAACAAAGATTCAGTAACCAATCTCTCTCTCCACCTTATTATATTAAACTTAAGTTCAGTGGCTTGATCCCACCTTATTGTGTGGTTGTGTGTCAATGCATACATAGCAATAGCCGAAATTTTTCTAGATTATTGATCTTATTTAGGTCTGTCATTCTATATTTAGCTAAATTCCTATGTTTGGCTATTCTAATTGACCCCGATCGACTAGTTTGACCTATATACTTGACCTCACAGTCATTTCACTACATGGAATTTGATAGATTAGATTATTTTGCTTAATTGGTTCTATCAGATCCTTAAGCTGACAAAGTTTATCTGTGAGTGAGTTTGTAGGTTTAAACGCCACCCTAATTCCAGCTTTGTTGAGGATTCTACATAGAGTTTTCGAGGTACCCTCCTTATAGTGTAACACAATGGAGGCTGTGAACTCTTTTTTACTTGTGTTGTCCGTTATTAGTCGCATTCGTATGACTGTTATTTTTTCGTTTTTTATGTATCCGTAAGAATTTCTTGATAAACTGTGGAGGATAATTATTAATTATTAGCGCTTCTTTTACGTGTATCAATTCCTCGTTTAGGTTCTTGTTTTGACCAGTCAGTTTTCTAGCTCTATCATTTAGACATTTGACTAATCCTGCCTTAACTGACATTGGATGGAATGATTTGAAGTTTAGATACCTGTTGGAATGTGTTGGTTTTCTGTAGACAGTAGCATCCAAGCCACCGTCCGTTCTTCGTTTTATTCTACAATCCAACCTGGGTAATTCTTCTTGTTCATTTTCTACCACGTAAGTGAATTGGATTACGTTTACTACTGAGTTTATATGCATAAGGAAATAAAAACATTTCATATAAGGTGACATAACTATAAACTTATAGTTAACACAAGACAAGCAATTGAAAGATGTTCTTAGATTATTTGATTTAATGACTAGTGACTGGCAAACTCGGTCACTTTTCGATTCCTGGAAAATAAATAGCATACAAGCATCAATAATTTGATAGTATTGCTATAAACTAACACTAAATATCTATTGCTTTTGGACCCTTGCTAAGAAAAAAGTGGGATAAAATCAATAAATATACAAACCACTTATATTTATGCCAACAGATATTTATCCCGTCAGTTAACTAGAATTTTTTTTGTGATGAGATGAAAAGGAAATCAATAAATGATGCACAAAATACTATTTCATTGGACACTACATCCGAAAGCATAGGAATATAATCTGCCTACAAACATATAGGTATATATACAGAAAATTCAACATAAATAACCAGTGAAATAGTTTACCAGCTAATTCGATCCATTCTTTATAACCTAAATAATCCTGTTGTTCACGTTTTTCTTGTCTTTCTTTACGAAAAAGCAAAGTACGATCAATTTTTTCTTTTTCTTTACTGAATTCTCTGTAAAAAGATAAAATAAATTACAAATTATTGACAGTGGAAAAATTTATTATACTTTGTGCAGCTAATATTATTTTTATGTCTAACAACTTCATTATATGTCATGAGTTCACACAAAAGGAGTCCTACATCAAGACGAAACACCTGTTCAGTGCTCCCTGAATCCCACCATTTCTCCAAGTGATATCAGTTTATGATGTATATCTAGCTGAAATCATCAACATTATACACTCAATATTGTAACTGAAATTTGCTAGCCTATTTACGTTTACGTTGTAACAAAACTTAACAATAAGTGAAACTCAGCAAGTTATTGTTTCTTAACAGTAATAATACTTGATTGCCTATATATTATCAGAAGTGAGTTAGAAATTCGTGGCTCAGTTTATGGACGCTGATGACCTTAAACACTCAATCATAAATTTACACATAGCAAACAATTTTTATTTCAAATATTAACTTTATTGTATCTCCTCAAAATTCGCTATGGTACTTATTTGTGATATCACTGTGAAACTCAATAATAAGCCATATGGAAACAAGTAAGCATTTTGTTGCACGAAAAACCCTAGTTATTTCACCACTGAAGCGTTAACGAGTCAGGAGATAGATTACGCGATGAAATAAATTAACATCTCAATGGTAACTTCTGTGACTGCAGTATTGGATTACATGAACTGTAACCTCTTGTGGGAAGGAGGAAGGTTTCCATGATGTTAAAAACTTGCCTTGCTGACTTTAGTCAGCAAGTGCAAGATCATGTTTCAGTAGATGCATGTAACTCGGTAACAACTTCGGGTCTATGTATTAGGCAACAAGCCTCATCTATTATGAGAAGAATTGTGATACTATCTGGATGCCCAAACCCTAGAAGATGGAGTGGGATCCGAACTCATGGTTTATTGGTTGACAGTCAACCGACCAGATTATTGAGCCGTAGCTCAACTCAGATTCATAGTTTCTTGTTTATTGACTCCAAGCACTCAGTTTCAGGCCTATCTTGAAAGGTTTAACAAAATATTATTTAAATTCTATCTAAACCAGAGTTAATTTCCACTCTTCTTCTTATTTAATGATTCTTAACGAATACGTGTACTTATATGTTTTAGCATTAGAAAGATTCTAATTCACTGATATGAGGTTTTTCTCCTCACAGCAATAATACTGCTATATGATTTTGTGTAGAAGCTTATTTTCAGATCCAGTAAAATATTTTAAAGACTATATATAAAGAATCAGAATCCATAAACAGAATTATGATATTTTTGACAAAACATCTGGCGAATCGATTTTAAGAACGACTATGTAATAACTTGATCTTCTGCACTCAGCATGTGGAACAACATCCGGATTTTCAAAACCAACGTCAAGTCAGTGCTTCTGTATGGTTCAGAGACTTGACGCGTTACGAAAGGCATTTCCAATAAATTATAGGCACTTATCGGGTCGAGAGGCGCTAGGTGAAATGAATGAGAATGGAGAATTGTTTGCAGAATTCTGTGCATTCAACGATTTGGTGATTGGAGGCAGTGTGTTCAGGCACAAGGATATCCACAAAGCGACATGGACTTCACCAGATGGACACACTAAAAATCAAATCGACTTTATCTCAATCTCAAGAAAATGGAGACGCAGTCTACTTGACACAACGTCAAGAAGAGGAGCAGATGTAGGTTCACACCACTATCTAGTGCAAGGAACCTTCGAAATCAAGTTAAAAGCCTTCAAGGAAGCTGGTGATAGACCTCAATTCAAGTACAACACTCGGAAACTGAAGGATGAAACTACAAAGGAGATCTTCAAAGCAGCCATCAAGACAAAATGGGAGACGTCGAGGGACATCCCTGAAGAAACCTGTGTGGAAGAACACTGGAAGTCTTTGAAAGCTATGTGGAAAGAAACCTGCACAACAGTATTAGGAAGGAAGAAGAAAGAAGACAAGGAATGGATCTCGACGGATACCTGGAAGCTGATAGAGGAGAGGAGGATGGTGAAGCAGAAGATAAACCAGTGCAAGGATGCTCAACGACAAGAGGAACTGAGCACAATGTATAAAACACTGGATAAAGAAGTGAAGAAGAGTGCACGCAAAGACAAAAGACACTTCTACGACACACTGGCAAGTGAAGCAGAACAGGCTGCAGGTAAGAGAGACCTGACGACATTGTATCAAATAACCAGGTTGCTATCAGGGAAGAGACCAACACAGATGAAACCAATAAAAGATGAAGAAGGAAATTTAATTACGAGAGAAGAGAAACAGAGGAAACAATGGGCCGACCACTTCAAGAAGCTCTTGAATCGACCACCACCTGCACTTCGTCCACAAATACCACCTGCAGCCGCTGAACTACAAGTGAACATAAATCCCCCAACGAAAATGGAAGTCCTGAACGCCATAAAGCTACTGAAATGCGGGAAAGCAGCAGGACCAGATGGAATACCGCCAGAAGCACTGAAAACAGATGCAGAGACAACAGCGGACATGCTCACACCACTATTGCAGAAGGTGTGGAAGGAAGAGAAGGTACCTGTCGGTTGATTGGAAGAAGGGTTACCTTGTCAAACTGCCGAAGAAGGGAGACCTCAGTGCTTGCAAGAACTGGCGAGGAATCACTCTCCTGTCCACCCCAAGTAAAATATTAAGCCGCATCATCCTGGAGAGGCTTAAAGACGCACTGGATTCAAAACTGCGACCGGAACAGGCAGGCTTCAGGAAGTACAAATCATGTGCTGACCAAATTGCAACGCTTCGTATCATCATAGAACAGAGCGTAGAATGGCAATCAGCTCTATGCCTCAACTTCATCGACTTTGAGAAGGCCTTTGACAGCGTCGACCGAGAAGTAATTTGGAAACTGCTGCAATACTACGGAGTACCGCAAACCTTTATCCGCCTCATTCAACAACTATATGAAGATGCCACATGCCAAGTAATCCACAATGGGAAGCTCAGTGATGCCTTTGAAGTGAAGACAGGAGTGAAACAAGGTTGCCTACTATCCCCCATGATATTCCTTATTGTGGTGGACTGGATCATGCAGCAAACAGTGGGGAGCGAGAAGAGGGGGATACACTGGACGACGGAAAAGAACCTAGAAGACTTGGATTTCGCCGATGACTTGTGCCTAATGTCGCATAAACTTGAAGATCTGCAGGCAAAAACTAACAAGTTGACAGAAGAGGCAGCGAAGACGGGACTTCAGGTGAATATAGAGAAGACAGAAGTGATGAAGATACCGTACCACCACCATCAACAACAAACTCCAATCACCGTCAACGGGAGAAACTTGAAGGAAGTAACCTCCTTCACTTATCTAGGAAGCACTGTTTCAACTACAGGCGGGACGGACGAGGACGTCAAAGTCAGAATCGGAAAAGCAAGACAGGCGTTCATTAGCCTGAAACCAGTGTGGAGATCTTCTGCACTCAGCATGCGGAACAAGATACGGATTTTCAACACCAACGTCAAGTCAGTGCTCTTGTATGGCTCAGAGACTTGGCGCGTCACGAAAGGCATTCCCAATAAACTACAGACATTCATCAACAACTGCTTACGCTCGCTGCTGAAGATCAGATGGCCAGAAAAAATAAGCAACAAGGAACTCTGGGAACGAACCAACCAAGAACCTATCACGCAACAAATATGCAGGAGGAAGTGGAGATGGATTGGGCATGCACTGAGAAGGCCGACTGAGGACATCACGCGTCAGGCCCTCGAGTGGAATCCCAATGGGAAGCGACGAGTTGGACGTCCGAGGGTGACATGGAGGAGGTCATGCAAGGAGGAAATGAGAGCTTCTGGGCTGTCGTGGAACCAGGTTCAAAAGATCTCAGAGAACAGAGGTCACTGGAGGCGTGCTACTGAAGCCCTATGTTCCACTAGGAACCCAAGGGACTAATAATAATAATATCGACAACTGCTTACGCTCGCTACCGAAGATCAGATGGCCAGAAAGAATAAGCAACAAGGAGCTCTGGAAACGAACCAACCAAGAACCTATCATGCAACAAATATGCACTGGAAGGAAGTGGAGATGGATTGGGCATGCACTGAGAAAGCCGACTGGGGGCATCACGTGCCAGGCCAATTACTCGAGTGGAACCCCCATGGGAAGCGACGAGTTGGGTGTCCGAGGTGAGGGTGACATGGAGGAGATCGTGCGAGGAAGAAATGAGAGCCTGTGGGCTGTTGTGGAGCCAGGTTGAAAAGATTTGAGAGAACAGAGTTCACTGGAGAGGTGCTACTGAAGCCCTATGTTCCATTAGGAACCCAAGGGACTGATAATATAATAATAATGTTATAACTTAGTGAAAAAGTGATCAAGTTTTAACTACTCAATCTATTGCTTACAAGATAAAATGCTGTCTCATAAATCAGTGAATGTTTACTTTCCGTATAGTTTACTGGTCAACATTCGCTACCGCCAAGAGGCAAATATTTGTGACATAAATAATCACTCAGTCTTCAAGTTACAGAATTTTTAGGCAAAAAACAAGCTAAGCTACATAGTAAAAGGCTTAGTATTGCTTTATTTTCATTACAAAGACGGTGATTATGTGTCCGAAATGACATCTTAGAAGTAATGGAATTTTCTCGTTTTGAACAAGTAATAAGCAGCAACCAAAATATAAACTAAAATTTACACTGATTGACTGCAGAGATAGAAGTTTTCGAGCTTCAACTTCCGACTTATACTGTTATCAGTTTGGCTAGTAGTTGAATAAAACAATCTGAATAAAGTAATTAGTCTTCTTCCTAGCTGATCTTTATATGCATAAAGATTATTTTTAAAAATGTAAAACCAGTACATATATGGTGTATTAATACCTAATATAGATCATTTTCAGGATCATATCAGTCTTCAGCTATCATTATTTTTGTGGTTAATTGAACTATAAACTGTTGGAGGGAACAGTTGTTGGTGGTGCGCAGATCAAGTGCTGCAGCTTATTCCGTATTCTTAATTACTTTTTGTACAAAATGAAGTTGGAGCATTGTGGCATTATGTGACTTTTCCATAATTATTTCCTAGATTTATTAATCACAACATTCGTATGTTGATTCATTAAAACCTGTATTCAATTATCTACTTCCTCTTTTGCCAACATTAGTGCCTAAAAGAATCAGGTAAACGTTAAACAATGTCTGATTATATTGGTTTTGGCTCAACTGATCCTGCTAGATTTTCACTGTAATTTCATACTTCCGTTATGTTAAACACTTCTTGATTAAAATCTAGTGTTCTCATGTTTCGTTGTTCATTCCAACAAATTTTCACTTAATTAGTTAGAAGCAGTCAAACATTTTTCAAGACGGGAAAAGTATTTTATTTCTTTCAGCTACAATCAATGTATAATACTTATTCAGTATTACTGTAAAAATTTGTTGAATCACTCAGTCAATAAATCATATGAATATACTGCTACTAATGAGTTTTACGTTATCTACAGCAGGCTTTGCAATGTAAAAATCTGTTAGCAGCCTACCAATGGAATCTGAGCGCCCAGAATGGTTTATCAAAGGTGAAAGAACTATGAGATTCTAATGCGTCATTTTAAAGAATGCGCAAATTCAACCACATAAGATAGGGTACAGTCTAACGATCCACAATAAAGTATTATTTTGAAGATCAGACGTACTGATTAGTTAAAACTATTATTGGCATATCGACGAATTTTACTATGGCAGCTTCAGAGAGTCTAAACTACTGACCCTGCTGACGTACCTCGGTGAATATTTCCAGGCCTCATTACGCACCAACATAATCAGGAGGGCTGAGAGTGATTTGTCGAGGTAGTCATTAAATACCACTAAACATGTAAAACATAGGATAAAATTGAGGATATATTATCTGAAAAAAAGTTCAGTATATATGGTTTACTTACCCACTTAAGACGCCGAGAACGAGATTCATTACAAAAAAAGAACCTAGTAAAATTAGAGTCACAAAGTATATCCAAGGCCACCAAGAACCGATTGCATCAGAAACCTAGTAAAGCAATGATTTGAATGTTGCGAAAGATTAGTGATGTAAAATAGTAATTATGCGGAATAAGCTGATGTAAAGTACGTAACCAATTTTCACACTTCTAATAAACGGATATTTGCCATGTAGGAGACTAGGGCAAAATACTCAGGCAGTCTGCTTAAACCCTGGGCATCCAGTATATTGTGTTTTAATTTGTCTAAATATGAACCTAAATCGTGTCTAATGTTCACGCAAACATTTAAAAAGTTATCAACCTGCCGTCATGAATGTGACAAATATACTTAAGAAAAGAAACTATGGTAGATGGCAGCGCACTTTCAAGCGAATATAACTGCGTCAAATGGTACTACTCGAAATACTCAGGTCGAAATCCAGATCTCTACTGGGTAAGGTAGACTACTTATATTGTTTGCATATTCTTATGTACATCGTAATGCTGTTGTAATAACACTACAAGAAACTTGGTTTCATATTTTACATGATGACAGTTTAGTCTTGAAGTAGTTTCAAAATGTTGTGCAAGGATTGGTGTTGTTCTAGAAAAACGCGCGGTGGAGGTGTAGCTACTTTTATCAACATTCAGTGGTGTTCATCAAATGATACATGTTTTACCTAGTGTAATGATAATATAGACTTTATCACTGTTAAATGTCATACCCAACGTTTAGATAAATTTGAATTCATTTACATCAACAATGTTTATGTGGCTGTTGGTTGGATCTATTCTTAATTACTGAAATTCCCTGACAAATCCATGGAATTCGCTGTTCCCATAATGTGTTGTTCGTTATCTGTTAACGGTGGTGATTTTAACTCTTTTGATTGCAGCTTCATTCATTCTCTTGGTCACGGTAACTTAATCAGTATATTAACACTTTTTGATGCCACATTAGACTTGATGTTCGTTAATGAACCTGGTAATATATGAAACTCGGAAACTTGCACCACTGTCGAGCTGAGATCACCGTTTTATATGAGTTCTGCCAAAAATATGTACCAAACTGCATAAAAATAATTTCACATACCAATCTAAGAAGGCTGCACAGGAGCTTTAAGTATGACAATATGTATAAACTCAGATGCATGTTAGCAAACAGAATGGGACATATTTGAAAATGATGCTCTGGATGAAACAGTCAATGCTGGTACATGCTACTTCAAATTCCCTCTTGATATTTGCTGCCTAGCTGAAGTAGTTTTTCTAAGGTTTGATAGGCTTCCTTGTCCACAATAAAAAAGACTGAGAAGAGAGGATGAAAAACTGTACAAATCGAAGGACAATACTGATGTTAAATGACTAAACTACCTAATTAAGTCTGAAATAAAAAGCCTAAATTATTTGTGTGACGAGATTATATCCTGTAAATACTATTCTAGTATATGGGAACGTCTCTATGATCCTAGTGGTAAACAAAAACTCAGAAACGAAGCTCGTGAAAACGTCTTTACTAAACGAGTTTTTCATATGTAAACCTGTTAATGTTATCTTATCTAGTTCTTCATACATAACACAAGGTAGTTTCTTTTAATTAAATGAAACAGAAGTATTCAAATGCCTACAATCATTAGAGCTATCTCAAAGCCTGAGATCAAATGCCAAGCAACGTGTTCTTTTTACAAAATTTGCTGATATTCTATATCATTCGCCCACAAACATTTTTAATGAGTCCTTTTCCAGAAATGACGTGCTAACCACCTGGAAGGAAGTTAAAATAGTTCCAGTATCCAGGTTCATATCTTCTGGAGTAAAAGTGGAATTCCGACCGATTGCACTGACCACTTCATTTCTAAAAGCAATGGAAAAACTGTTGTTTTTCGGGTTTAAACCCTCTATGGAGGCTTTCAGAGATCCAAATCAATTTGCCTACAAATCCAGAAGAAATATTTCAGATGCTGCAGTTGTTTTACACCATAGTAACATTACCAATTTAGACAAAGTTGCTAGGTACGTTAGATCTGCTTTCTTAGATAACATTTTTGCCTTTGACTTTATCCCTAGACCCCTATTATTAAACAAGCTTGCCAGTACTCATATTGAGTCATGGGTTGTAAACTGACCTGATTCATATTTTTCTGAGAGAAAACAGTACACCCTATACAGAGAAACGCTGTACTTTGTTGCTTAGTGAAGCCGGTGTGACTCAACGTGCTGTTCTTCCTCTTTTCCTTTTCACTTTCTTCTTGCATGACTTACCAACCTCAACTAAAGATAACTTCTTTAAGTTCGCAGATAATCTAATAGCATCCATACTGTTCATCTCCTCTTCAGATTGTTCTAATTTAATAACTTCTTAACCAAATTGGTTACTGGCTTTCCCTAAATGGCCTCAGACTCAATCTCTTCAAATGTCAAATGGTTAATTTAAGCCTAGGACGTGATCAAAACGTTTGTAAATTGCTTTGGTCACACAGCTCTTGTTTCATAGATGGTAATGTTGTATAGAATTTATCAAGCGTCATATATTTTGACCTGCGCTTTTCTTCTTTCTTGGTCTGCTCATATTTCACTGATTTCCAAGAAATTCTTCTGCTTGACCTTCTATGTAAGGAACCTCTGTCTAGCATAACTCAACCGCTACTGTTTCGCCTCATTAATTTCGGTTTTTTATCGATACTTACTGATTGTTTCCTCTTATTCTTTTCTGGTCTCCGAAGAAAAGACTAGTCTGTATTGCATAGGATTTCAAAAGCTGTTAGTGGAGCACCACTAAACGCCCTGAAAAATGCAGTCGTGGATAGTCATCTGAACTCTTGTAGGTGGTTGATTAAAACTATTTTATCTGAAGATAAGCACCCTTTACATCTGCATCTCTCCACGTCTGTCCTCTGGGAAGACAAGAAGTAAATATAATAAACCATATGCACCCACAACTACACATAAAAATTGAAGCATATCGCATTATTTAGGCTATGTATTGTGTTAAGAAAACCATGTTAGGTAGAGTCTTATCAATCAACATTGCAATGGGGAGCGATTATCATGAGCTTTAAGTCAGCAAACATTTTAACAATCATGTTACTCTTCATTATTAATTGTCAAACAGCAACAGTTCTAATATATATTTGAAAAATGTCCTACGGTAAGAAAACTTAAGCAATATCACATGTTGAAATTTCTGTACTGTAAGCACAACTATGGTTTGGAATAAAGCAAATTAATTACCATTATAATTTCAGCATAACTACAGGGAAGAAAATTACACCCATCAGATATTAGCATAAATTTTACAGATGTTGTTCTAAATTTACAAAGTAAAAACTTAAGGTTATAATTCTTATAAACCCATTTTATGAGTGAAGATAATAAACTGTCTCTTTAAATTCTCCTCTTACTTTATTGCACATAAAAAATATTTGAGGTTATTCGACTTACGTAATAGCCTGTACTAGTCCATCCTTCCATTGTAATGCATACAAATACTGTAAGCATAGAGTACAAAAAGTTGTCAAAGCTAACGATGCCACCTTCAGGGCCTGTATACCTTTCACTTTCTTTACCATACATATCTGCACAAAAATAATCTGGTCCAAGTTCGCTACATTTGAATCCCATCGCTGACGTTTCAAATGTACATGGTCGTGGATTTGGCATCATTTCGGCTGAAGATTGAAAGAGAGAAAGCACAACTTATCAAAACTAATCCATCTATCCACTTGAAAATTACTTTTAACCATCAATATCATGAAAGTATGATTGCTGGCATTACACTGTCGTTGATTGGACCGGATTGACCAGTCTCTATTGGCATCGAGCTCCCGCGCAGATGCCTTGATATTTTCTGTGTTTCAATTATAATAATGATGGATAATGACTAGCAGTGGGATCCAGGATGCACATTTCATCCTGTTTGGGACTCGTCAGCTGAATGTACCTGCTTCCAAGTCAGTGATGCTGTGCATTCCGGGATTCGCACTCAAGACCAACCACTTCAAACGTCAGAGCCTTATCCACAAGAAGTGGTTATCGTGGCTCATTGGTCTGGTGGATGACGCTGCAGCGTTCGAAGCGGTCAGCTTGGAGTTCTAACCCCGGTGGGAACAGCATCACTGACTTGGAGGCAGGTACATCCAGCTAACGAGTCCCAAACAGGACGAAATGCGCACCCTGGATTCTACTGCTAGCCACTATCCATCAATACCAATATCATGGAAATTCAGATTAGTTGTCGAAATAATTTATTTCACTCTTGTGATAACCACAGAGGAATCAACCTGACGAACATAGCGTCCAGAATCCTAGGTTCTATAAGTCTTCGACGCCTGAGTGGAGCTCAGGAACAGCAAGCCAGAGAAAACCGGGCAGGATTTAGACCCGTCCTCGGAAGTATCGACCAAATATTCACACTGCGCCAGGTTCTGAAACACAGGCACGCTTACCAACGCCCGAAATTAAATGTGTTTCTCTATCTGAAGGCGGTATCTGACTCCGTTGATCGAGAGGTCTTATGGCAATAATTCTCACTGAAAGGCGTGCCGAGTAAGTACACCATCTTATTGAAGTCTCTCTACTCGAACACTTCCGGGCATGTTAGAGACTGTGGTGAGATATTCGGGGAGCTGTACTCCTCAAGTGGTGTCCGTCAAGGTTGCCCAGTTTCTCCATTCTTATTTAGTTTCATCATAGATATTCTTATGGAGACCTCTCTCTCGTTACCTGACAACACAGAGGTTGATCCAATCTAGGAAGAGATTTCGTTAGACCTAGAATACGCAGATGACACATTCCTGTTAAGTGAAGACGCTGACAGGATGCAGCGTCTTCTGAAGACTTTGAGTGGGAATTTGAGGATGTTTGGGATGCGTTTATCACCACCCAAATGCAAATTGTTGCTTTAGGATTGGTCTTCAACGGTGCCCCACAGCGGCTAACAATGGAGAGTGAAGTGGTTGAGTGTGTTGACCACTTCACTTACCACCTGGGAAGTAGGATCAACTCTGGTGGGTTAGCTGCCGATGAAATCTCTGCACGAATACAAAAGGCTCAATTGGCTTTTGCCAATTTACGCCACCTATTATGCCGCCGTGATATCCGATTGTCTAGTAAGGATGGTGTGTACTGCACTTGCACAGCAGTCCGCTCTGTTTTACTGTATGGCTGTGAAACATGGCCATTGAAGGTGAAAGAGATGATAAGGGTTGAAGTGTTTGACCACCGTTGCCTTGGTAGCACAGGCCGTATTCCTTGGTGTCACCATGTGAGTAACGCAGACGTCAGGGGTAGAGTTTAAGGGAATAGAGGTAAATCAGTTGACGAGGCTATGAATCTTCATCGACTGAAATTGTTTGGACACGCGTTACGCATGCCTAGTCACCGTTTGCCTCGCCACACAGTATTGACCGAAGTAGGTTCAGGATGGAAAAAGGCCCGAGATGGCCAGACTAAAACGAGGCATCAGTGTATGCATTCTTTGACTAGTGGTTTAAGCCAAGTGGGGCGATGCAGACTAGATGGTTGGGGTCCATGGGACAAGAGAAACCAGAAAGTGGAGACTGACTCCAGGTGAGTTGGCTCAGAACCAATGTCAGTGACCCAGATGTATACATACATTATCCGCATCTTAGAGATGCTATACTGAATCTCACCATTCTCTCATTCCTTTTTTGACTCTTTTAGTACTTTATATTTCTTTAGATCGAATTTTTTTTTCATCTTGCACTTCACCATCTTTTTACTTGATGTACTGATATGAGCTGTGGCAACTCGGACCATTACGCAGGAATGACTGGTCCCATGTTGACAGATGACGATGATGACTTTTAAAAAGAGTGCTCAGTGTTAAATGATCAACCATTCTTTGCACAAATTCAACCACTTTTACTTAATGCGCAATCATTATTTCAAACTTTGATTGGATCGAGTAACTTCTTGTGATTATCTTTCGAGTACTAAAAAAGACAATGTCAAAGTGTTCACAGAATAAATCAAATGATTTATTAGTAGAATGAACGATGATTCGCTAATTCTTGATCAAGAATAATAAAGCTGAACCCAGTTTTAGTTGTTACATGCAATGATAAACTGTCGAACACTAAGTAGTCAAGGCTAGTTTAAAATAACCAGGGTATTTTCATCTGCGTTTCCAGTTCCTATACTGAAGTTGAGCCGTATGCAGTTCCTAATTAAACAGTTAACGACGAAATAATGAACACAACCCTTCTATGTACAGATCCTAGTTTTTACCTCCAAGAAACACTTCATCTTTACCTAAGCCATATACGTGACCTAATTTCATATCTAGGTGTATAAATTAAGTTCAATTTTCATGAAAACCTAGGAGCATTGGACAGTTATTTCATTATAGCATAGGACTCACTAACAGTGAGCCAGGAATCAAATCCATGAACCTTAAGTTTCCCACCAAGTACTAGGCATAACATTTCATCCCAAAGAAGGACGTTTACATCAAGCTGCCGTTAAAGGGGAATCAAACAGTATAATCTTAAGACGAAGGCTTGTTTCAGTTATTACCAAGAAATATTATTCAGCCAAGCTCAATATTAAGGGGAAAATAAAACCTATGCTTCAAAATAAACCTCATTAATAAATAGATAACTACATTACATCCCACTGCGTGTATCAATTTACATATGTGTATGGTGATACATGTACTGGGAAGTTTATTCCAACGATGAAGTCAAGGGTGGTTGAGCATATCCCTAAATGGCTAGAAAAACAACTGCATTCAAAAAATCCTATTAATATAGGGAACAGACAGACGTTATTCTCAATGGGTAAACACATTACCGAAACAGGTCACAGGGTTGACCCCAAAACACACTTTAGACACCTTTTATCCCTATATTTTTTAAAAATCTTGTATTATCTTTAGTTATCTTACCTTACCCTGCTTTCACCCTTCATATAAAATGCCTTGAAAAGTAAATGTGCTACCAGATAAGTTGGAAATGTATTACGCCAGTATATCTTATTTCTCTTTACAGTGTGTCTCTGGGTAGCAAATTTGATCTTCATTTTTGCTGCCAGTTACCTACTTAGCATATCGTCTATGTTTATCCATTCCAGATCTTTACCATCCTTGATAATACCCTTATTTTTTAGTGCATATTCCAGTTATTATGATCATTTTCATGCAAAAGAGCTGTACAGTGTGCAAATGACTTAAAAGTTTCTCAGTAAACGTTGACATTTCTCACTCCTGAGTAGTTTTTCAACTGTCCAGTTGTGATGTTAACAGAGTTCTCGTTGGAGACCACCCAACCAAGACCATAAAAGGCGTTATATGAAACATCAACATTATGAAATTTGGAATATACTACTAAATAACATGCGTTTTACGGAACCATTCACGTTAATCTCTATACTTCCCTAGCCAAATGAGTAATTTAAACACCGAATTATTGTTTCGCTGGTTTACGGTTGAGTTAATTAGTGGTGGAAAAACTGGAAAAAACTCGGTATGAATGTTTTGTAACGATTTATGTTGTGCAGTAGCATTTGTTAAAATGCTGTATATTTAATGTTATTTCCGGTTGGGTTTCTGAAATTCGCAGCCAAGGTTTTGTTATCTGTATTCTTCAGATCAGAGTTTTCCATTTGTTCATGTTTTGCATTAATCTAGGTTCCGAAAAGTTTACGATCATTTATTTACTTAATGTCGTTTGATTTCAATGTTCCTCAAAGAATACTTTCAAATATATAGCGTGTCTGTGAATATATTTAAATGTGTGAATATTGTATAAACTACATAATACTTTTATATTATTTCCTCTTATCAAAATTAGTATAGAGAATAACAATGAGGCATACGAAATAGAAGTACTGACAATTTCTGAATGAAATATAATTCCGTTAACGTTTCATAAGGAAGCGACATTCGGTTTACAGCGCAGGAAAGAAGTTGTCCTGATTATTATTAACATTATAAAGACTCTGTATACTATGTCATTTCAAGAATTGTCATTTAAAAGCTATATCCGAACTAAAGATTCTAATGAACGCCATCTTACACTAAAATTGAAAACATTTATCTCTCAGACGAGGATGGCAAAACCAGAATCAGAAAAGCAAGACAGGCCTTCACCTATCTAAAATCAGTGTAGAGATCTGCACTCAGCACAAAGAACGAGATCCGGGTTTTCAACACCAATGTCAAGTCAATGCTTCTGTATGGTTCAGAAACTTGGCGTGTCACGTAAAGCGTTTTCAACAAACTACAGACATTCATCAACAGCTGCCACCTACGCTCACTCGATACTGAAGATCGGTCAGGTGGCCAGAATAATAAGAATAAGCAACAAGGAACTCTGGCTGGCTGGCAACAAACCAACGAAGCAAGAACCTAACGCTGAGCAAATATGCGCTGGAAGGAAGTGAAGATGGATTGGACTGGGTATACATTGAGAAGACCGATCGGGGATATCATGCTCCAGGCCAGGCTCTTGAGTGGAATCCAAAGGGGAAACGACGGGTTAGGCGTCCGAGGTGTGGGTGATATGGAGGAGACGGTGTGAAGAAGAAATGAAAGCTTGTGGGCATTGGTGCAGCCAGGTTCAAAAGACTGTGGAGAACAGAGTGCAATGGAGGCGTGCCACTGAAGCCCTATGTTCCACCAGGAACTCAAGAGAAAAATAATAATAATTAAGTGCTTAGATAAATTTTGTAACTTACGGATTTTGTGTGTTGAATTTTTATAGCATGTTAGATGTAGTTTGCTCTGAAATAATTCAAGGCCAACAATTGCGTAGACAATAATTACAAAAATTACTAACAAAGCTATATGCAATAGTGGAACCATAGCTGTGATAATAGAGTTGAGCACAACCTGAAGACCTAAATGAAAATTTAAAAAAGTTCAGATAAACGGTGAATAGCACAACTACAAAATCAGATATTTGGAAATCATTAAGAGAGATATACAGTGTAATATAAGTTCCAAGACAAATATTAGTGGATAGTTTTGGTCTATATTGCATCGTATTTAACCGTATTTAAATGTTTTTGCATAACAGTAAAAATTGCAATGCTAAATTTATATCACTTGATTGCGTCATCGCACTTATTCAACATCGTTTGACCAGCATAACTCAGTACTAAGGAAATGTGCAGAAAACAAGAGATTAAACCTGCTTTGCTAAGATTACATGAAATAATGGTGGAAAACAAAAATAGTTGTACCCCTCAAGTTAAAATAACATGAAGAAGTCATATTCTTCAATAGTTGAGTAGGAATCTTGTTTCATGATAATTTATATTGGGTTACAATTGAATGTGAAATTAAAATTTAGACCAAGGCCGGTTTCCAACCAAAGACCACTGGGTTTCCTGCCCAATGCTCCACCAACTGAGCTACCTGGTCTTTGGGGTTTATTTTTGGATCTCTCATCATCAAGTTGGATGACTCGATTTGCATTGATTACTTTATGAAGCAGTCTCTTTAGACATGAGCTTATTTATCAAAACAGAATGTCATAGTTATATATATATATATATATATATATATATATATATATATATATATATATAGGATTAACTTCCAGCAAAACTGCAGTTTTAAGCATTTTTTTTCATAAATTTAAAAATCAGTAGCTTACTCGGTAAACCAGAAAGTAACCGGAGAGGTCGTAACACTCGAAAGGCTCGAAGTGCTTTTACATCCATATTCATGTTCTCTAATGCTTTTGATGATAAACTGGAAGAGAATTAAAATTTTATCGCTGCATTTTTACATAAAACAATTCTCACTGACATTAATTAGTACTCCTAAATGATTGAAAAAAATATTACAATGCCCGTAAAGGAAACTATAACGTTTAATCTGGAATAAAATATGAAATGTGAAATTGACATGAAAAACTAACTGTGCAATCATGTATTAGCTTTTAGAAGGCTACATCAAAAATTCATGATCTGTTTCAGTATAAAACTAGTAAATATATGCATACAATAAGTTTTATGGGAATGAAAAAAAATATTGGCACCGTTAAACTTCTTATAAGACAATAAAACATATTCATATCAAGCTTTAAATATTATCTCTCATATAACGCTTGTGCAACACTGATTCGTCGACAAATGACTAGACGTTTCTGAATTCTAACATACTTTTTTACTTCAATTTGATATGGATAAACAAAGGAACAACTTATCTTCTTAAAGCTCACTCGATATGATTTGTAAGATATGAGTTCATCACAAGTCATAGTGAGTAAATGATAATTAACCTTGACAAAGAATAGGTTTGACCAAATAAAACATCATAATATTCTGGCTACTGAACTATAACCTACTTCACGACCTTGAATGAGTTTTGGCATTGACGAGAAAGTACATTCTTGATTAAATTTTTCAAAACTGAGGACACCGAAAAATCTTCAATTTCAAACGCAGGTAACATTCTAATGATTTATAAATTCTAGGTATTAGGAGCATGTAATGGAAATAAAAGTCTGATAAAGTGAGGATTTTAACAATAAATTGACATTCTTTGTTATCTCGATACAAAATAACACAAGCCTCTTTCTGGAAATCAGTTACAGAGTTGACACTATGGGATGAATTTCTCTTTGTTGATTGTACTGAATCTATTGGCAGCAATAAGCATATGGGCACTTGTGCAGACGCTTCAACACTACTCGTAATTTAAATTTGATACTAATTATTGATAATGGCGAGCAAGTACATCTAGTCGAAGAATCACAAATAGAAGGAAACACGAATACTTGACTGCTCTAATGACCACTGCCAACCAAATTACAACATAGTTAAACTCTAGACATTATCAAGACATCCTCCCGGAAGCCCACCAACCGACAGAGGCCCACTATTTAGGCCCTATCAATGACATGGAACTGTAATCTGTAACATCGAAATGCATCCATCAAACAAGATTTGGCTATATTGATTCAGTAACCTAGTGGATAGCGTGATAGTGTTAGAATCGACGAGTACTGAGTTTGAATTTTATTGGAAACAACAACTCTTACCCAATGGATTGTACATTTAACTGGCGAGTTCCAGACGGTTTAAACTTCACTTTCTAGAGCATATTCTAAGTCACTAATCGTAATTATGATCGAATGAAGAGTTGATAGAATACAAAAATTAGACAGAACACATACTTAAATATCTCTTTCACATCAACCAACCAATGTTAAACTAAAATAACTGACAGGATTAGGTCACAGTGAACAAACATCAGGGTTAAAATTACTCCTGAATTTTTGTAAGCAGCTCTAAAATGAAATTTTAGCATCAATATTTTCATGGGATTATCAAGTACTTTTCAGGTCTCAGTATTAAAAAGTTTAAAATCATATGTATTAAAAACATATAAACATACCCAATTAATACTATACTGAAATCAAGTACATTCCAGAAATTTCTTAGATAAGCATCTTGATGAAGAACGAATCCATAGGCAATGATTTTTAATGCAGACTCAGTTGTAAAAATAATAACAAATGCAAGTTCAACTTTCTCCTATAAAAAAAAAATAAGCGAAAATATTTATCAAAACTTCTAAAGTTTATACTGTTCAAGACAAAAGTGTATTTTGTATATAATAAGTTAGACAAGCAGCTATTACAAAACATGGAAAAGTCCTGTAATGTATAAACGTATATAATAAATAGGGTGTATCTTACCTAATCGTAAGTATCATGAATATATTTCTAAAGTTATACGATGAATTTGAAGCATTTGTATAGTTTAACCATTGGCTTCATTTGGGAAAAATAGATATGATATACATATACATTTCCAAAGAATCTTTCATGTGACGATTCGTTTAGCATTTTTTTTCTATCAGCCTTAAACTACTTTTCGAACAGTCATATTATTAATTTATAAATTATGTATTACAAATTCTAAGTTTCATTTTTCAGCTTAATTTAAGCTTGAAGTTAGAATTTAATTCTTCAATCCCTTTAGTGTTCTCAACAATCTTCTGTCTTCTCTGAAAATGTAACCAAAATCTTTACAGACCAATATATGATTTAATGTGAGTATTCCCAGATAGCGGCTTTTTCAACCTGCATAAATGACTTATATCAACGTTGAAACTTTTGTGAGAAATATACAAACATTTTTATTTAAAATAAAGCTGAATAAAATTTACTGTGAAATAACTATCTGTTACCTTAATATTTTATGTTCTTCATTAACAACTGTAAAATCCATGAGGTCTGGAAAAGTAGTCTGATGTAGCCAATGGAAATTATAAATGAGACAAAAGTACAGTTTCTTGGACCGTCTAAAGTACTATCCTATTTATATTGGAACATAAACTATAACTAGGATAATGATTACTATTTATTGACATACTTGTTATTCTCCGTTGTTTTGTTGGGTCGAATTGTTCAACCTCTATTGGTATCTGGGCTCCTATGCGGATGCCTCGATATTGCCTGAATGATAATTATGATAATTTGGTTGGTTGTGGCTAGCATTGTACAAGAAGTGGCTGTCGTTCCCCTGTGGCATGTGGATAACGCATTGGTGTTTTAAGCGATGGGTACGAGGTTCGAGTCTCAGTGTGAGTAACCACTCTGGAGTGTAGGTACATCCAGCTGACGAGCCCCAAATAGGGCAAACCGCGCTTCCTGGATTCTTCTGCTAGCTACTACCAACCAAATTATGATAATGACTCCCTAAATTTTATGGAAAAAATCTTCATGAACGTTTTCAAACATCCGTAAATAAAACTGTTATCAGCCTACTATATTTCAATCTTCCATATGTTTTAAAATAAAATTATACTTTTATCCTTTCATCAACTTCATCAAGATTTTCTGCTAGAAGTCAGAGATCTGATTGCTTATTGGTTTCTATGATTTTAAGAACTGAAACTTATGAATAGTAAACAAACTTATGCTATTCCTAAGCATGTACATTCCACTAGTCGATGCGACAAGACCTAACAACTCGGTTTATCATATGCAAACTGTATAAAATCTAAAGCGTAAATGATCATACTTATTATCTACGCCAAACGAGTGTAGAAAATTTGACTTACCAAAACCATATTTACAGCATTTGAATCTTCTCCAGGATAAGGATGATTGAACGCTAGTGCCAAACAGTTGCACAATATTGTTGCCAAAATAAAATATTCAAATGGTCTAACCAAAAATTACACGGGGTTAAGGACTACAGTCTGAGACACACATATAAATTAAGTTTATCAATAAAAGGAGTTATTTAAAGGCCACCGTAGCTGCTGCTAAAATACCCAATCAAGTTTGAGAATTCTGGCTGGAAAGGCAGTTTTTCACAGAATAGAGAAATGTAATTGGTAAACTCAGAGATTGTTAAAGTGACCTTCGAAGTCACTTGAAAAATATAAAGAATAACTTAACAATCACGAGATCTTCTACTTATTGTTGAACTAAGTTAGGCTTTAAACGAAACCTACTTACATTCTACCGAACAAATTAGTATCAAGCTTCTCTGAATTGAATGTTACAGTCATGTCGACAAGCTATAGACAGACATTCTGAACTAACGACCATTAGTAATAGGTATTAGATTACTAACAGGCATGAAGTATTAACCGATGTATAGAATACTCCCATCTTCATGTATTCATCTAGTAAGATAAACTAGAAGTAGGTTAGTAAGTATATCACTCAAATAGAATCATTTGATTTCTTTTTGCATCTAGTTTGGCTTATCTTACTTTTTATATCGCAAGAATAGCTGCATTCGTGAATCATAAATAAAGGAAGTAAAAAATAATGCTGAAGGATGAGGAGTATATTTAAACGAACTTTAGTCATTATTAATTATAATTTTGTGATAGGAACTCATTTCCCTACCTTGGCACAAGTCATACCAGTAGTAACCTATTTTTGTTTATCCCACGTTGTAATATATTGATAATTATGAGTAATAACATATCAAAACGAAAAAAATTTTCTGTTTCACATTCAAATAATTCATCCTACTAGTTTTTTTCAAACTTCTTAATTAATGCAGGAACATTATGAAACAATTGACAAAGGTTACAGTTTTAAGTCTATTTTTAAAAATAATATTTAGTTAAATTATAAGATAACTTTAGTTCATAGATCTTTCATATATAAAGAGTGGTAATGCTTGTATGTGTTTAAGAAAACTAAATTTTAGTAAAGTTAGAGATGATAGCTGCAAGGTTCAACTGCTATCTAAGTGTCGATTTTCCTTCAGTCAGTGAGTTTATTGCCCATTTGATGTAAGAATAAAGGTTACCCTGCCTGAACATCTAATGTAAATGTTAAATCTAGAACAATATTTCAAATTTCACTTTTCATGATTTCTTAGTTTGTATAAAATACAAAAAATTTATGAAAAATCCACCATCAGAAGGTATAAGAAAACAGAAAGACGTTCAGCGGAAGGCATTTTCCAGTGATTTCAACCTCGAAGCTGTGTAATCACAACTGCATGCAATTTCAACCAGCAAAAATAATCCGATTTATAGATATTGCCAAAAATTTGTTTTTACTGTTCAAAGGATAAGATAACGAATAGAGTAAGGTGTCATAAATTGAAAATACCAAGGATTACGAAGTTTAGTGAGTATTAATTATGGTTTAAAGGGTTTTCGATTAAAGTTATAAAATGCTTCAGAAATGAATTATACTCCAAAAAGAGGACAAAAAGTAAGAATTGATATCACGCAAAAAAGAAGAAAAACAGGTGGGTTGAGTTGTCATGAAAGGAAAAGTTGATCAAATCCCCTTTGTATGCAAATCTCTGGATTTTCTACATGAATCACTAGAGCATCAGTAATATAAACAGATACACGTGCTGCCTTTGACAAGTTTTTTCCAGTATCCAGACAGTTTTGAATGAGAAGGTTGTCAACAATACGTAGTCACTATCAACGAGATATTTACCTGTTTCCCCCTTTTATTAAGTCGCTGACATCCATTCATAACCATGTAGGATAGTATTTTGAAACCTTTTAGTTTGAACTGTCAGTGGAACATAGGTATAACTGGCTCCGTATAGCAGGCGAACCTGTACATACAGAAAGGTAGTCAGAGGCAAGACTCTATACTTAAGGTATCTACAAAATAGTAGATGACTGGCAAAGCCTACTTCTAAGGTTGATGTAAAAAATATTCTTCATAGAAAGTTAGAAGTCCTTCTCCTTATAAAGTTACTAGCTGAACTACCTTTGATCTTCACGTTCACTAGCGGTTTCATTTTTTGACGTAAAAATGAAACGATCTCTCTCTCTCAACGATCTCAGCTTTATCTATGAGAAAGACTGGAGATTTCTGAGTGGGAATTTTTCATAGAATGGTATTTCATCTTCTACAAAATAGAAGCAACAAATGGGTTTAATGCCTAACAGTAGGAACTTATCACCTGATGGTTATACAAGGGCTGTCTGCAGACTGACTTCATCAGTCTTCGTTGTTACTTCAAGAAAAGGCAATTTGTATCCATCTTCTACTTCAGGAGTGAATTTTATCACTGGATGACAGCTATTCAATGTACTGAGTACATGATTCAAGTCACATTTGCTATAACAATTTTTTAGGGAAAAATTACCATCAACATACATTTCATGCAGTTGGAAATCATCAACTGCTGACTTTAGGCAGCCATTTTACGGATGCTCTATAATCCAATCTGTTAATGATAGGCCTAGTGGAGACCCTATAGCAACTTCCACTTCGTGTCTGTAAATTGTATCGTTAAATGTGAACTGTATATCGAGAACTCATCTTAGTGTACAGTCTATAGTTCAACATTGAAGCTGTTGTTATTCATATACTTGCAGTGACAAACAGTTTCACTAAAGGTTCCATATTCAGGGTTAGCATATGTTTATAAAAAATATTCAAACCACTTGTTTGTACTCACATTGAATTAACCATCTATAAGTCTTAGCATGAACATTAGAAATAATTTCGATATGCAAATGTGAGATTGAATTGGAAAACTTATAAAATTCAGTTGGTAGCTGCTGTAATTTTGTTTTGTCCTTCCTCATAATTTCTGTTCCATGCTTGAATAATATCATCCTATTCAAATAATATCTGTTGAAATTATGCACTAAAATCTGAATGCAAGCAGCTCACCTTGCTTATCTTTGATACCACCGTAGATGTGCTTCAATTCTGATTATCATGTTGCTTGCGTAAGGAAATAAATTGAGGAGAATATATAATTTCTACACTCATAGAAAGCTTTGCTGGCCGATAGTATAATACAGTTTTGAATCGTTGTGACTTACTTCACCCGTTGATTTCAGCATTCAAGATATTTCAGTAACTAAATCAGTTAATAACAGGATAATTTCACATTTTTAACGAACAAAGTCAACAGAAAGAAGAAGAATAAAGTGTTGATTTAATCACCAGTCCAATTTATCGTTAACTAGGAAACTCCTCTAAACGCCTCACTGTGACGTGAGCTCTAAAAAAGATTTCCCCCGAAAATCAGTGGGTTCTTTATTATTTTAAAGACTAGATCCAGTGAATCACATTTCATGAATCAACAAAGAGGATTAAAAGTAAATCAGTTACAAACTTGTAACTAGTTTACAAAATTATGGTTCTCAACGGACTCGAAGCAAACCTTATTTCACGATTACTTTAGCACTAATCAAAACGATTAATTGAATTTAGAAAAAAGACTGATTGAGCGAACAAATATATTCCTTTTCAATTAGGTCTTCACCTTGGTCTCTGCACTAATATATAGTTTTACAATTCAATCAAAACACCAATCAAGTAGTAGGAGGTGCGGTTGGCGAATAGTAATTATAGATTTTCATTAAGTCGTGAAGACGAAGCTTTAAAAATTAAGATGCAAGTAATCAATAAAGTAGTTGAAATTGGTAATATGAAGCAGATTATTTTTAGACAAACGGAGTGATTTTCGGTTTGTTCAGTCACAAATAATAACGTAATAATAAGAAAACAAATGAGTGTTGATAGAAACAACAGGGGAAAAGGTGTAAAAAGTGGAACTAGAAGTTACATCATGTTGACGGCCATAATAATCAAAGTGGTCGAACAAACTTCTTTTCAATACAAAGGTTAGGTTTGTATAGGTGGATAGCAACTCGCTCTACTATGTGAAGTAAGCAAGTGAATAATCAGCATGGTAAATTAAGTGGGATGTGTTGAACAATTTTGAATGCTTTTCCAACATCCACTTCATGTCACGTGTCAACTGGGTGTGCAAGTATAGAGGTCTTTATTTTTCTAATTTGTCCCTTTCTCAACCATGACGACTGGTGCTCAGAAACTCCACAATGGACCTGCCTAATTGTACGCCCAACGTCACTAGCTCCACAGCAGCAGCTGAATCGATAAATGTACATGGAAGTAGCAGACTTAGGCGGTTTGTCTTTATTTTCTGCACCTAGAATCATGGAATTGTAGAAGATGGGACAATTTATTGGCTGGGAATGCTTTTGGCAAGCCATTTTTTATGCGTTCTGTGATCTCACTGAAAGTGTTACTCTTAATTTTCAACTTTAGGAATATTTGCTTCCTAGGAACTGTTGACGTCCTTGTCTCAACCCTCATAACATTCATATGTTTGCTTACAAACTTGTTTGGATGGCTGTTCCTACTAAGCAGGTCACTTGTGGTGGTGAACTCTTTCTCTATAGCATCATCTGAGTAAATGGCTGTAGCACGACATGCTAGGTATTTCACCAGGTTCCTTTTGTATTGAAGGGGCACGGTGCTAAAGGAGTACCTGTACTGACCTTTCGAAGTTAGTTTTCTATATACACTTCGCTTCAGAGTTCCATCTAACCTTCTTACTAGCAGAATGTCAAGAGATGAGATACTGTCATTTTTCTACTCTTTTATTTTGAAGTTGATTGCAGGATGAACTTGGTGAGTACAGCATTCCTATCAATCTTCCTTTTCAGAACTATAAAGGTATCTTTCATGTAACGACATTATAGTTCTAACCGGCCAATAGCTTCGTTCAGAGAATCATTCTCTGGGTTTGCCAGAAAAAATCTGCTAAGAGCGGCCCAAGGGTGACTCCACAGCTATACCATCAGACTTCATGTAGAGTTCATTGTTGAAAAGGAATTGTGTGTTCACTAAATGATAAATGTTCAAAGAAAGAACTTTCGGATCAGATGCAATGTCAGCTTAAAATTTCTTGTTCTTTATATAATATGTTCAACTTGATGAAAAACGAAATGCATCACATTAAAAATATTCTTCAAAATCGATCAGTGTGTAAGGATAAGCCAGTGCTATTTTTATGTATCCATAACTGTTTTCCTATTGGTTTATTATCAGTTCTGACTGTCTTTATACTTACGGTTACACGTTCATGAAAACCAAACGACATTTCTTTCCCAAAAATCGATTCTAAGGCAACAGCTTAAATACATATATGGTTGTTCAGGTCAAAATGTGCAAATCATAATACACCTACGAATGTGCGTGTATTAACAGTCCTATTTGTTTATGTAGTCTATGCACTGAAGTAAAAAAGCCAGATAAAAGGCTATCGATTGGGTTTTTGAAAAGTGACTAAAATAGGCTACAATAAATAAAAACAGGCATAGTAATTCACCTAGATAATAATAAACATCAGTGATCTTGGAGTTTTGATTATTTTAGTCACAACTATAGTTGGTAATTTACTTGGTTGTGGCTAGCAGAGGAATCTAGGACACAAGTTTCGTCCTACTGGGCACTCGTCAGATGAATATATCTGTACCCATGTCAGTGTAGTTCCCACCACGACTAAATTCCTGGATTTCTCTGCCAGCAACAACCAAGTAAATTAGCATAATTAATATTCAGGCAATATAGAGGCATCCGCGTAATAGCCCATATGCTACTAGAGATTGAACAAATCGATCCAGTAAAAATACTTAGACTGGTGAAGTTGGATTATATTTGATCATCAGCTCTCATGATAACACCATCTGGTGTCAAATGTATCAGAACAAAAATATTTCAGACAAAGCTTCATACGAGAGTTAGGATTAAATTTATGGAGAAGTTCTTGACATTATCTGTAATTTATCAGTGTAAACTGGATATATCTCAATTTTGTTCCTTAAGACATAGGAGAAAGAAAAGATTTACGAATAACTGTTTCAAAAAATCGCTGAAATACAACATTCCCAAAACAATGATTCACAAAAAAGGATACCGTGCATCCACTATACATATACAAACTCTTCTGAGAGGATTTTTCTTGGTCATCAAACATAGTGAACGGTCAGTACGAAATTGAGGACAGAGTCGTTTCTTTTTCACTTCACCTCGTTCTTTAAGGGCAGCAAGAGCCAAATCAGCTATGAGAGGTTTGTTGCTTGACAGAAATGCGTTTCCTCCTGAACCAGGAGTACTCCAAGGATTTTGATTACCCGCTGAAATCATGTTTATACAGATTTAAATCTCTAAGACCACCGGCCCTGCAAAAAATATCAATAACAAAAACCAACAAAAACATGATTTCCGTTAGTGATTTATTTGCATAGCTTAGTAAAATTAAATTAAATCAGACATTAGCAAATCATACTAATCAAATACACAAGTCTTAGGTGTAAGCTGTAAAACAGGAACCCAATTTATAGATTCATCATTTGGGTTAAAATAAATGAGTAAATTAAGATAATGAAGTTCACCACTTTTATGTTGATGATTTAGAAATCAAACGATATTTCAAAGCTGAAGATAATTTACAAAGATTCCAAGCTACTAAAAACACTAAATAGGTGGAATAAAATGTGTATGTTCTGTATGTCAATTTACAAGAAAACAGTAATCTATAACATTTTCAAATTTAGAGGTCTATCTTATGATAAACTCTGCTGTCACTTTGAGCAGCATACTTTTTTTGTTTAATAGTTGAATAAATTTTCTTCATTAGTCTTCAACTGACCTGAGACCATAACACAGTCCGTGGGAAAGAACAATTTTATTGCGAAATCTCAAACAAAAAAAAAACAAATTATCATATATTGATGATATCATTTCAAATAATCAAAGTATTCTCCAAGTTCTTTCATTGAGTCCCACCACCTGAGGTTTTTGTCGATTTCATGCAAACCATCCAAAATCCCTGTTGAACTTAAATTCTTGAGATCTATGAATCAATTAATCTGTATTTATTCTATCTGGGGATTTGTGTAAGTTTATTAATTGATTTTAGGTTACAGTTCATCATGGACTGACACCAATTAAAGAAGCAGTGGAAACCTGGGAGCAGCTGTTTCTTCCTAGTATGGGACCCTTCAGCAGTGCGCTTCCATGACCCCAACCCACCAGGGGTCGAAAGTAGGACCTTCAGGTTCCATGTCCAGCACGTCACCATTGAGCTAGCCACTGGGTCAGAATCCAGTGTTCCATATTTCCAACTTCTGTCAGTTCATGACATAGCACGACCATCACCCAATATCATCGTTATGTAGTTGTGGCCCAGTGACTCAATAGTAGAGTGCTGGACACGGAACCTGAAAGTCCTGGGTTCGGTTCATGGTGGAGCGGGGTGATGGATGTGAACTGCTGAGGAGTCCCATGCTAGGACGAAACGGCTGTCCAGTGCTCCTAGGTTTCCAGTGTTTCTCCAGCTGGTATCAGTCCATGATGAATACGAACTTGAAAAACCACTTAATTTCCACAAACCCCTAAATTCAATTGATCTGATGCTCATTGGTGACTAGCTTCAGGAGGTCATTTCTGAAGTTGCAATGAGAAGCAGTCACTGGTGGGGCAAACCTGGTGGCTGTGAAGACAAATACTCAGTGATGACATTGAGCATTCGTCATGTCATGTCGTGAAGTGACAGAAGTTGGAAATATCGACCGCTGTATTCCGACTCAGTCGCTCAGTGGTAAAGTGCTAAACATGGGACCTGAACTTCCTGGGTTCCGTCCATAGTGGAGCAGGGTGATGGGTGTCCACTGGTGAGAAGTCCCATAATAGGACAAAACACCTGTCCAGCGCTCCCAGGTTTCCTTTGTTCCTCCAACTGATGTCAGCCTATGATGAATACCAACCTAAAATTTGTATTTATCTTGCTTTCACACAATCAATTCAAATAATACTAGATGATGCGAAAAGATTTACTAGTCCAAATGCCTGAAACATCAACGACTTAAAAACTAGGCATACTACAAAAATATATGGAAACTACAATTCGAATGTAAAACTAGTTGTAATCCTCAAATATAGTCAAAGATCAGTAAAACTATTGAAGAAAGTATTCAGCCGAACATTTCTCACCATGTTTACAGTAACTTTCTTTGCTTATGTTGAATATAACAGACATATTTTAAAAAGTATACGAAAATGCCTTCAGATATTATCGAACTCATGACAAATAATTCATTGACCCTATCAATAATATTGTTTTCAATTCATAAACTCTCAGTCTTACGCTACATTTTCTGAATAATTTCAATATATCCGCTTCTACTGTAAATTTGAAGTTTAACAGATGTATTTTGTCAAAAGTCTAGAAACAAGTTTGTAAGCCATTGAATTTTAAAGTGTTGTTTCTTTACAATAGAAGTTCATACAACTTACATTTCATACAATTGGTACAAGTAAAATTGCATTGAATTAACTAGAATACACTAGCAGTCGATTCCATAGTCAGAATGCAATTAAAGATCTTTATCTTTTTCAATTCAGCTTCATTTTGAAAAGTAAGAAACAAGTAGTTAATCGTGAAAGGAATATATTCTTCATGATAGTTAATTTTCAATATTTAAAGATGCTATGCATAACTAAGGTGTATTCAACTACGATTTTTGCTCTTCTAATCACTTTTATGGTTTTGTTAAAGTTATTTTAGTCACAGTTTGCCTTTTACCGGATTAAATTTTTACCAAAAAACCAGCTATCCTAATACTTTATTCATCTGAATATTGGAGAAAGATCAAACTTAATAAGGCTGAAATTTCCATATGAATCTCACCAGACTCAACATCGAAATACGTGTCAGGAAGTTAAGATAAATGACCAATGAATTTATGATGCTTGAACCTAACACTTTCTAGCTATGTATTCAAATACGGTGATTCAAAAATCCTTAGAAACTTGAGGTTATCTTCCACATAATATCAAAGTTAGCTTTAAATTACTCAAAATCGCAAATCAGTTTCATCATTTTAAGAAACGATATACTTTATGAAACTTACTTAATGAACTCTGTAAGTTAGCTTAATCGAACACTGAAATTCTATAAAATTCAACTAAATGCACAGATTTATTTCAGAGTTCAGATTTCAAATTCAGTAAGAGTGTACAAGTATCATAATTTCAAGGAAATGAATGTGTCGTCACACTGCGTTTTATCATAATCTAGTATAAATTGTGAAACCTACAACTACACTTCCTCGAATTATATCTTAAGTGAACTTTCCGTTAAGTAAATTAGAGTTTGGGAGTTTGAAATTATTAGTCTTTACACTGATAATAACTAGAAAGATGTACAGATCGTGATTACGAAAACTTTATGTACACATTACGTCTGATCTTTGCAAATGTATGTATTATGGCAAGAGATATGAACCCTTTCATTTTATTTTAATTCAGATATTTTAATCGACTGATTTTATTAGGTTCAACTGTTTTTCAAGATTTTAGTTCGTCTGGACTGTTACCATATGTTTCAAAGTAGCTTCCAAAGAATAGCCTGTTGCTAGTCTCTTCAATCGCATTTTCTTACAACTGCTTATTCTACTCAGGTTTTTTTACTAGGTGCTCAAATGATGACGTCTTTCTGACAATCGGGGAACTTAGATAAAGCAGTCCAGAAACCAACCGTTTTAACATCTTGGAACATGAGTACTCATATTCATAACTTCGGTAAACTCAGTGCTAGTCATATGTGTCAGTTCCAAGATCATCATATACCCACCAAAGAACCTTCAGTTGTCAGCATTAAACCGTAGATTTTCTAACGCTTCACCGGATTCTTTTCCTGTAGAACTTTAACATCTTACTGTTATGCATCCGTTGCTTTTAGCTTTGCTTCACTTTCTGAAGTTAGTCAATTTTATTCAACCTTTTCACTCTTGGACTGTTTAGAGAAGTGAGAACTTCAAAGTAAATTTTATTAGCTATGGTAAACGTTACCCAGTTTGACTGATCGCACACTAAGATTAAAGATAAAAACACCTCCCATAATATTCGACAGTAATAATCGACAATAAAGAAATGAAAAGTCGATTCGGTTTAGCATTATTGCACATATTCATACATCTGGGGAGAAGAATGAATTTTTCGTCGGACAAAAAGCCTTTCTCACCAAATTCACGAATATTAGCGAAAGGTAACTAAGTATTAGAATTTCATTGCTCATAAATAATAAAACAGTAGTTATCTTTTGTAGTCGCATATGGTAGCATATTTGAAATCAACACTTACTTCCCGATAGAACATTACTCTTGAAGTTTTTGATTCAAAACTCAACGAGAAATTAATCAGATAACTTCCATCAAGAGAGTATTATGTGGAACCACTTTTCAATAACTGATGCCTATGTGAGTTATGGTTACGCTTTAATGAATAAAACGCACTTTGAGTTTACGTGGAAAAAAACGCTCATTCCCTACGAGTGATCTAGTTTTACCGAGTGTTGTAAACAGATAATCAATTAGGCTGAATTGAAGGTATTATATAGTTCAAACTGCAGGACAAAAAACCGCAATGAGTGGTTTGCAGAGTTATCTGCTAGCTCGAACGACAGGCAGAAGTGTTCAACAAATCTCAGGATTATGAATCAGTTTTATTTGAAAGGCCTTTCAAAGTCACAAAACAGTAAACTGAGAAGTTGTGAAGTAAGGAAATCACCAAAAGGAATGACGTCAGTAGGTAAGTAGATGTGGATAGAAAAAATGTGTCAAGATGTAAAAAAAAGTATAAATTCAACATACCTAAATCATGTGGATCTTTTGCAAGTCAAGATATCCATAAGGTCTTTACAACACTTCCTTACATTTCATGAGCACTAAGCAGGTAGCCAATAATTCTCAGCAAGGCTTTGACGAATAACCAATGATACTGTGGAATAACTGGTGTTCAATTCCTGAAGAACTAATCTCTATCTGGTAATAGCAACTTTCTGATTCTTACCAATGGACAACAAAATGATAAAAGCAATCAAAAGTTTTATAAGGAGCATAAGGAATGATCTCAAAATGTGAGAAGCACACCAAGTAGCCGGTGGGTGAAAACACTTGACTTCTACGAGAATTCATCATGCCTTTGACAAAGCCTGTTGCAAGATTATTAAGGAGTCTAATGTTAGTGATGTGGTATTCATTTCAGGTAAATTTCCCCCCGGTTATCTTCACAGACGATTGAAATCCAGGAGGAAACCCTTCCAAAGGTATTCTAGTCTCAAGTACTACAACCGAGAGTTAAAACACAGTAAGCTGTGATATATAGTCAGTTAATGGTAAATTGGAATGGAGCTCAAGGAATGATTCTTAGTGCCCATTACGGCAGAGTTTACTTAACAACGATCTCCTTCGGACTGTAATGTTTTCCGTAGTTCAGCGAGTTATCGTACTGCTAAGGAACATGCACTAAACTAAAAGTGCTCTAGTAGTTTAGGAGAAGGCTATATTCCTCACAAACCCATACACTCACTTTTTAGTGTATGTGAAATGTTTGCTGGAATCACATGGCATAAACCCTGTACAATTAGGAAGTAAGCTACTCATGAGGAAGAAATTGGATTTAATTGAAGTTGTAAGTGAATCAGCTATTTTGTTTCTTGCTGAAACAGTACGCGATATCCTCCAGATTCATAATGACTTCTTTCAGATATCGGCGTTATCTTAGATTTAATAAGCAGCATAGTTTTTAAGAAGTGACGACCATAAACACGTGTTCTTTACCAGTTCATTGACCTTTATAAATCCCATTATCAGAACACTCTAATCAGAATATTAAAACCAAACATACTATTTCCATTGTCTGATATCATTACCAAAGTAGATACAATGATCTTTTTGCACTGTTCATTTGTGTTACTGTCTATATATTGCATCCTAAAGAATGCGTGTCAGCGTAGACATATTATGCGGAAAGCATTAAATTTTGACATACCTAAACTTTGTCGCATATTAATCGACAACTAACAATTAATTTCTAAAGAATAACCCTGATAACAGACAGTAAGCCTAGGTACGCATGTGTATTTATCCCGAGTTTGTCATCTTACAGCAGTAAAATCATCACTCATGCATGTAACTGACTCAACTAGTAAGTCACAGTGGTGCGTTCTACCTCAAATACCGAGAGCTGAGCTACCACCATTAACAAAATACGTATGTCATATCAATTAGAGCACTTAAATGTGCGAGAATGCCGAGTTCAATTATAACATACCGTTTAGTTCTTTTTCGTATAAACTTGTAATTTTGAAACAAGGTTCTATAAGACATATCTCCTTACTGTACATGCACAGTATTTTTTCTGAATAGCAAATAAATACACAAGTTAGCGTCCAGTCAATCTCCCGCGTCTATAAACAATTTTAGTAGCATCTCTATGGTTTATCTGCTACTAAAAATACGTGATCACAAATCATGAAGCATGTAGACGAAGACAACGTTTTAAATATTACTTAAGACAATTTTCTCGATTGTTTTGTCTCTTTGTGGGCATGCACATGAGACAGCTAGTTATTAAGCTCACAAGGCTGTTCGCAGTATTCAGGGCTAATTTTATAATGTTTTGGAATACATATATGCATTTCAAACTTGATTAGAGTTAGGCAGTGAATAATCTATTCTTCTAAAATCCGGTACAAGAATGTGACAACAACTTGAAGTAGAACCTGCATCAAAAGTACATTGTAGTAGTTTAGTACCACACAACGTCCCTGATCATCACACAACCATTGTAGGAAGAGTAAACCACTTTGAAATGTGAAAATATGGAGCTGTCCTTCGTTGGTTTAGGCAGTCTGCTTTTAACCAGAGGACCACAGGTTCAAACCTCACCCCCCTACTGAGGTAAAGGCGGGAAGGTAGTATCACTAGCCCTCACAACAGATGTGACTTGTTGTCCACTGGATGTGCACGCAAGTGGTAGCCGAGGGCATTTTGATTTTTCTCGACTTTAGCACCCACAAGTCATCATCCTGAAATTCACATATGTAGACAAAGGGTATATAATCATACATTCACAAGACATTTTGCCTCAGTAATAAGAGGCTTCGTATAAAGTCAGTACTATCCAGTTAAACATATGTAACCGATAAAGCCAGAAACCTTAGTTAAACGAAGCATATATAGTTAAGGGAACACAAGAGCTCAAGATCAAGGAAACCACTACAGGTTTAATAATCAAAAACATACAGTTCAGAAACTACCATTTTTATAGCTATTTTGGGTTATAGAAAGCAAACTTACTTCCAATTTTTCGTAAGCTCAATGGAATATATGCTGCATACTTGTAATGCTGATGACGAATTACAAGCGGTGTTTTGAAAGAAACATTTACAATGCGTTGTTATTCATAGAAGCCATGACACCACTTACTAAAATGCAATGCAAACATGATTTTATTTTATCTTTGTTCTCAATATGCGATAAGATTTAGAACAAAATTTGAAAAAGTACATTTGGAAACGAAGTTATGTTGACTTTTCGGTGATTTCACAGCAACCATAACAAACTTATGACTAAACATAAAGTAACTCAGTGTTTCAGGTTTGAAGTATTGCTTTAGATTCACCAGCTAAGTACGACACCATTACAAGAAGAGCAGGCAAGAGAGAAACTTTCATGGTCCTGTATGGACTACAAGTGTCTAGACTGGTGGTATACTGTAGTCAAATAACTGAGTATCATTTGGGTAGCATATGGATTTTGGTATACTGTGTTTAGATTAGTCTTGAAGGTTTGACACAAGTATAGAAGAGGCACTGCCGTAGTAATAATATTTATAGATGTTTCTTTCAGTTTTGAAAAGTGGTGCTCAAGTGTCACTAGGTTACTGGGTTCATACAAATATCAGAATACAGTTACATTCGATTTTCAGAGGTACTTCACAGATTTTTAGATGCTATTAGTCATGTAAATGCTCAGTGTCAAGTGATAAAGGAAAGGCATACAGCAACTGTCAAATCTTGACAAGATTAGGAAACGTTAGTAATATTGTATCATCACGCTATAAGAAACAAACAGCCTAGCATGGAACATGAACCATCTCCTAGCTTTTCTTAATGTTCACTCCTTTTGAAGTTTTAAGAAATCGGTCTTGTTTTTGCAATCCAGCTACTTCCATGTCATAGTTTCCGACATCCAATAGTTCATTCCCGTGAGCTTATGGCATTTAGCAACTTAAAAGCTGCATTTCTGTATAAAACTCCTCACTTATGTGTTTACAAGTGAAATGAATCGTTAACTAGGAAGTGTAAAGCCTTCAGCTGATAGTTATATCATAAAATAAATGGGACGGAAAACGAGCATATTATGTATCTTTTATACCCGTGGTCCTAACTGATGCCAGTGGTAACAGTGAGATATCAGTAATGACTTCAATCACTCTAAAAAAAGCGAACAAGAATAAAGGTGCATTCTTCAACATTTGGTGGAAATACCGAATTTAAATTAATTCAAATTTCCACTTTGTTTAACAAGTATTTAAGTACATGAACTCAAACAGATGCTTGACTCCTATTCTAAATCAGCACTAAACGAAACTTTTTATTCTAGTGGCTGATAAAAACTGAGTTACAGCAAAGACTTTCAAAGGACTTTGGTTATCTTAGGATACTTTTACTTCAGAACTTTTAAAGTCTATGGAACCAACTTTCACATAGTTCGTACGCATTACCATTAAGTTTGTAATGAAACTCTTTTACACTAAAAGATGTCAAGTCCAGGCATAACCATTGATTTTAATGTTAAGTTAGACAATCTGGTTACTTATTACATGACAGTTTTGTGACCACAAAATATTTGTCGAAATTATTTGCTGAGAGAAGGCTTTAAATAGCTCACATCAGAAACCTTTTCGCTTGGAAAATTTTTAGTAGCCTATTTCATAAAGTGAAGCTTTCTTATAATTGCTTCTTGCAACAGGTTCTGAGCTGCAATGCAAAAAAGTGAAACGAGAATATGTTTGCAAAGAAATATAATATACTTATGGTAAGTTACTGTGTTTATTAGTCACCTCCTTCAATTCACAGCAATGAAAGCGAACAGATATCAGATATATAATATATCCAGAGGTGTAAGGGAGTAGTTAGGTGAAACAAACTGACTTATCAGTCACGAGAACGCACATGTATTTTGAAATAAACACTTTTCAAACATTCGAAAAATTCAGGCATTAAAACTATTTGAAGTGAGTGCGGAAGGCAGTGAAAAACTATCAAAAGCACTGAAAATTAGGGCATCTGTTTTATTCAAAAAATTCGTTGGATATCCGAATCTAATATCCCAAGTATATACACAGGAAACTGACAGTTTTTGGTATACGCTGTTTAGTTCTTGGAGGTAGGTACTTGTTGACTGGCTTTGTCCCACTTTCCTTCTAGATATTATGGGTCTAGCTGCTAGAGAGGACTGAGTAGATAATCTAGGTGTGTCAGAACGAGAGATAGTGAGTAGTAAATAGAAAAGAAGTAATGGTGGCGCAATGAATTCAGTAACCTCGCTTGGTTAACTAGTACACTAGATACTGCCCGGTCCTAAGCCAGGATAAAGAGGGAAGGTTGGACACGGGGCTAGCAAACCTACAACGCAAAAACCAATTCAATCGCTAAGAAACTTCAAAGCATAAAGAAAATATCAAAAATAAAAACGAACTTATTCCTCCCTGGAATCGGATAGGCGAAATAACACCGGTTGGTGACAGACTTCTGAAAGCCAATTGGCTGATGTGTCTTCTCTTCTCTCGATGAAAGTGAAAGTAAAAATGGTGACATGGAATGTCCGCACCATGTATGAACCTACTAAGGATGCCTAGATTGCAAAAGAGATGAGAAGCTAAATCATAGATGTGCTAGGCTGGGAATCTGCAAAAGCAGATGGAATGGAAGTGGACTCTCCAAACTGTCAACTGGAGAGTCAATAATCTACCCCGATATTATCACCCAGACGACAACCACGAGCACACTCAGATTTCGAGTGGCTACCATGATGTCCCCAACACCATCGAAGGCTTTCATGTAGTGGGAACCAATCTCCTCCAGGATGAGGATCGTCACAGCAGGATTCAACTCAAAGGGAAGGAAAGTCACAGTCATACAATGCTGCACCACGCACCTACAAATAATGCTGAGCAAGAGGAAAAGGAGAATTCTACAGACAACTTCAATCAACACTGAACAAGACCTCAGTTGGTGACATCAAAATTCCAATGGGTGGGGTGACAGGAATGCCAAACTGGGAGCAGAAAACACAGGAAGAGAACTAACCATGGGTCGAGAAGCGCTCGGTGAGTTAATGGACGAGAATGGAGAATTGTTTGCAGAATTATGTTCATTCAGCGACTTGGTGATTGGAGTCAGGCAGTGTGTTCAAGCACAAGGATATTCACAAGGCAGTGACATGGATTTCACCAGACACCAGGACACACTAAAAGTCAGATCGACTTCATCTCCATCTCAAGAAAGTGGAGATGCAGTCTACTTGACACAAGGTGAAGAAGAGTAGCAGATGTAGGCTCATATCACTGTCTAGTGCAAGGAACCTTCCAAATCAAGTTAAAAGTCTTCAAGGAAGTTGGTGATAGACCACAGTTCAAGTTCAACACCCAGAAACTGAAGGATGAAACTACAAAGGAAATCTTCACGTCAGACATCAAGACAAAGTGGGAGATATCAAGGAACATCCCTGAAGAAACCTGTGTGGAAGAACACTGGAAGTCTTTGGAAGAGATGTGGAAAGAAACCTGCACAGCCGTATTAGGAAGGAAGACGAAGTAAAAAAAGGATCTCGATGGACACATGGAAGCTGATAGAGCAGGAAGAGGAGGATGGTGAAACAGAAGGTAAAGCAGTGCAAGGATGAACAGCGAGAAGAGAAAGTGATTACAATGTATAAAACACTAGACAAAGAAACGAAGGAGAGTACGCGCAAAGACAAAAGACACTTCCACGAAACACTGGCAAGTGACGCAGAAAAGGCTGCAGGTAAGAGAGACCTGACAACATTATGCCAAATAACCAGGTTGCTATCTGGGAAGGAAGGGATCAACACACACGAAACCAATAAAAGATGATGACGGAAATCTAATTACCAGAGAGGAGAAACAAAGGAAACAATAGGCCGATCACTTCAAGAAGCTCTTGAACGGAACACCATCAACACCTGCACTTCGTCCAGAAATACCACCTGCAGTCGCAGAACTACAAGTGAACATAAATCCTCCAACCAAAGTGGAAGTCCTGAACTCCATAAAGCTAATGAAATGCAGAAAAGCATCAGGACCGGATGGGATCCTACCAGAAGCACTGAGAGCAGACGCAAAGACAACTGCGGACATTCTCACACCACTATTGCAGAAGGTGTTGAACGAAGAGAAGGTACCTGGAGATTGGAAGAGGGGTTAGCTTGGTAAACTCCCGAAGAAGGGCGACCTAGGTGTTTGCAAGAACTGGCGCGGAATCACGCTCCTGTCCACCACGAGAAATTACGTGGCTGACTAACCGCCCTTTGAATGAGTCTGCCGAGGGGGCTGTTACTAGATCCTATTTGAGGCATTCCATAAAGCAAATATTCTTAATCAGAAGTTAGGCCTCATCCAGTTGTTCACTTTCTTATGTACCATCCTGATGGGGTGCCCTCGTGATGACCGCCTAGCCGCAGACAGAGTCAATTCGCTTGCGTCATCGTCCTGATGGATGTTCTAGCAGGCCATGAAAAGGTAACCACCCCAGCTGTTATAGCCTAAGGTTATTAGATCTGGGTGTTTCAGCCTTCAGGGCATGCTTTCCCCCAGTTCCACGACTGAGTTCTTTACAGACCTTTGAATTTTTCGTCGTATTTAAGATCTCTGGACACTGCCGTGAATAGGATTTGAAAACTGCTGGAAACATTTCAGGGGTGAGAGCACCAAGCTGTCTAAGAAGAAACTGAAAAGTGGCGTTCGCTTCGGCCGCCATTTCTTTGTAGTTAGAGCTGGCGTTCAAGGTGTCGAACAAGTCAAGCCCCGAGTATTTTTCTGTGAACACTGGTGACAGAACATTTGCGCAACTTGCGTTAGAATTTGGCTGTCGCCCGTTACTTTGAGCTTTTCCAGTTGAAGTTAAGGCTGCTTAATCAACGACCGTAGTTCAAGTTGTTGCAGGTCGTTTTATAGTGCTTTACAATTAACCTCTTTGTTCACTACCCTCTGCGTTCCGATACCACAAAGAAGAGGAGGATGGCTGGGAAGATTTTGCGTGGCAGATCACTGACGGACAGGAGGAACACAAGTGATTCCAAGATTGCTCAGTAGGACGCCGGTGATCTCGATGGTCTCCGCCTCAACCCTATTCTGTGTTCGTTGATACGGAACTGACTGCATTCTAGGTACTCCTTCAACCAAGAGATTAAAGGTTCAGT